TGTCGAACAAAAGGCCAAAGTGAAGCGACCTCGTTCGTCGTGCTTGCTCCATGAAAGCTGAAAGGCAACAGCCACCGACCTCTTCTGGGCAGTTCCCCAGATCCTGTCAATTCCCCAGGGATCCGAATACAATAGAAACACCTGAACATGGCAGGTTCCCCTTTATTAGACATGTTTCAAACGGGCAAAATGTATCTTTTAAGGAGCCCTGTTCCCAGCTCCCTGAAAAGGGGCTACAGCTTCACAAGCCCCATTCAGGGCTCACTAGATTTCCCGAAACAAAAGTTGATCAATTTACTGCTGGTTTCCATCCAAACCGATCGCCACTGTTGAAAGGGAAATGGCTCGGAAATCCTACCCATGAACCCAGAACCATGATTCAAGAATTGACAAGGGGGGGGTTCCCGCACCTATTTATGGCAAGGGGATTGTCCCTTAGTTTTGATTGTGACTCAACCGTGGTGGGAACCCCTCCCATGCCCTCGCTCAACTGGGCTGTCCGTTTTCAGATCCCCTGCTAAAAGTGACTCACTTCTGGGTCAAATTCGGAAACCCAACCACAAAACCAACCCAAAAAGCGTTAAAAAGCCAAGTTGAACCGGATGGCCGGGGTTCCAAGCACACCCTAAAACCCTCAAAGAAGACGCACCCTACCCTTCGCCTCCAACAAACCAAACACGGGCATCACCCCCCCGAGAACACGCACCCTACCCTTCGCCTCCAAAAAGGCAAAACACGAGAACCACCCCCGCCGTCCATCTCCCCGTCCCCGTCTCCTCGCGCGGTGCAGCTCCGCTGCCTCTGCCAAGCCGCCGCTTCCGCCGCTTCCGCCGCCGAGCGCCGGCCGCAGCTTCACCAAGTTCCGCGCCAGGAGCCCGGAGACCTGCGGCGAGCGGCGAGCCGAGTGGATCGGGCGCTTTAGAGAGAGAGAGAGAGAGAGAGAGAGAGAGAGAGAGAGAGAGAGAGAGAGAGAGTTGCCGTAATTTAAAAACAAAAAAACAAAAAACTCGTGCGGAAGCGGTGCGATGGGTAGGGAATGGGAATTGGAATGAACGTTGCTTTGGTCAGATTCTCTTGAAGGAAAGCACCAGTTGGATGGAGTAACAGAGGCTGTCCCCTGATGTGGGGATGTCCCCTGAAAGGAAACCACCGGTTGGATGAAGTTTATCTATAGGGGTCATTTCATTTCTCATTCCCTGCTGGGCACCAGCAAGTTTAGGCCTGGGAGAAAGAAGGAAGAAGGAAATGGAAACCCACGGAAAATGGGCGGCTCGTCTTGAAGGTTGGACCCACTAAAATAGTGGGGTTCCTTTTGGTGTCCCTTTATAACACCACCAAAACAGGGGTAGCCTCAGCAGGGATCCTTACAATAGAAACACCTGAACATTGCAACTTGTAAATGGTGGCTTCCAACTTTCTTTTGTTGAAAAAGCCCTCCACGTAACTCAAATGGGTGGTTGCAACAAAGAGGACAAACCCAGATCAAGATGAGTTGGTCGAAGCCCTTCCGTAGGGTATCCTGGAAAAAGACAACCGGGCATTCCGAATGGGAGGAAGCTCCAAAAAGTGGAACATTTCCAAAATGGCTTGCCTTGGTGCAAGGGGAACCGACTGAAACCCGCAAGTGACCCTGGGTCTGAAAAAAATTGAGCCACACCCAAATGGGAGGAAGAAGGGGTTTTTCGGTGTTCGGAGGTCAAAATTATGACCCGTGCCCGGTTCGTCGTTTCGTCTGGCTTTCCATGGGTCAGATGCACCGGCCTCGAGCATTCGGTTGGCCGTATGCCAGTGCACGTTCTGCACACCATGCGCCGCCAGGTTTCCAAGCGTGGACGCGATGGCTTGGTTGAAGAACCTCGAGGTCTTTTCTGGGTGCTTCTCAAAAATCGTGGACCCCTTTTTGGTTGGTATTCAAAGGAAACCACAATGAAACCAAGCCCCCACTGCCCTCAACTCCAGGACAATGATTGTTGGTCCAATTGGTGCCTAACCCTTTCAATGCCAAGCACTCCATGAAAGGCTTGCTCACCATCCCTCATCAAAAAGCGCATTGGCACTAAAGGCATGCGTGTTCGCTGGGGCTGGCGCGAGTCGCGGCACGCACCGAAGTTCCAGTGAGCCTGAGAGGTGGGAAAAGCGGCGAGATGAATCCTTCTCGAAGATCTGAGCCACGCTCCAGCCGCAAGAGCACAAGGATCAAGAGAGATGACAAGGTGATCTCTCGCACAGACCTGCAAGCAATATGCTACAAGTATGGTGTTGCCACACTGAGCTGAACGGCCTACTCTCCATTCCGTTCTTTTCAAGGTACATAAAACTCACTGCGAACATCACTCCAGCACCAAAATTGCCGCTTATCCCTGACACACGTGCCTCTGCGATGCGCCCAGAACACTGCGAGCATCAAGCATCTTCACCTCGGACATCTGCTGACAAAATCCGCCATCTCCTTCAGGAAAGGCAGCAGCTGCAGGATGTGAGCCGACAAAACTCAGAGTGTCCCCGAATGGCATTGGATTTTGGTGAGTAACCTCCGTGTACTGATTTTTGGTGAGCCTACCCAATCCTCTTACAGTACATGACAGATGCGCACAACTGACATTCCATCTGTCCTGACAATGCCAAAACACACAGCAACAGAGCTAAGGCGGTCGGAGGAGCTTTGGCCTTAGCATCTCGCGAGCGACCAAGGCAGGCCCATTGAGCAAAAGCCTCTCTTTCGCCAAGTAAAATCATCGAATCATCCCTCGAGCTGCCTTCGAGCACCTTGCCAATGCTGAGACTCCTACTAAGATCTTGCTGTCCGCGGTCGTTGCTTGCAGCACTTCCAGGATTGAGGGTAAGACCTGGAAAAACCACCATTTCTTCCTCCTCTTCTTCTTCTTCTTCTTCTTCTTCTGTTTCTTCTTTTTTGGGGGGTCCCCTTAAAAAAGGCACACCCGATTTCGGATCTGCCTTGTCAGCATTTCGCTGGCAATACTTCCGGAAGTTGGAGTTCTTGATGACCAGGCAGTACAGAAGCAGTGGATATCCCGGCTCCTGCGAGCAATGTGAGTCGTCGGTTACAGGAACGGACATGGGTAAATGATAACTAGTGTGTCCTCTGGATCTTGTGGGCAAAAACAAGCATCCGCTCCCTGCCCAGTCTGACTTGTTCTGAAACTCATAGGGGTATGTCCTTTGTAGAGGACCCCCAAAAAGCACTCCAAAAGGGTTACCCTCAAAACGAGACACGCCCTTCAAAATTGAGCTTTTTGGAACGTGTCTCATTGTGTGCATGCCTAAGGCGTTCCGAAAAGCAGGCCCCAAAATTTGGCCGCTCACTTGGCCATGAGGTTATTGAGAACCACCTCAACAATAGTTGGACATGAATCCCCCCCACGTACTGATGTCCACCCAACAGACCCCCTGTTGAAATCCACGACCCCTTCCCCTGTCATACGTCCTTCGAAGTCAAAAGGAACCCAACAAAGCATGGGTATGGGTCAAAATTAAACCACCGGGGACCGCAGGTTTTGGTCCATGTTTCCATTTACCATGGTTCCATTTTGGGGTTATCCTATTTTGACCGAAACCGATTCCTGCTCCAAGAAGCAAACGCTGGGTCACCTTCAGCGCCAAAAGCATTCCTCCCCCCACGGTCCGGCAGCTTCTGCATCAAAGCGCGAAGAATCTTCGGGAAGTGAAGCGGAGCGGCCAGTCTGGCGTAGGCCTCAGGTCGCTGGGTTGCTACCCAGAAAAAATCCCATGGGACCGGGAAAAAGGGGGGGGGGGGGGGGGTTGGGAACAAGTGGGGGGGGAGCCAACATGGCCAAGAAATTGTCCGGCTTCCCGAGTTGATGGTCGAAAAAGTAACCAAACTGAACAGACCATCAAGGTGAGTATAGTTGTCTCACTTCCTGAGTGGACTGGCCCCCAAAACGTTTAAAGTCCAGGAACGCAGGGAGTGAGCATATCCCTACAGAACTCCGATCCGTAGATCCGAAAGGCTCCCCAGTTAACAGCAAATTGGGACGCCAGCTCCAAGTCCGGCTACAGCCCCAACCACCAGCCAGGTTGCTCCAAGCCCGAACGAGCCAAAGGTCGACCACCCTTTGGAGGCATGGACAACTTGCTTGGGGAACTGGTTCTCCAAAGAGTGGTCCCGAAAAATGGTTGGTTCAGCTTTGGCTTGCCTTTCAACAACCGCAAGGGGGACGGCCATGTTGAGAAACACCGACTTCTTTCCAAAAGGTCTAGCCCTTAGGGTCACACCAAAGACCAGCTGCGGGATACGCATCTAAGGGATCTCAATTGCTGGTCCTGTTGGCTCGCCTTCTAGATCCGCTCAAGGGTGTTGGCTCCCTGATTGGGATGTGTCAAAACAGTGGCGTCCCAAATGTGTTGCTCTTGGTGTCATTCAAACCAACATTGAAAAGAGCACCCTCAAAGAAGACAGACCCATACAAACAAGGGCGTCTTGTTTAAGGGGGACCCCCAAAACTGTGGTTTCCATTCAGGTGTCCCTTTACAGTCAGCCAAAAGAGGGTTCCCAAAAAACGACACACCCATTACTATCATATTATGAGTTGACAAAATTACCACAATGATGGTCTATGGACATCGACTTGTTTGTGCCATGTAACCCTCAAAAGAAACACACACACACACACCCATTTTAGCAGCGCCCTTTGACCTATTGACGTTGGGTCCTATACTAACATGGTTGTGAAGAGTCATATTTTGGCACTACACCCCCAATCAAAACAAATAGCGATGACCCCATTTTCTCCATGGGGGGTTCCCTTCCAAAGGTGATTCAGGGACACCCCCCTCTGAATAAATGGCGGGTTGATGGGGAAAAAATGGGGTCAACCTTAGGGAACTCGGGTGCTCAATCCACCTACTTCACCACCTGCTTCAGTCGCCCCACTTCAAACCACCTACTTCAAACTTGTTCAGGGACACCCCCCTATGAATAAATTAGGGTTGATGGGAAAAACAAGTGGGGTCAACTTGTTCTACTTCACCACCAACTTCAATCGCCCTCTCGAGGCTAGCCCTTCGGCGAGTCGTCCAAAGCCCCCGGCGCAGTCGTGCTGATCCAGCCGCGGATCCGCCAGAGAGGCAAAGGCCTGCGCGATCCTCGGGTGATCCTGGCCGGAGGCGAACCAAACGAAGAGGAAAAGGGGGAAGCAAAAAGAAGACCGCCCCATTGGCCGATTTGCAAAACATGGACATGAATATGTTGCAAAGTAACCCCCAAAAGGGGGATGCATATGGTAACCAAAAAGCAAGTCGCGACTCGCGTGTCGCCGGCCTGTGGAGAGTGGAAAAGCAGTAGCAAAAGCACCTAAGCAAGAGCGTTCTTCAAGCCTTGACGACAGAAATGATTAACAACTGAACAGGCCGTATTAACCATAGTATTATTCTTCTAAAAAAAAAAAAAAAAGCAAAAAGAACGATTCGAACTCTTGTACTCCAAAACATCGTCCATTATCAAGCCCTCTGATCACTTACCTGCCAAATCTACACGCTATATGAATTCTGCAACATGCGCATGTGTGTGTGTGTGTGTATGTATGTATGTATGTATGTATGTATGTATGTATGTATGTATGTATGTATGTATGTATGTATGTATGTATGTATGTATGTGTGTATGTATGTATGTATGTATGTGTGTGTGTACGTGTGTACGTGTGTACGTGTGTACGTGTGTACGTGTGTACGTGTGTACGTGTGTACGTGTGTACGTGTGTACGTATGTACGTATGTACGTATGTACGTGTGTACGTGTGTACGTGTGTACGTGTGTACGTGTGTGCGTGTGTACGTGTGTACGTACGTACGTAGGTAGGTAGGTAGGTAGGTAGGTAGGTAGGTATGTATGCATGCATGCATGCATGTATGTATGTATGTATGTATGTGTGTGTGTGTGTGTGTCTGTCTGTCTGTCTGTCTGTATGTGATGTGATGTGATGTGATGTGATGTGATGTGATGTACTGTAATGTAATGTAATGTAATGTAGTGTAACGTAACGTACTGTAATGTAACGTAGTGTAACGTAACGTACTGCAATGTAACGTAACGCAACGTAATGTAATGTAATGTACTGTAATGTAAAGTAATGTAACGTATATATGTATGTATTTATGTATATATGTGTGTATTCCGATCTGTGAGGATGAGACTCGCATCAATTTCCGCAACGTTGAAGGGCAAGTACCAACCAGGACAAGGCACCAACAAGGCTCGCTTGGATAGAGCTTTGCCCGCGCTGCCAGCTTCCACAGCAGCCTCAACAATGCTTTGCAGATCCGCGAACTCGAAGAAACACTGAGGTACAGGCACCGTCGTCTCCCACCTGCTCCACAAGCTCAAGGGAGTCATAATCTAAAGCTGGTATTGAAATGGTCTGCCCAGAACCATATAAGGAATTAACTATCCCTTACTAACCTTAATCAATCCCCGAGTCAGGTTTGATTGTGGCTCACCTACTGTGGATGGACGAAATCCGTTCGCACCGTTGAAACCATGGTTGAAACTTGAAACCAGAACGATTGTTGGTACTGATAGGGGGAACCGACTCATTCCGTTGGGTTTCTGATTGTGGCTCAAGGGGTCAAGGGCCAAGGGAAACAGCTGGGTTGTCGCTGTTTGGACCCCTTTTAAAGGCCATGGCCCAAGAATTTGCCATGGCCCAAACAAACGGGTACTCATTTTTGACCCCCCCGACACTCGCATGACCCAGTGCTCCGTCACTCGAGCCCCAGTCGCATGACTGAAACTCAAACACGCCCGGGCCCACGAAGCCCGACGGCAGGCCAGGCATGAGCTCGGAAGACGCCAAGTAGAGCTTTGACACCTGGCGCCAGGGTTCTACTTTTTGAGTAGCCCAAGATAGACTCAAACCCAGGGGTTCTCCTTTTGCAGGGAAGGAACCACCCCGTTTAAGTCTACCCTGGGTCAAAAAGTAGAACCCTGCCTGGCGCCGAAGCCCGGCGCTCCCCCAAAAAAGCCCATCGGGGAGACCATGTGGGTTTGTCTCCAAATCGGGGGACCCCCGAATTTTTGTGGTGACTTTCCTTGGGGCGATTTAAAAAAAAAGGGGGGACCCTCGAAAAAGGCACGCCCACGTCAAAGTCAAAGGGGTGGCTCGTCAACCCCAAACGACCAAAGGGCCACATGGTTGGCTTTCTTTTGGCTTCGCTTGGACACTTTGAAGGCAACCAAGGAGCTCAAACAGACACAAAAACGCGCCGAAATCCGCTCCGCTCCGCTCCGCCTCGACGCCCCGGAAGGGCGCGCTGTCCGGATCTGCAGGATTCATGCTCATGAGGCTCAGGACCTGGGAGATGCTCTTGCTTTGCTCTCCGAAGGCGGCAAAAAAAAAGAGCAAAAAGCTCCGCGCCTCTTTGGGCGGATTTGGAAGAAGCGCAGCATGCGGCTCCAGCCTTGCTGAGATCCATCACCGGTCAAAGCCACGGCCGCCGAAATCGGACTGAGCTCGTTGCCACACGATGTTCAGCAAGGTCGCCAAAAAGGCCTCCCGAAGAAGGGCTTAGCCTCCCCCCATCATCAAAATGCCGACCGATTCGGGAGCCCCGAACCCGTCGAAGCCCGTGGACGCGGGAACCGAAAAGTGAAATGCGCTTGGGAAAAAATGTCTTGCCGGTGCTCAGTAGGGAATGACGACCTTCCGGGTTTGAGAACGTACCTGCAAATTCCCTTCAAGGAACCTAAATCGGGGATGGGTTTTCTCAGGGTTCATTCCATTTCTCACTCACTGATCATCTCTCGCGCCAAGGTAAAAAGTCCTCAAAGTAGAGACCCCTTGGCATGACTTTCGACCCCCGGTTTTGGAGTCGTTCCCACGGCCGCCTTGGCCCGGCTCGAGTCCTCAGCCCATGGGCCGCGCTTGGCTTTGGGCTCGGGTAAGGCGGGTTTGGGGCGTAGGGAAAAACCGCATCCTTGGGAGTCTTCTAAGGGGATCAATTAATTCTAATCTTCTAGGGAGTCTTCTAATCTTCTAGGATGGCCGAGGTCAATTAATGAATTAATTCTCCCGAGAACCAAAGGACGTGTTTACCAATGTGTTTGAGGGCCAAACGCCTGGTGTTGAAAAAACGAAAACACGCAGCAACAGGAGCCTCAAATGAAGGGAGCAATGATTCGCACGAATAAGATCCCGGCTGGGGGAGCAACGTTGGCTGTCCCAGTACCGATGCGCGTTCCATTGCTCTCCTCCGTTCCCACCTGTCGAGAAGCCCCGTGGCTTTCGTCTGTTCCACGTCCTCAAAAAAAAAAATCGGTAAACGACTGCAAATGGACGAAATCCTGCAGAACATACCATCCTTTCAAAGTGGTGCAGAATTTCAGCTGTTTGGTCAGTTGGTCATTTTTCCCTCAAATTCCCCCCATCCTTTCAAAGTGGTCCAGGATTTCGTCCATCCACAGCTGTTGGGTTAGTTGGTCATTCTCCCTCATGTGGCTCTCACCTCCTCAGCTTCCTCCTGCAGCACCTGCAACTCAAGCCAACACGGCAAGAAATCCACTCGACTGGGAATCCAAGTTGCTCGCCTCCAGCAAAGCTTGCAGAAAGGGTAGCTTGGCAGAGTCTCCTCAGCGCAGCGGAGCTAATCCGGCTCAAAGCAAGCTGAGCCGCCGACCACTCGGCAACTTTGGCTCGAGTTCACCGTTTCCAGCCTGCAACACGCTTCTCTTGGCCATAGAAAAAGGACACCAATTTGCGGCTGGCACTTCATCCTATGGTCGTGCCAATGCAATGCACACGATCGCATGCCGAGGGGGAAAAAACAAAAACATCGCCACGCACCTCCTCCTGGGAGGACGAAGACATTCTCTGGCCTCGCAGACTCCCAGCCAATCTCCGCAGCTGTCGTTCATGTCGACCCATGAAGCGGAGAACCCCAAAAAGTGACGGGGATCCAAGAGACGAAAGGTGTCCAGGGGTCGAGTCGATTCACCATTCTCAATTACTGATGGACGAAATCCGTTTCGCACCACCGTTCAGAAGCCCTGGCATGATTCGATTCCCCTGTAAATGCCAACAATCAATGGTTTCCCGCAGTTTCAAAGAGGTGCACGATTTTGTCCGGCCCTTCGCAAAGGGCAGATCGATTCTCTCCCTACATAAACCACTCTCTCCATGCTGGTCCTTCCCTCCACAAACCACAGAAAAAGAAACCACCCATTCGCCGAGGGGTTTGTGCCCGTTTTCTGAGTTGTAGAGGGTAAATAGGTATCACCAAACGACCGATTCGGCTCCAAGCCACCAATTCGAGGGGAAGCGGTTCATTTTCCCTGGGGGCCAAACCACCGGAAAAGCTCTTCAGGGCCTGGGAACCGTCCAAAAAAACGTCCACCGCCCGCCCGTCGCCCGTCGCCCGTCGAGACCCCCGACCCCCGGCCCCGCCTGCGGCCTCCGCCGCCTGCGCCCGCAGGCGGAAGGCCGCCTCCGCCCTCCGCCGCTCCGCGGCGGCGAAGACGAGGGGCCTCCGACGGCGCCACGGCGCCAGCGGGTGCCGAACCGCCGCGGGCGGGTTTTCCCGGTTTGGAGGCGCCAAAAAAAAAGGGCCCGTACCAATCTGAAACAGACGCTTTTGAGGCTTGCCTCATTTTTTCCCCAAGCTCCCGAGGTTTGGCAGTTTCCATTGCTTTCCTTTCGGTGGACATCGATCTTTAGCCTCCCCTCTCCGAGGCCCTGTTGCCACCGTGAGGGATGAGATTCTCAAGGTGACGTAAAACCCCGCTGGTGGGCTTTTGAAGATAAACCAAAAAGGGCACAACATGACCATTTCGGGGTCAATCAAGAAAAGGGCCGCATTTCCAACTCAACTTCATGCCCATCAGCACCTGACAAAGGCAGGCCCCTTCCAGTGTCTGGTCAGGCCCCTTCCAGTGTCTAATTGGTAAGAAACAATAGCTTGGCAATCCCACCCCCTTGTTTACTTTCGCAGGGCCGGACAATTGAACTTGGGGACTAAAGCGAGCATTATGGGGATTGATACCAACAAATAAATGGAAACAAACAGAAATAAGCAACAAAAAAAAGATTTCGCCCAGAGATCTCACTGGGCATCCCACGCGCAGGTGCTGCGATATCCTGTCCCCGTGTCCGTCGCAGTGGCAGCTACCACCTGAGCAAAATGATCGGGACGCTGGGTCCAGCGGGGGAACCTTTTTGTTGAACCCTCCAGGCCGTTTTATGCAACCCTTCTCTTGTCATTCAAGGCTCCCTTTGTATTTTGCTCTCTCCCTCTGCCCTTTTTGTCAAGCAGCCGTCTGTTCTCGGTTTACCCCGTGGCCAAAGCCTACAGCAACTGCACCACGCTAGGGCAACACTGCTACCACTGGACCCAGTTCACGCCTGCTGCCTGCTGCCTAACTCAGTGACCGAACCCTATAGCGGCTGCACTGAGCTAGGGTTGGGTTAAACGTGGGTTTAGGGTGTGGGGTTGGCTTAAGTTCTTTAGGTGGGCTGACTTTAGGCTTAAGTGTGGTTTTGGGTTGGTTTCGGGTACGTTTAGAGCGGGTTTGGGGTGGGTTCAGTGTCGGTTTAGGATCGGTTGAAGGTCGGCTCAGGCTGGGCTAAGCGTTGGTCTAAGGTGAGCCTGGTGCGGGGGGTTTCCACGGGCGGCGGGCTTAGGCAAAAACAAATCCGGTTCGCGACATCAGAACAAAATCAACCTCTGCGTCCATTCAAATTCAGAACAAAATCAACCTCAGGTGTGGGTTTAGGCTTTGTTTCGGGTGGATATAGGGTTGGTTAGGTGTGGTTTGGGGCTATTTAAGGGTGGGTTTAGGGCTGGTTTAGGGTGGGTTAGGGGTTTTGGGCGGGTTTAGGGTTGGTTTAGGGGTGGTTTAGGGTTGTCCTAGGCTGGGTTTAGAGTTGGGTTAAGATTGGCTTAGGGTGGGCTCGGTGGGGCTCAGGGTTACGGTAGGGTGGGCTTAGGGTTGAGGAAGGGTGGGTTCAGGGTGGGCTTCTTGGTTGGGTTAGGGTTGGCTTGACCCAGGCCAAGGGTGAAAAAAATCCCGAGGGCTGGAAAAACCAGGCTACTGGAGAGGCTTCCAAAACCGAGTTTGAGGGTTGAAATCAGAAAGGTTAAACAACAATTGGGTGAAACAAAAACAGCCCTGGGAAAATCGGGCGGCCCCGAACTCGGCGCATCATCACGTGAGGCTTTAGCAGCTATCGGAGCTACAATGCCGAAAGCTTTGGGCCAAGGGCAGAGTCTCAGAGCCGCACTGCAGACAGCAGCAGAAGAATCTCGTACAGAAGTGCCTGGGCAGATCTTAGAATTCTTAGACTCGCTCTGATTGCCGAAGACTAGCAGCACAAGCCTGCAGTCTCATCGTGGTGGGAGACATGGAGAGATTTCGCCGCTGCTCCCCATCATCCTCGAGAGACAAAACGTGTGACTCTGATTCAAACTCAGCTGACACCGACCTCTTCGCCTTGCACCGATGGCGTGCTGCTCATCGCACCGAAGGTCCTCGCCAGCGCGCTCGCTCCGGACAGTCGCGTTGCTTCGGGCCAAGTCTCAGTCCCCCGCGAGCACACGAGGAAGTCCGCCAACTCCCGGAAGACGCTTCGAAGTACACTGCCTAACACGAGAGGCTGGCAGCCCACACTGCAGACGCGCCCATCTGCCCATCTGCCCTACCATCCCTACCTTGGTATGACGGCACAGCCGTGGGGCAAAGCACCAATTCCTGACAGCCGAGAAGCCGAGAGGCCCAGGCAACCAAAAACACAAAACTGCCCCGCCGAAACGTCAGCTTCCACCATCCGCTCGGCAGCCTCAAGCACACAGCCGGGCGTGTGGCAGCACCAAGGATTTCCCGTGCTTCAAGCGTTGGCTTGTGTCTTGATTTTTGGAGAGAGATGTGCCTCAAAGCTTGCTGTTTCTTGTGTTTTTTTTAGGGGAGGCGTCCCCTAAAAAAAAGAGAGACACATCCATTCTAAGTGTGTTCTTTGGATTTTCGTGGTCAAGGCCAAGTTCAAGTTCATGCCCTCACCTCGAGCATCGAGACGCTCTCACCAGTGGGCAGCACTCTCAGCCTCCAACGCACCCCACCCCCCACCAACCCACCCCATTTCAGGCAGTTCCCCCATGCCATGAACATGAGTCAAGGTGCATGCAGCTCTCTTGCAGCGCAGCCGCGTCCTAGGGGGAAAAAAACAACTCACACCCCGACGCGCCGACATCGAAATCCAGCGGATGTGCTCCTCTGGACACAGCGCGCACATGGGCTCCACTAGCCTTGTGTGGGCGCGAGATTTTTCAGGGGCTCCGTCTCAAAGTGCGGTGAAAGCGCCACGTCAGATCGAAAACTCACCAAAGGCGCACTTTGCCAAAGGGGGTTGTGTCGTTTTTAAGGCTGGAGCACCCAAGAAAGGGTTGGTTTGCTGTTGAAATGTTCAAGGCTTCCATCTGCAAAACGCGCCCCGTCCAAACGAAAACTCGGCAGTTTGGTGCACTTGTTGCCCAAGGGTGTTGTTTGTCGGTTTTTAAGGCTGGACTCTCCCAAGAAAGGGTTGGTTTGCAGTTGAAACCATCCAAGAAGGACACCCTCAAAAACAAAGACACGCACAAGCTGAGCCTTGCACAAAGACTTCAAAGAGCCTTCTGATGGCTGTTCCGGCCATCTCACTTGCAACCGCTTGCCCCGGTAGTTCACCGGGATGTGGCCTTCCTGCGCACTCAAAAGCTTGAGTCCCTGAAGCCCACGGAAAGTTCCAACAGCTCGTTTCAACGGGCGCACGCTATGAATTTTGATGGGCCACTGAACGGAGCCTTTGGGGTAAATTTGTCCAACCACTTCGCCATCTGAACATGAGGATGGCCATGGTACCCGTTCCCAAAGGAGAATGGGGATCGAAAAGGAAGCTCTGCGCCTTCACTCAGCATGCGCAACACTCCAAAAGTTCAACTCGCACTCCCCGGCCACGCCTGGACCGAGGCCTCATCCTCATGGAGCGGCACCTGGAAGGGACTCGGGCGGGAGACTGCGGCGGTCTCGCAGCCGCAATTCGCGCCTGCTCAAGCTGGAAGAGTAGCTCGTGCCTGCGGCACAAGTTGCCCCCCGTGGCGATTGATTTCTGAACAGAAAAATCCAACGGCCGAGGTCAGGGTACCAAGACCAATGACACTTCTGGGCACCTACCCCTCCCAGACCCTCACATCCTTAGCCACAAACTTCTTCGGTCCCTCATTGTAAACGGCAACACCCACATGGGTGTGCCGTTTTTTTTGCAGACCCCCCCCCAAAAAAATGGTGACTTTCCTTTTGGTTCCCCTTTAAAACCGCAAAAAGGAGCACCTGCCCAAACAAACGAGACACCCACATCTCCCCGGATCGGAATTCTGCAGCCCATCGGCGCGGCAAAGCACTCGGCAAACTGCTTCAGGAGGCAGCGGCACAGCAGCGACAGGCTGAGGACCTCCGCTGCTCGCTCGCGGGCATGGGGGGTTGGATGGACCGTCCATTTTCCGGGCTGTCCAGTTTCAGATCCCCCTCTAGAAGTGGCTAAGTTGTGGGCGAAATTCGGAAATCCAACCTAAGGGGATGGTCTGTCAATTTTGTTGGGGTGCTCTGTTGGCCCACATGTCTCAGTGGAAACCCTCCATGCCGTGCTTCCACCGCCCTTGCGGTTTGTGAAACGACACCACATCTGTCAGTGGAACACAAGGCGGTACCGGGCGAAAATGACCGGCAGATACGCGTCAGAAGGCGCTCTCGGCGCGACAGCCCCAGGCATGAACACTCCCAACACCAGTTTGCTCGACAGCAATCGTGGCAATCGGCCATTATGGGGGCTGGGGGGAGGGAGGGGGAGGGGGAGGGAGCCCAAATAAGCCCTAAATATGGCCTTATTAAGGGCTTAATAAGGGTTTTTTGTGGGCTCCCTCCCCTACCCTCCCTCCCCCCTAGCCCCCATGAGACCACATGAAGGAGCCCAAAGCATTCAGCAGCTGCGCGTGGATTTGGCAGCGACGTGATCTTAACTTCTACTCCTCCTGGCGTCTGCGTGCAATGACTTCTGTGAGCGAGCCGAATTGCTGGACCTCATGGCGGCCGTCGCTAGTTGCGGGAGAGGGGGGCGTTTTCGCAGAGTAGCCCGAATTGCGCACAAACGGATTTGATGGCGCCCCAGCAGCCTGCCGGATGATCGGAATGTAAGTCACAAAAGTATTGATTTGTTTGGCCTCACGTGGTTCAAACATACACGGATGATAACAGCTCGGAACCGCTGCAGAAGGTCCAACAAGCAGGCTGCTTCTTGTGACAAGCCTGTTCGCGAATCTGATTACAATCGTACTCAGAAGTTCCCAAAAAAAGGCGGCTTTGGCCCACGCTGGCTTTGGCGGGAGCTGTTGCGGCATGGGCCGTTCAGTGTGCACGTGCTGTCGCAACAAGTGTTGGATCGTCGTTTCGATCAAGAAAAGATTCAGCGTGAAGAGCTTCAAGCTCACTGGATGCAGGAGGGGTGCCTCGTGTGCCTCGTGGAAATTATCTTCACAGTTTGCACGGGCTGCGAGGCCCTTCTGCGCCTCACCAAGTTGGCTCTGCAAAGGCTCCATTTCGTCTTGACAGCCGTGAGGCATACCCTGTGTTAATGCTCTTCCAGCATTCTGTCCCTCTGTTAACTGACCACTTGCGCTGCGTCATCTCACTATGCCATTCTTGACAAAAAGCATCAAACCGGCTACTTTGTAGAGCGATGGGGCACTCATACTCTTCAGACCGTTTAGCACCAGCGTCGTTTACCTCGCCGGAGATTGTTGCCCGCAAAAAGCTCACCTCGGAACGAAAGCGCGACTCTCCATCCACTCTTCCTGCGCGTGACGAACCTCGCGACTGTTCGCTTCATCCAACCGGCGAGCAGCTTCAGCTAAACGCGCGCTGCACTCAGCCCTTGCAGCGTCACGCAGCGTCCATCGTAGCACGATGTAAGGCTTCAGCTTCATCCCTGACAACGTCCATTGTTATCGGAAATGTTGTAGACCGCATACAAACATGCGGGGTTCATGGTAACCATCTACAAGGCGCTACGGATACTTCAAGTCTTGAGCAACGCATTGCATACCGCGCGCATAGGGCGCAGGCGTGCTTTCACACCCCCTCATGAGAGAGCGCAGATTGAAGATGCGCTACGCCCGGTTTTGCGGCCAGCTTGAAGTTCCGGACGGAGCTATGCATCTACGCACCAACTGAAACAGCAAGCACAGGTTCCAGGGCCATGTTTTCAGACATTTGAGAACACTTGAGGAGGAATGCAAGGCCCCGGCGGCTGAGAAGGTGCAAGGCTTCGCATCTGCCGGAGAAGTCCGGTAATAGTGGAGAAGCCTGGCCTCGGAAGGGTCCGCCAATGAGGGTGTCAAGCAAAAGCAGGTTTTAGCCAATGTTTCGGCCCTTTGTTGTTTATCAGGGCCAAAGTTGTTCCTTGTTTTTTTTGGGGGGGGGGTTAAAGGGAAACCAGAAAAACCGCCAGTTTGGAGGGTCGGACAAAAAAGACACACCTATTTTGAGAACCTCTGATTTCACAAGGAACACTTCAGCTCACCCCAGTCTCGACGACTCGCTGGCGCAAGTGAGCGAGTCCTGCAGGGAAAGCCCAGCTTCCCTTTGGGTACCACGCCCAGAAGCGTAAGAAGGTGCGGAAGTTCGCGCTGTGCTCGTTGGTCGCAACCTCGCAACCGTCGAGGGTGCCACGCGAACCGTTGCCTGCAAAGGACTCAGGAACCCACGAGCTGCAGAAAGTATGCGTCTCTCCTCGCATCGGCATCAAGCTGATCGGCATTGAGCAAAGAAGCGCAATCTCAGGAGCCAGCACTAATGCATCAAGCACCGTTGGCTCCGCATAGTGGGACTCAAAGAAGCCAGGCTTCAGCATTCCTCCATGTCAGAAAGTTAGAAACTTCACAGGATCGCACCCTCAAATCTCCAAAGCTGGTGATTCTAGTGCCAGCTTCCGCGGGTCCATCCAACCCCAAGCCCATTTGAGTCACAATCAAAACCCGGTAGTACAGTAAAATGGTCGTAATCCCAAAACCAGGTAAAGAATTCAGGAGGCGGATATCCGCAACTATTTCTGGCTGGGACGGCCCCTTACTAACCTTCATCTACCCGAATCGGTTTTGATTGTGGCTCATTTTGACGATGGCGCTGCCGCAAAATCCGCCTGGCAGCTGCACTTTGAGCAGCTCGAACCTCGTGAGAAAATTTCGTGAGCGCGCAGCTTGCGAAGTTCGAGCAGAGGCTGGCGCCAAAAGCTGTCTGTGATCGCAATCCGCTTGGGCTTCGTCATCTCCTGCAAAGCCTGTGAGGCAACGCTTGCCCTTGAGTGCCAAGAGTAGAAAGTACAAAGGAGTGCTCAAAAAAGTGTCCCGAGTTTCTGAGAAGTACCCAAAAAGGTGCGGTCGCCCTTCATGGCTCAAGCCCCCCGTCCTTTGCAGCGGGCCCCTCTGGCAGCACACTCTCCTGATCGCTCACACGAGCCGAGCGCTCAGTGACTCCCAAACTCCAAGCTGAGGCGTGCGCGGAGCTCCCCATGGCGAAGCATGCGAGTCCGGCGCGGAGCGCTGTGCTACATCCAGCCACTTGGCGAGCGACGATAGCTGGTGTTGCTTTACTGAGCTGGCACCCCCCCCCGCAAAAAATGGAATGCGGTCAAGGTACTGCTCCAAGAATTTGTCCTGTCCCGCTGTGACGGTTCCAAGATCCTTGCGCTGCCCGTAATTCAGTGTCAGGCACCAAGCTCGCTCCATACCAACTTTGAGAGCTGCGGGACAGCGAGGCAGCTTGCCGAAAACCTGTTCACTGGTTTTGACCGGCGGTTTACACAGACCTCGCTCTCCCCAGCAACCTGGCTAGTTGGACACCCGTACTTAAAATGCTCACTCAAAGGATCAAAGGAGGTGAAATGGGTGCTGTGCCACACACTTTCCAACTTTCCAAGGCCCTGCCTCAGTGCCACCGATGGTCAGGGTATCAGTGAGGATACGGCCCATCACTTGCTGGCCATCCGCGAAGGACAAACTGCGAGCGCGGGCGCAACCCATCGAAGCGCGACGTGAGGCGGTTTTGGATTGGGACGCAGCTGGGACTTTTCGCTTTTCGCACTGCACTTTTGGGCACCTCATGCGCCGTCGCAACCCTTCCGGCCGCGAATTGCAGCCAGTTGCAGCACCTCCGCGAGAAACACCGGTCACAGCGCGCGCTCGTACTGCCCCCGCCGGGTTGCAACCTGTCAGCCATCTCGCATTCTCCTAGTTCGCCAGGCGCAGGTTGCCATGCCCGCTGAACTTCTCCAGTGTCCGAACGGCTCATGTGCGAGTGGTACTTCATGTCCAGCAAAAGGATCGGCGCAGGTCCATGAAATCACACCTATGTGTTGGGTCGCATCAACTGATAGCCTTCCTTGGTCGCTGCTTGGCTCTGGTGGAACATGCAACTCACAGGAAGCTTTGCAACCTGGGTGTCTCTTTTGTTTGGGGACCCCGAAAATTGCGGTATGTGGGCGTCCCTTTGAAAAAGAACGGTAGTGTCAAAAAAAAGACACACCCACATCACAGTGTGTGTGTGTGTGCAGGTATCTTGCCCCGAGCTCCGAACAATCCCTGCCACATCTAGCAGCTTGAGTCCCTCACAACTTGGCTCCATGCCATCATGAGAGACGCACAACTTCAAGCCTCGACAGGTTCGCCGCTATCTCCAAGAACGGCCAACAGCCACCTTGGCAAGGCTCGGCGCAGGAGATCAAACTTGTCATAATGCCATGGAAGTAAATTGGGGTTGATCAATATTCCTGGCCGGGAAATACCATATCTTTAGCGGTTTCCCCCAACTGTCATCGCATGTAAAGGACCTTTTGATCAACCGCCACATATGACTCAAGGCCTGCACGTATTGTCGAAGGGCATGTAGACAGCGTTGGTGACGTAAATGCCAAACCAGAGCTCTTCCCCAACAAAGGCTTGGGTCCCACTGCCAAGGCTGTACGGCGCGTGCACGGGACAGCTTGCCTCATCACCAGCACAGCTCGCCGCTTGTAGGATTCCTGGCAGAGAACGCGCGGCGTTTTCGGCCGCTTTTTTGGCCCAGGAACGCCTGCGGAGGCTCCCCAAACAGGGCGGCGGGGGGCTGCCAAGCACCTGAAGCTCCAAATGAAGGGCACCAGGGATCCACTTTTTGACTACCCCAAGATAAGCCCAGGAGTTCCCCTCTTGGGGGTAATGACCCACCCCTGGGTTTAAGTCTACCCTGGGGTAGTCGAAAAGTGGAACCCTGAATGGCACATGTAAGAGTCAAATGGCTGTGGGTCAAAAATATGTACACAAAATGAAACCCTGGTAAATGGAAACATGGACCAAAACCTGCGGTCCCCTGGTGGTTTAATTTTGACCCATACCCAAATAGGCGGAATGGATGGCCGCCAGGGCCCGGACATGATCCACAAGCCTGGAGGCACAGACACTCCCGCATCTGCGCAGGGACCGCTTGATGGCAAGGCGTCCTGGCATGGCATAGCTCTGGCGACCATGGGATCAAGGGGCAGCTCCCAGGAAAAAAATGGACTAAACGAAGAAAAAACAAAAAAAAAGAAGAAGAAAACAGATGGAGAAAACAGAAGAAAGACACAAAGAAGCAAAATAAAAGAGAAAAAGAAGAAAAAAAAACACGTCCTGGGTGGTGCAAGCAAAGCGCTCAGGGGAGCCGTGCCAGCCACCCGGCCCCTCGCCACCGCCCAGGGTGCCGGGCAGAAAGCCTGGGCGCTCGGCTCCAAGGCTCGACAGCGGAAACTACTTGAGTCATTCTCAAAACCCGGTATCAAAATGGTCGGGACCATAGGTGCCCTTTTTGGGGTTTCCCTGGTAGATGATTAAATCAACAGGTAAACCAGGAATCGCCATCAATTTTTCGACCAAAACAACCGAAAGGACACCTAATGGTCGGGACCCAGAACCATGCTTCAAGAAGCAAGAAGGCAGCAGCTATTTGTGGTTGCCCTTTACTAACCTTCATCTACCCGGGTTTTGATTGTGGCTCTGCTGCTGCTCGGGGAATGACAACCAGGCCCCAGGTGCTGGATTCGACTGAACCGGTTTTGGGGACCTCCGAACGAAGGAAGCCCATGCAAATCGGGGGATGGTTTAGTTCGGGCTTCCCTGGTTTTTGGGGTCATTTCACTTCTCATTCCCTGCTGAGAACTAGCCAGGCTAGGCATCTCACCTGTACACGTCAGCTCCGTTCCGCGGGGCGCGACGATCAGAAGTGCCTGAGCGCGCCCAAGAAAACCGCCAGCGCGGCCCATGCGACGTGTGTGCTTTTTGTCGCAAAACGGCCATGAATTTCTATACAGAACCACCTCACAAGGGGTTGCTGGACATGAATCCCCACCTAAATGCCACGAAAGGGTCCCCAGTTAAAATTCACACCCAAATGGGGAGCGTGCGAGTAACCGCGCCGCTCCAGTCGAGGTGTCCTCGCGGAAGCAAACTTGTGACAGCCCCACGACGTACTCCTTTTGTGACAAGGGGGGCAGGGTCCAACAAGGAACCGGCCAATATCTTTGACAACCCCCCTGCTGTGGATGGACGAATCCTGCACCTAAGGTTGCCCTGGAATGATTCGATTCCCCAACGAAAATACCCACAAATGGTTTCAACCATGGCGTCATTTCGTGGTGCGAAGGAATTTCGCAACCATCCGAGTCATAGTCAAAACCCGGTAGTAAAATGGTCTACCCAGAACCATGTAAAGAATCACAAAGGCGGATATCCGCAACTATTTCTGGCTGAAACTGCTAACCTTCATTTACCTGAATTGGTTTTGATAGTGGCTCGAATCCACGGTATGGACGTCTGGGGCTTTCTCTGCGCCCGGATCCGCGGTCATTCCGCGGCAGCACGGTCACGTTGAGAAGGTGGAAGGCGCCGGGGTGCACGCTGTTGGGGGCAATGAAGCCCTGTGCAAAAGCTGGCTGGAAGGCGGTGTCGGTGTTGCATAGAAACCAGGGACATAGAAAACTCTGCAGGAAATTGGGCGTCCAAACACCCCCTAAAAACCTGATGATTTTCTGGAGAAGTCTGGCTGGTTTCTATGATTGTCAACTCTACCATAAGCTCTGTGCCTCCATACCAGAAAGGCTGAAGCCGGGGATGGCTGCCTGTGACTCTCAAATGGCTGCTGATGCAAGCCAAAAATGAATGGCGCACTGGCCTGGTGCAGCGTTTCGAACAATGCACTGGTTGCTGCCCAGCCTGAGAAGAAGGGAAGGGGTGGCATGTGAAGCTATGCCTTGCAACTGCATCTTCAGCTAAGAGGCGGGTCATGAAGATCCAGTTGTTCAGGATCGTTGCGTCCGGGCTGAACAGAGGATTCCGAACCAAAAGCACGACCTTGCATATCATGGGTGTGTCTCTCTTTGAGGGTACCCGTTCTGGGGTTGGCTTACCAACAGAATGACATACCCTCGTAGAATACTCCAACATGGCGCAAGCATTCCTGCGCGCCTGATACTCTTTATCCTGGAGCAGCATTCCACTCCGCGAGCTGTCCTGGCAAGCCCAGGCTTCCTATGCAAGCACAAGAGCAACCGCGTGCACCATATCACAGATGCAGTTGCGTGGCCATTTAGCTGTATTCCAGCCAGCATCCCACCCTTCGCTAACATCGATTTCTCCTTCATTCTCTCCCCCTCTCCCTCTCTTCGTCTCCCCTCTCTCCTCTCGTGTCTCCTCTCTCCTCTCTCCCTCTCGCCTCTCCCAGCTCTCCGCTCTCTCCCTCTCTCCTTCTCTCTCTCTCCCTGTCTTCCTCTTGCCCTCACTCCATCTCCTCCCTCCCTCTCCCTCCCTCCCTCTCTCTCTCTGTCTCTCTCTCTCTCTCTCTCTCTCTCCCTCTCTCTGTCTCTCTCTCTCTCTCTCTCTTTCCCTTCCTCTCCCTCTCCCTCTCCCTCTCCCTCTCCCTCTCCCTCTCTCTCTCTCCCTCTCCCTCTCCCTCTCCCTCTCCCTCTCCCTCTCCCTCTCTCTCTCTCTCTCTCTCCCCCTCTCTCTGTCTCTCTCTCTCTCTCTCTCTCTCTCTCTCTCTCTTTCCCTCCCTCTCCCTCTCCCTCTCCTTCTCTCTCTCTCTCTCCCTCTCCTCTCTCTCTCTCTCTCTTTCTCTCTCTCTCTCTCTCTCTCTCTCTCTCTCTCTCCCTCTCTCTGTCTCTCTCTCTCTCTCTCTCTCCCTCTCCCTCTCCCTCTCCCTCTCCCTCTCCCTCTCCCTCTCCCTCTCCCTCTCCCTCTCCCTCTCTCTCGCCAAAACACGTCTCTCCAAAACTGAGAGGCCGCAAACGAGAGGATTCAATGCATCGAAGTCATGGGGTATTCAGCAATGCTAGGAGGCGATATGGGCAGGGGTCAAAACCTGCGGTCCGCTGGTTGAATTTTGACCCATACAGACCGCATTGGCCTCCGCTTCCAGCAGGATGAACGAGGCGTTGGAGTATGCCTTGAACAAGTCTCAGCCGATTGGGACGCCATCGGCTACACTCTCCCTCAGACCAACAGCCGGAAGCTCCCAGAAGGCCTTCGTTGCATGGAATCAAGTCTTCACAGGGGTCCTGGGACCCTGGGACCCTGGGAGCTTCCATATTCACCTGGAGTCTTTGCAAGGCGCGCACCCCCCGGGTCTCACCACGGCAGTAGTACGGTGGTGGCCTGAGGCTGGACATGCAACGCCGACGGATTCATAACCCTTCCCCCGACTCTCCCACGCACCCCCCCAACCCCCCCACCCCCCCACCCAAATATTTATCAGGGGGTCCCCCTCCTGAAAGAAAGAAATCCCCACTACAAAAAGAGACCCCTGTAGGGAGTTTCTTTCTCAGCGGTCGTCTGGTACAAGCTGAGCACTGGACAGTCCGGCTGAGCCGTCCATGAAGGCAGCCTGATCCATGGGTTCATCGAGGTGGTGATGCCGCCACACATCCCGCCTCCTCAATCGCTTCGCAGTCTTCAGGAAAGACCTGAGTGCTGTGAGAACAGGTGCCACAAGGCTTCGTCTCGCCGAGAATTTGCCACTTTGGGCGTCCCTTTCAAGCCATCCCCGAAAAAAGCATCCGATCTCGGGGCTCAAAGAAGCCCAATGGGTGCCAATCAGGGCTTGCCTCTTCCACTGAAACGAACAGCCTCCCTTGAAACGGTTTTTGTACACTACCAGGGGGTCTGCTTAAGTATGCCGCAAACAGTGGAAAAGGCCCAAACGACGGTACCAATTCCGATGGTCCAAGGCATTCCCGAGCCCCAGGCATATCCCACTGGAGGAATCACCAACACCCTGGAAGAGCACGCAGTTCCGCACGGAGCGGCGCCTGGGCGTCGGTCTCGTCTTCGGTGCTTTGGCCCGTTGGTTGTTGGGGGAAACCGAAGGAAGCCTTCGGAAACCGAAGAGAAACCCACCTGCCTTCTGCCTTTTGGGGGTAGAGTCCGCGAGGCAAACGGGTCACATGATCGAGAACATGAGGACTCCTTGATGCGGGGCATGGCTCCCTTCCAATTCTTAGATTTGAGGATTTGCCTTGTTCCCACACTTGTTCGTGCATGCACAGTAGCAGCCAGTGGCCATGGTCATGCCCATTGAAACGAATGGTGGGGCGGAGCGGACAATGACCTTGTCTCTACGGGAAACTTCCTCACTTTTTTCAGGGATCCTTCTTACCACAAAACCAAGACATGGAAACCGGCTAATTGAAAAAAAAAAAAACATCTCAAAAACAAGGATTTCCACATCCTTTTATGGCTGGAACCATCCCCCGTGCCATTCCCTCACCATCGCTCGCGGCGCAATCCAGCGCCGGCTCGCGCCTGCAGGCGCTGGCGCCGCGCGCGGCAAGTCCTGCGACAGCACGAAGGACAGCCTCGCGCGCGCATGCGCGAAAAGCCCCCGCAAAACTTTGCTTTGAATCGAGCACATTTGTTTTCTTGAGAGATTCGTTGCTTTTTTTGTTTTGTGTTCGCGACATCCCACTGGGGCGGTGTTCTTGTGTTCTTGCGAATCTCTCACCATTTGTTTTGCATCCCGGGTTCCCAAGCTACCGCCGTGTAAGTGGCAAGTTAGATGTCAACTTGGTGAGCCTGCGGTAGAAACGAATGAGAAACTCCTCCAACTCACCATGCCTCTGTCATTCCCCCAGAGGACAGTCACCCAGTGTGTTTTCGCAGCCGTGATGAATCACCCAAACCCCTACATCTGAGGCCAGAGAAGGGAAGAACACGTCCCCAGGCAACCCCATGGCTCGGTGCTGCTTGTCCTTCCCTCGGACCCTTTCCTGCGAACCAGTTTTGTTGACCTCCTTTTCCCCTTTGTCCGTGGGGGCCCAAAGAAAACGAAGTTGAGGATCGAACAAAAGCGGCCCCTGCCCTTTCCACACCTCAGCACGTTGCGTGGGTACAGCGGCAGCAGTGAGCTTGGATTCACCTCGGAGGCGCTGCTTTTTGCAAGCCTTGCGGACAGAGACGTGCTTTTGTTTAAGTCGTCTGGGGGGAGAGAGAGTCCAACCCAACCCTCCAAACATGATTAGGCAACGCCTCCAATGCTCCAATGCTCCGGCCCGAGGGCGCGGCTTGTATTTGCAGCACGCTCCCGCGCAGCACGAAGCCAGACATCCGCCCCCAGTGGACTTGCCTCAAGAGCTTCGGCGAAAACTCGCACAGGTTGCCCAGTGCGCGAGGCGTCGCACGCTCGGCCGGCCTCGTGTCCGCAAAGGTCTGCAAGAACCAGAAGCTCTCATCTCTTCCGGGGCGCGCGTCCGGACAATCCACCTCACCAGAAGAAGAAAAAAAAACAAGCCCAGGCTCGCGAGATGGAGCTGAGTCTCCCCGCAGAGGCCGCCAAGGCATACGGCACCAACGGCAGAACCAGGCTTCCTCCACCAAGTGCCGCAGGAATTTCCAGGTCAAGCCTGCAGGCAGGGAATTGAATGCTAGGCCCTTCAAAATGCCAGAGGTGAGGTCTGCCAAAAAGAACCCGTCACATGGCTAGTACCCCCAAAAAAGAGCACCAGGGATGGAAGGTGAGCCGAAAACCAACGCACACAGTTTGGGACGGGCCTTGGCCCGTGGAGATTCACCAAGATGCCTGGCGTTCGGAACCCCACCGGCTCCCGGCGCGCTGTCGTTTTTTTTTTTGGGGGGGCCTTTTGTTTGCCGGGCGGGAAACCAAACGAGACAAAACACCCGCTGAAGAAACGGGAAACCCCGACAACTTTGCCAGTCTCCCGACAAAAGAACAGGGGCGCGCCCAAAGAAAGGCGGCCTGATGGCAAGGTGTTGGCCGCGATGTTGCCGTTGCCCTGCAATGCCTGCGTTCACGTTACCCCCCAGCCGTCGCGACCCAGAAAACCAAAAAGGGTACGTGCCCTTTGGGAACCGAGTCCGAGCAGATACCCTGCTGCATATATTTTCGGAAAATCCTGGTTGCATGGTTTGGGGCGAGAAACCATCTTCGCATTTCGACCGGCCTGACTCTCAGGCAGGCCAGCTTTGATCCAGGCTTTCATGTAGGTCAGCCGGGCCTGTCAGGTCACCAACTGGCTCCAGTGGGTAGAGCCTCCAACTCCTTCAGAGTTATCCCATACTTTCTTGCGATCGGTGCGATAGGCAGGCCCTGAGGGAATGACCCCACTAAACCATCCAACTGGTGGTTTGCCTTTATTCGGGAATCCCTGAAAAGTTGATTCCCGGAGTCCCTACCTATCGCACCAGCAAGTCAACTGTGGCTCACAAGCTAGAGCCTATGTGCTTTGCTGAGGAAGGCGCTTGTGTGGTCCACTCAAGCGGACCTGACCTTGGCCCATTCACAAAGACCGTGGGGGGAATTAACTCCGTTTGCTTTCCCAAAAAGGCAGGTACCCGGAGACAGGCCAGAACGACCACACGGTTTCCGACTTTGACCCTGAAAAAGGCCTGACAAAAAAAGGTGCGACCAACCTCAACACAAACTTTCTTCTTGGGAAAACTAGCCTTGAAACGGTCAAATGAAACCAGCCATACAGGGCTCCCCAAAAGCTTCCCCCCTACATCACCTCAGGAAGTTCACTTTTGTTCTTTGCAACCGAAAGGTGAATTTAAGCCACCCTCTATCTTAAGGGGTTATGTTGGTTTGTCAACAAAGTTGTTTCCTTGCGGTTTCTCTTTAACGACCAACAAAAGGGGCGTCACAGACCCGAAAATCGTTGGAACCCTGTACATCATTTTTCCGGGAGCTCGGCCGGAAGATAAATCCAGGAGGCGCCAGGATGCTGAGCACCACAGAAACCCGGGGCAACCTGGTGCCAACGTTGGGTCTCGCTCGTGTCGTTGGCTTCCCCGAAAGCCAACATCCAAATGGGCATGCATACTAATTCGGGGCATGCGAGTCTGTTGTTTTTGTTGTTGTTGGTCCCCAATTTGGGTCTGCTTTATATATATATATATAAGGGACCCTTTGGTGGACATCATTTGGGTGCGGATTCATGTCCACCAATTCATAGCCAAATCGGTGCATCAAACAGTGGCAACCCATGCTCTGTGACAGATTGGTTTCCCTGCAAGCCATCCAAATCAGCCCTACCCAATTCGGTCGCAGTTTTTCGGGGAAGGCAATGTCCATTGCCCTCAGGCTCCAGCGCCGTCTCCAACTCAAAAAGGATCACAACCAGGTCGCCATCCTTAGCGCGCTGGGACTCGGCCATGCGTTGAAACAACCAACCTGGTTTTTCGGTGAAGCGAAACAAGGAGTCTCTTCAAACTGGTGTGGTTGGCTCACAACAGCAGCTACCTGTACCCAAAAAAGAAAGAGAAAATCTTCGAACAGATCAGTTTGGAGACTTCCACTTGACCAACCCCCAGGGGTCGACTTTTTCACTTTTCGGGGTGGCTCAGTGGCTCATTCCTCTTGGGAGGAGAACCGGGTTCAAGTCCTCGGGGTCCCAACTCTGGGGCCGGGGCGTAGGCCAAGGTGCCCACCGTGGGCTCCACCACTGCGCGCCGGAGCCCCTGCGGAGCTCCGGGAACAAGAGAAAAAGAAACAGAAACAGGTGCTTTGTTTCAAAAACAAACTTGCACGCATACATACATACATACATACATACATACATACATACATACATACGTACATACATACATACATACATACATACATACATACATACATACATTACATACATACATACATACATTACATTACATTACATTACATTACATTACATTACATTACATACATACATACATACATACATACATTACATACATACATTACATTACATTACATTACATTACATTACATTACATTACATTACATTACATTACATTACATTACATTACATTACATTACATTACATTACATTACATTACATTACATTACATTACATTACATTACATTACATTACATTACATTACATTACATTACATTACATTACATTACATACATACATACATACATTACATACATACATACATACATACATACATACATTACATACATACATACATACATACATACATACATACATACATACATACATACATTACATACATACATACATACATACATACATACATACATACATTACATACATACATACATACATACATACATACATACATACATTACATACATACATACATACATTACATACATACATTACATTACATTACATTACATTACATTACATTACATTACATTACATTACATTACATTACATACATTACATTACATTACATTACATTACATTACATTACATTACATTACATTACATTACATTACATTACATACATACATTACATTACATACATACATACATACATACATACATACATACATACATACATACATACATACATACATACATACATACATACATACATTACATTACATACATACATACATACATTACATACATACATACATTACATTACATTACATTACATTACATTACATTACATTACATTACATTACATTACATTACATTACATTACATTACATTACATTACATTACATTACATTACATTACATTACATTACATTACATTACATTACATCATACATACATACATACATACATACATACATTACATTACATTACATTACATTACATTACATTACATTACATTACATTACATTACATTACATTACATTACATTACATTACATTACATTACATTACATACATTACATTACATTACATTACATTACATTACATTACATTACATTACATTACATTACATTACATTACATTACATTACATTACATTACATTACATTACATTACATACATACATACATACATACATACATACATAATATATGTGTATAGTTTTGTGTATATATAATTAATAATATGTTACTGTTTGGTTCTTTAAAACAAAGGAGACAAAAAAGAGGCCCCGGTGTTTCTGTGCTCCCTCGAAAGGTGCCCGTTTCGAGGCAAAGGGCGAAGGCAAAGCGTTGCCGAACCGAACCGCAAAGCGATTGTTGTTGCTTCTTTCTTCTTCTTTTTTCTTCTTTTTTGGGGGGCGGGTTGCCTATGGGACTCCTTGAGAAACCAGAACATTCGTTGGGAAGTGCTCACCGAAGACCCGCCGCATATGGCGAACTTCCTGAGGTTGCTCTCACCCCACCTCGTAGAGCTTCGGTGACTCGTGCTGCGCTTCATCCACGATGTCATAGCGCCCACCTGTCTCAAAAGGGTATGGATCAAAATTAAACCACCAGTGGACCGCAGATTTCAATCTATACTTCCATTTACCAGGGTTCATTTTGGGTACCTATTTTTGACCCACACCCAAAACACGGGAACCCCGAAAGTGGTTGCTGTTCTTGTGACCCTTTGAAAACCAAGAAGAGGACCCACAAAACGACGAACCGAACCAGGTGGTTAGGCCACCTGTGATTTGGGTGAAGGCTTTTTTGAGGGTTCCTTCTTTTCAGGTTGGTCTAAAGGGAAAAACCATGGGGGTCGAAATGAATTTGACACACTGGCCTGAAGAGCCTTCGGAGGCAATCGTCCACACTGCGGAGCCCCCCGCAAGACTCGAAGATGTCTTGACGTCCAGAAATGTGACCTGCCGAGAAAGCCAACCGTTCCCAACCCCAAATCTATGCTCATCCATATGGGTGGCTCGTCTTTTTGGGGGGTACCGCCTTGTTTGCGGGTAAAGGGAAACCCGGCCATATTGGGGGTCCCCTCAAAAGAGACCCAGCCATTTGTTTGCCCGCACTGTTTCACTTGCAAATGCCGAAACGCTTCCAAGAACTCCAAATCGGGCACCCCGTCCTCGATCTGTGTTCCGGGCAGCAGCGGGCTCGCAAGCGCTGATGGCAGCAGCCTGGGCGTGTGGAACACCGCGAAGCAAGTGGCGCACGCAGGGGCGCCTCAGAACCCTGAGGCGCAACCAAAATCGCTGACCTCAAGCTCTGCATGCCATTCCAGCCACATCTGCTAAACATGATTGCCTGAAAAGCTTGTGCTTTTTTTGCAAAACCGATATATGCTAAACAACATTGCCTGAAAAAATGATGTGTGTGTGTGTTTTTGTTTTTGCAAAACCGATGACGGACGCCGACCACACTGGCATGGGCCACGGGCAATATAAAATTTATCCCAAGGACCGGGGAAGATTGACGTGCCTCGTATTGTGTGGGAAGTTCGATTTGGGTTGCCTTCCCATAGCTGCAGTCTATATTTACTGTAGCAACAAAAACAAACAAACTGGGATTCAAGATTCAAGATGTGCAGAAAAAGGATATTTGGTAATCTTGAATCTTGAATCCCAGATTCTTTAAAAGCAAAATGAGATGGTATTTTGGGGCTCACGATGCCCCAAGTGTACTACCCTACAAAAAATAGCGACCGTTCCTTAAAATGTCTCCAACCAGCCGATCAGCTTCCCTCCAATCGTTGGTTCGGAGCCCGGCAGATTGGAGGTGTTCAGGGGTAGTGTCCCATTTACCCTTTTCCGAAAAGTAAATCCTACTAATCCAAGCCAAGCCAACTTTCTGCTACCTGAGTAGACCGTGTCACTTGGCTGTGGCTCAGAAAACCGGTACCAAAATGGAACCCTGGTAAGATGGACCAAAACCTGCGTAACCCCTGCTGGTAAATTTTGCGCCACACCCACTTGCTCAGATGGTGTAAGGAGCCAGCTGAACGTAAGCTGCCGCACCGAAGCGTGCGCTGCCGTAGCAGCACCCCGGCCTCGCACATCGGAGCACCGCTGCACGAACCGACTTCCCGAAGGGGGCCCGCGAAATGGAGGGGCTCCTTTCAGACCAAAGGTGCCAAGATAAGAAAGACCCAGGGGATGTGAATGGCTCGAGGTGCTTCTTTTCTTTGGCTCAGTACAGGAGCCTATGCAAGCTGTCGACACTGTTCAGGGTATGCCTCAACTAGTAGAGGGGCCCAAAACGCACTGGTGCTCTCTTTGGTTCCCCTTGAAACCTACCTGAACATTTGCGCCCTCACACACACACACACACACGGTTCACAAGCAAGCCAACCGAGACCCTCACTCGCTGCAGTGGGGCAGCTCGATGCTTTCCCCGGCTCTCGTTGCCTGTCACCAAAACTGGCTGGTTCGCAACAGGGAATGAGGGAATGACCCGTATGAACCATCCCCTGTGGCTTCCTTTAAGGGAATTCCTGGGTTCATTCCCAAAACCCTGGGTCATTCCCTACTGAGGACCAGCAAGAAAAATCGATGGAAAGTGCCTGCATTCACAAGGTGTTGCCCCCCATGCTACTGCACTCCCCTCTTCACTGGGACACTCCCCAGCGTGCCGAACCCTTCGTTGCTGTTTGCTTGTTTTGTTTTTCTTCTTTCCTTATTTTCTTATTTCTTTCATTTTTTTCGGGGAAAACCAAGAGAAAACATTCTCATTGCAGGGGAGGCTCCCTACTGTGGCTGGTTGCGAAATCCAGTTCGCAGCACGACATGAAACCATGGTTGTTCAACGACAACGTTTCTTGGTTCCTTACCATTGAATCGACTCATTTTCCGCTGGGCTTCTGAGGACTTTGATACAAACCCATCCTTTCATTTGCTCAAGCCGCCTGGGCAACAAAAAAAAAAGGTCAGTAGTGAGATCGATTCCCTTTAAAACCAACAAGGGAAATTTTGTGTGTATATATATATATATATATATATATGGTTCCGGTCGGCGAGCGGCCACCCCCCCCCCCCACATGGTATCCCCCCGCACTTGGGGCCGGGGGGTGGGGGAGGGGGTGGGGCCCTTTTTAAGGCTACCGTGACCATGGCGGGGGGGGTGGGGTGGGGGGGTGCCAGACCTCTACCATATATATAAATGTCAGCACACCAGTTCCTCGGATCCCATCTCAGCTCCGCACGCTCACATAGCAACGAACGGAGCCGCAGGCCAGCTCCTCGCTCGACAAGTCATCGGCGTGGGACCCGCGGCCGTCCGTTTCTTGGTGTTTGCTTTTGTTGTTCTTTTTGTTTTGAATTGTCTTTTTCTGTTTTGTTGTTCTGTTCTTGTTTTGTTTTTTTTGTTCTTTCCTTTTTTCCCCAAACAGCTGAAAGCTTTGGGGTCTCAGCCCAAATAGGCTCCAGGGCGTTCCGCGAGGATGGGAGGGTGTGGTGCTGTTGGGGATATCGCCTGAGCTGATTTTGTTTCTTCGGGACCGACCGTTGTTTTTGGTTGGGTCGGTTTCAAGGGAAGCCAAAAGGGGAAATCAAAAAGGAAAGAAGCAAACTTTGTTGGTCGGTTTTTAAGGAAAACCAAAAAGGAACACCCCCTTGTTGGGTCGGTTCAAAGGGAAGCCAAAACGAAAAACAAAACAAGAAACATGTTCTTTTGGTCAATGTTTGAAGGAAAACCAAAACGGACACCCCGACATCTTCAGGGTCACCCTCATTTTGGCTCGCCAAACCTACGTCTTCCCCGAACCGCATAGGCCCAGGCAGTGTCCAACTCAGGCTGGCATTCATCGCCGAAGCCCGAACCTGCAGGACATGGTTTTGTGACGGTTTAATCGAAACAGGGCTCCACTTCTTGACTTACCCCAAGGCAGACTTAAACCAAGTGGTTCGTTTCCCTCAAAAGGAGAACGCCTAGAGTTAAACCTTTCTTGGGGTAGTCTAAAAGTGGACAACAAGTGCAACCCTGAATGGAAACCCGGAGGCAAAAAAACACCCTTTCGGCAGGGGCATGTTTGCCCCCTCCCCCCACCTCCCATTTGTCACACATACCCACATTGACATGTGTTTTGTTCTTCCCCCCTCCCTATTTTCACACATGCCCATATACTTGGCTGTGGCTCAAAAAACCGGTACCAAAGTGGAACCCTGGTAAGTGGAAACATGGACCAACACCTGCGTACCCCCCCCCTGCTTAATTTTGAGCCGCAGCCACTTGTTTCTTCAACTTCCGTGCCGCGCCTTCTTGCACTCGCGGCACAGGCCAGGTCACGTCCCAGGCGAACTGGAACCAGGCCGCCGGCTTCACCTCGCTCGGTGCTTCGGACCGACCGAGCCATGTACCATCCGAGGCCCGGGCGCCGAGCCGGGCCATGAAACCCAACTTCTTGGTCGGCCCAAAACGACCCCTCTGCAAAACGACACCATTCATCCTGGTTGCTGGAAACCGAGCCCTCTGCAATGCCTGGACCAATGAAACTCAAATTCAGTTGCACCAGTCATCCTGGCTGCACAAAAAGTGAGTTTAACTTTTGGTGGGTATGCTTGTAGGCCGAATGGATCTCAACTTCAGATTCACCAGTCATCCTGGTTGCTGCACAAAAAGTGAGTTTAACTTTTGGTGGGTATGCTTGTAGGCCGAATGGATCTCAACTTCAGATTCACCAGTCATCCTGGTTGCTGCACAAAAAGTGAGTTTAACTTTTGGTGGGTATGCTTGTAGGCCGAATGGATCTCAACTTCAGATTCACCAGTCATCCTGGTTGCTGCACAAAAAGTGAGTTTAACTTTTGGTGGGTATGCTTGTAGGCCGAATGGATCTCAACTTCAGATTCACCAGTCATCCTGGTTGCTGCACAAAAAGTGAGTTTAACTTTTGGTGGGTATGCTTGTAGGCCCAATGAAACTCAACTTCAGATTCACCAGTCATCCTGGTTGCTGCACAAAAAGTGAGTTTAACTTTTGCTGGGTATGCTTGTAGGCCCAATGAAACTCAACTTCAGATTCACCAGTCATCCTGGTTGCTGCACAAAAAGTGAGTTTAACTTTTGGTGGGTATGCTTGTAGGCCGAATGGATCTCAACTTCAGATTCACCAGTCATCCTGGTTGCTGCACAAAAAGTGAGTTTAACTTTTGGTGGGTATGCTTGTAGGCCGAATGGATCTCAACTTCAGATTCACCAGTCATCCTGGTTGCTGCACAAAAAGTGAGTTTAACTTTTGGTGGGTATGCTTGTAGGCCCAATGAAACTCAACTTCAGATTCACCAGTCATCCTGGTTGCTGCACAAAAAGTGAGTTTAACTTTTGGTGGGTATGCTTGTAGGCCGAATGGATCTCAACTTCAGATTCACCAGTCATCCTGGTTGCTGCACAAAAAGTGAGTTTAACTTTTGGTGGGTATGCTTGTAGGCCGAATGGATCTCAACTTCAGATTCACCAGTCATCCTTTTTGCTGGACAAAACGACCCCTCTGCAAAGAGTGAGTTAAACTTTTGGTGGGTCCAATGCTTTTAGGCCCAATGGATTTCAATTTCAGATCCACCATTCAACTTGGTTGAGTGAGTTTAACACTTTGTGTGGGTCCAATTCGGAGCATCCAGCCTGTTTCAACCAAAGAGTTAAAGTCCAAAGATCCAACCAAACAGCCAGAAAGTTATTCTCATGGGGATGCTTCCAGTCAGCACTAAGGCTTGCACCAAAAGGCGCGCAGGTCGGTCGGACAAAACCGTCCTGGCCAATTTCAAGCCCCTTCACATGTCAACTTGCAAAAGGTCAGCCAACGCAGCCGCAAGAAATTGGCCACGCTCTACTCACACATTGGGCCGTATCAATCGTGTTGCCTCAATAAACTGTAAAGCCAAAACTTGTTAGAAAGGATTAAGGCCACATGACATAAAATGCAGAACACCTTTTAGACATGTTGTACTTGCTTGTGATGAGAAAACTAGGGTGGGCATTGGCTGCATCACTGGGAAGCCAGGCCCCAGATGGTTGCAAACATTGAACTGGGTCTGTCTTGTTTTTTGGGTACCCTTTCTTGTTGTTTCCTTTGAAACCAAAGGAAAGCCACCATTTTGGGGTCCCAAAAAAAAAAAATATAAAAAAGTGTCCGTAAGCACAAAACGTCTGCCATAACCTGCTCTGAGGTCCCAGCAGCAGTCTGACGGCGACAGAAAGTTGTGAATAGCCAGGCATGTCCAGCCTACGATTCCGCTGTGGAACCGTGGTAGCTAAAACCTGCGGTCCAATTCCTGGTGCTTTAACACCTGAACATTGCAACTTGTAAATGGTGGCTTCCCTCTATTTTGGTGGAAAAAACCATGTTTCAACTGGGTGGGCAAAATGTATCTTTTAAGGAGCCCTGTTTAATTTTGACCCATACGTTTCTGCTCAACACGTCGGGCTGCACAAGTGGCTCTGGGGAGCTGACAGAGGCAGCTCCACGGACATGCGCTGGACCTGAAATCCATGGAATGCCCCACATTCCCTGCCGGTGTGTGTTTTGATTGGGTTTTTTTTTAACGAAGTCCCCACAAAATGGTTGGTCATCTCTTGCTTCCCTCGCAAAAAAAAAAAAGGCGCCCTGCGCCCAAGGTCGGAGCCGCCCAACTTTCACCAAGCCTCCCACGCGAAGTTCGGCCGCCAGCGGCCACCCAGGCGCCTCGCCCATGGCGACCACCGCGGAGCGTTTGATGCCCCCGGCCGTGAATTCCGTCTCATCCGCCTCGAGTGGAAAGCGGAAGACGGCGGGCGGGCGGGAAAATCGGATTCGTTGCCCGGGCGCCTCGTCGTTTGAGGACAACTACCGGTTTTGGGATAGGCTTCAAGGAAACCTAAAAGGAAAACCACCTGTTTTGACAAAAAGTCACGGCCCTCTAGGCTGCAAGCCACTGCAAGGAGGGTGAACGGCGGCAGCTGAGCGTCCTAGCCACGGAAAACTGCCACCCGTCGAAGCTCTAGGCTACTGAACGGCCTGATGCAAGCGCGATGCTCCAGTCGCCACAGCTCCCGGTACCTGTTGCGCGGTTCCTTGTTCTGCCCCAAAAACGCGGACCGGCCTTTCTTTCACGTGACCTATTCAGTTCTCAAGAATAACATGGACCAATAAGGCTGTCTGCCCAATCTCATGTAGAGAAAATTGTTTATTTCCCTGGTTCTTGTGGGCAATGTGGGTTGTCCACCCAGACTTGCCACTTGCTCACATCGTCTTTGCCCTTTTACCCGAAGCAATTGCGCCTCCTGCAGCACGAAGCTGTAACCTCGCCAAAGGGCTGACAGCATCGACGAGCAGCTTCTCTGGGTGTTTCTCAAGACCGTCTCTGAAACGCTTGGAATCCTCTTGGTTCCTCTTGGTTTTTCTACCAAATCGGTCTCCATCTTGAGAATTCTTGCAGGCATAGGTGTCCGTTTTGGTTGCTTGCAAACAGATGGTCCCACTAAAAAAAAACGGCTGGTAAACCAAGGTCATCTCATGTCAACCAAACCAAAGGGACACCTATGCGTAGATATTCGCTTGGCAAACAGGTCGGTGCCGCGCTGAAAAGCCGCCCAGCCTCGCATCAGGTGTGTCTCCAAATAGGAATCGAAACCTGCTGGTAAAAGGAAAAACCAAAGTCCCCCCATTTTGACACGTTTAACAAAAAAAACGTGGGAAACCTCTTCTTTCTTTTTCTTCTTCTTCTTCTTTCTCTTCTTCTTCTTCTCATTTTTTAGGGGGAGGGGGTGTCCCCCTATTTGGCGCACACCCAAATAAGAAAACTGCAGCATGGCCCCCCAAAATCCTACACCTTGGGGCTGCGGCCGCTCAGCAAAGCAACTGCTCGCAGGGAGCTCCGGCAAGACCAAGGCGGAAGAGGCGAGGCATCTGGTCGCAAGCGCTATGACTTGGTCAACACAACTTGGATTAGGAGCTGGAAAAAATGGGTTTCTCAGTGGCTCCGGTTTTAACTTTAACCCTTGGAAAACAACCACCCAAAAGTGAATAGCTTCGGCTTTAACCCTTTGATTTCCCTGGACAAAAACGTTGGGTTAGGATTTCAATGTAGCTATTCAATGTAAATATGCAACATTAGGGCTATATAGCTATAGCAATGCATCATATTGTTGCCTTCTTTCGAGGGGACCCCAAGATGGCTTCGCTTGGAATCAAACATTGGCGCAGAAGAGAAGCCAAGGCTTTGTGATGCTTGTCGCTTGACACCACTTGCCAAGCAGCTTCGTGCTGCCAACTTTCATCCGCGCAAGTCGGAAGCTATATTGCCCCCTTGCACATCACCCCGCCAAAAGGAAGCTCACTTCAAATTGGCAATTTTCAACGATTTAGTGATTCGCCCTTGCCGGATAAAAATAGGACCCCCCCCCCCCCCCCCGCTTTGCAAGTTGTTGCAGGCGTTCGTGAAGTCGAAGAAGGGTACGCCGATGCGGCCCAAGTCCATGTCCTCCATCGAGTGGATTTCCACTGGTTTCCATGGGTGCCCTTCGAAAATTTGGGGCTGAGAGCCGAGAAACAAACACGTACCAAAAAGAAAAGGACGCCTAAGTCTAAACCCTGCGCTTCGTGCATGTGTGTGTGTGTGTGGCTCCTCAGCCAAGGGAGGTGAAGTCGCTGTCTCTTCCTTCGATGGCTCAGCATTCAGCGTGGTGTTGTCAGGGTTCTTCGTATGGGTGTCCCTTTTGGGGTGCGTCTTACAGGCAACCCAAAAGGAAACGACCCATTTTGAGGAACTCCCATCATCTTTTGAGACACCCATGTTTCCCCTGAAGAGATCACCCGAGAAAAACTCACCTCAGGTTGGCAAACATGGCCCAAAGGGGGGACATATTATATATATATATATATGGGACGTGTCGCTGTGGCTCCAGCCTCCGGTGTCGCTGTGTGGGCCAGCAGACCCGATACCGCGGGCGGAATGATCGTGACCTGAGTCATCCAAACCGAGGATCGACCCCTTCTTTCACCGAAGGCGCACCTGTGGGAGACCCTCCAACCGAAGGCACCTGGAGGGTACCTGGAAGATCCATCCCCTTTCTTGATCCATTCCTATCACTTGCCAACCATTTCACTGGTTGCTTCTGCTCCCCTGCCAAAAGTTTAACTTTTAGTGGTTTAATACGGAAAACCCGTTAGTTGGCAAACAGTTAAAGTCCTAACATCCCTTGGCAAAATGCACCAAAGACTTTAAATTGGAGACACTTCTGGGCCTCGGAAAGGGGATCTGTCCCGTGAGCCAGGATTTTCGTGAGCGAGGACCCTCTGGGGAAGGTGCAAAGAGATAAAGAGAGGGCGAGCCGCAGAAATAACGAAGAATTGGCGCGCAAAAGGAAGGATCAAGGGACCGGGCCCCGTCAGGTGCCATGGCTATGTGGGAGGAAGGGTACCCAAAACCCATGTAAAGAATCGAAAAGGCGTCTTCTCCATGGCTGGGATTGTCGGGACCCTGACCTATCCACACTCTCCTACACTGATTTTGATGGCCCTAAGGCCCAAAGGTGGGAAACCTCGACGAAGAACTGAGCTGGCGACCGAACCATTGAAAGGCAGTGGCAAGGAGAATGTGAAGGTGAGCATCACAGCCTTGCGCAAGGTGTGCAGTGGGTGTTTTTGGCTGGGGATGCCCCAAAATTGTGGTCGTCCGGTTGGTGTCCTTCAAAACCGCAAACACATCGGTACCCTCAAAGCACCCCTCATTGACCTCATCGGTGCATAGGACTCCCGCGGCAGCCGCTCGCGACTTTGTGGACGGGGAAACCACAAACTCGTGACCGAAGTCCTCGGCTCGGGACATCCGTCACTTCACGGCGGAGCGAAAGGATGCTCAAGCTACGTAAGTAGGTTGTAACAAGACAACCAACCCCTGTCCCACCAGACAACCCCAGATTTTGCCAGGGTCTGATTTTGGGGGATATCCTATGTTTGCCCTGGTTTGCAACCTTACCTTCGTAGCTTGAACATAGCCTGGGTCCACTGCTGCAGATGGCAGTGGCAGTGCACCTGCCTGTGGGCCGTAGACAGGCCTTCGATCGCAAATTGGCAAAGCGGAAGTGCCAGTTCAGTAGGCAAATGCAAATGGTTGGGTGAGTTTACAGGGAAAACCAAAAGAAACACCTGCCTTGTTTCTTCGGTTAGGGAAGCCAAAGAAACGCCAGCCAAAGGGTTCTTCGTTTGCTGATTTTTGTCTTGAGACAAACCCCTCGCAGCGAAAAAGCGAGCACCAAGTCCAGCGCCCCGTCGACTCCCTCAGGAGTCCCTCGCTGAAGAAGTCGACGCTCCAGAGGCCGGCGCCGCCTTGGCCTCCGCGACGTCTCCACGCGGGCGTGAGACGGTGAGACGGGTGGCTCGTCTTTTTGGGTTGGTTGGCCATGGTGGTGCTCCTTTTGGTTTCCCCTTAAAGGGTATCCTCAAAAAAGAAGAAAAGGAAGAAGAAGAAACAGCATCATGCTTTGGCATGCTCAGGCTACCGCTCAACTTGGGACTGAAGCACTCGATGGCAAAGCAGTACGGAACGGATGCCTCTCGTCCACCAAGCGGTTCTCGCGTTGTGTTTTGTCCGTCTCGCTAAACCCATTGAAAGGTTCATGCAAACATTCGGCTGTGGCTCAAAAAAGTGGCAACCAAAACGTCACCTTGGTAGATGGAAGCAAAGACGACCTGCGGTTTGCCCCAGCTCTTCAATTTCGAGCCACACCCAATGTACGGATTGCTATGAGCCAGATAGAACCGGTTCTAGCAAAATGGGCCTTCTGGGGGTCTTGGGCGCTCGCTTGAGATCGGGGCCTCAAGGTCGAGATCAACCACTAGCCGAGCCGAGCTGGGCTGCACGTCACAACTGCGCGGGGCAAGCAGCACCTCCGAAAGGCAAGCTGAATGCGACTCAACGGAAACACATGCAAAAGTTGTGGAAATCAAGGAAGCCTCCAGTTTCCCTTCTGACTTCCGGTTGAAACAAACTCAAAAAAAGAACAAAAGGGGCACCCGACAAAAACCTTCCCTTTGACTGCCCAAAAACGGCCACCCCTCTCAAAAAAAAAAGCACATGTCCAAGCGCCCGTGCGAAAGCGGGGCCCGGGCACAGGAGGGCAGGCAGCTGCCGGCAAAGACCATTTCCGAGAGCTCATCTTGGCGGCTGGCCCGAGCATCCGGCACCCAGTCCTCGGCGATGGGCAATGGCGACCCCCAAACCGGAGGGTCCTGTGGGTCCTGTGGTTGGCACGGTACCACGGCACCATACATCCAGTTTTCCCTTGGGGGTAGTGGTTTGGGGGCATGTTGATCTCTGGGGTCCAGCTTCATGTCGACCCGCTTGGGTAAATTTCAATTGGGGGAGTTAGTGGACATCATTCAGAAGAGATTTGTCTCCTTGAATGTCGACTCCTTTGAAGTGTGGGAAATCCCGGGCTACCAGAGACCTCCACCCTCTTCTAGCTCGATGCGTGCCAAGCGGCCAGATCCGGGTTGCTGATGAGGCATGGCCTGGCAGGTGATTGGTGAGGCTTGCTTGCCTGAAACCCCCCCAGCAGTCCGGGAGATTCAGACATGGCTGGGTCAAAAATCGGGTTGCCCCAAAATGGAACCAGGGGAAAACATGGACTCCCTGCGGTCTTTTTGGGTTGTTAAAAATGTCGATACCAAATGATGATGTTCAGTCTCCGGGTGCAGGGAAGAAGCCCCACGTGGTACCCGGATCGATGATCCAAACCAGCGCCTCCGGCTCCAGAAACCCAAGAGAAGACCGAAGCCCTTTTCTTGGGGGGTCCCAAAATTCCTATGAGACAAACTCCCACATGGCGGAATTTCAAGAGAACCTCGCAAGTGTTTGCTGGGCAAAAAAAGCTCAAGTAGATGATGTCCACCAGTTTGAGCTCGCTTCTTTTTCCCTCCAGGTAGGTGGTTCCTTTCGGCTTCCCTTTAAAACCATCCAAAAAAAGGTTGACATGCCATCTTCAAAGACTGCTCTCTAGAAAACCCAACCTCCCAGGAGGTCCCACCCACACACGATGCCAGCTTGACTCATTCGGGCGCTTTTGTCAAGCCAAGCGTGCTCCATGTGTACCCCCCTTGGTTTTCAGCCACGCCTTTCCAAAGGCTGGGCCAATTGAAAAAGGTCCCACTCTCTAAGTTTTAGGGTTTAGGGTTTAGGGTTAGCCCCCCCCCTTAGGAACCCCAAGAAGGCCAGGGGAGCGCGGCGAAGGTGAAGCTGTCCGGAGGCGCGGAGATCCACATCTCGGTGCCCGCAGGCTGGGCCTCCGGGGGCTTTGGACGATTTAAGGCGTGACTTGGGCGTATGACCAAACCGCTTGCGGGTTTTTTTTCGAGCTGGTGCCCCAGTTGCGTGGGTTTTGATGGGAAACCACATGGAAAACCAAAAGAAGTCATTTTGGGGGTGGGGATCCCACCTTAAAGAAGACCTACTAGTCATGTTGACCCCATATACGCGGGGCATCAGACCAGCTTGGCGGGGGGCCACCGCCCTATGAATAAACTGGGGTTGATTAATATGCGGTTGTAGGGATGGCTTAGATGCGCCTTGAAGCACAAAGCTCCAACAGCCATGGCTGCGGTATGTATCAAGGCATTGTCAGAAACATGCGGAGACTGTCACGCAAAAGGTTTTACAAAATGTAGAAGTAGCCGTGCAGGTTGCAAACGCGAGGGTCGACGCATGGCCAATGTGTCTGCCCTAAAAACATGTAACTACGCCGGCTGACATGTAGTCGGCAATCGCGCACAGTTCTGACTCTGCTGTTGAAAGTGCTATTGTTGCTTGTGTTCTGGCTCCATAGTGCATTGCTGCTCCGAGGAAACGTATCACAAATCCTGTTGCGCTGTTTATTGTTCTGTCGCCGGTGCCCAGTTGGCATCTGTGTTTGTGTGTCAATGTTGAGTGGGATTTGCGTGTCCTGTATCTGTATCTTTGGTCTGCGGCGGTCTCATTACCAAGTTGTAGGAGATTGCTGCTGCATGGCAACCCTGACATCTCCCGCGCAGACTGACAAGTTGGACACCAATGCCATTGCGAGAATACTCTCAATATGCATACATGGTGCGCTTGCAGAGAGTAGGCCGTGGTCTGTAACGGGTCCTGCGTAGGCATTTGTCAGAACTCATGCTCATACTTCATTGTGTCTTTGTTTGAGAACCGATCTTGGTTCAACGATGTTTGCTTGTTGTTCTGGCGGCATTGCGTTGCCATCAATCTCTGTAAAGACTGGTTGGTCTTTCGTTTGTTGTACTTTGTTCTTTACGCGTTGTGACATGAGCTGTGGGTCCAAGCCTTCTGTGAGCGCTGGTTTGCGCAATCAATGTTCTGCGCGCTCGTTCTACTCCTGCTTGTGATTGTGAACTGTGTGCTCCTGCGTTCCTTGTGGTGATGTTGCCAGTCTTGTTTGCAACTGTTGTGATCAAAGCTGTCAGGAAGTCTTCCTGATCTGACTGTAGTGTGGTGTGTGTTCCATGAGGAAGTGCTGCAGTTGTGTGACAGCATAGTCGAAGAGCATCCTCTTGTTGGTCAATTGTATGGCCATGATCATTTCGGATTGGATGTACGCTCAAAGCCGTCGCCTTGCATCTTTTGTCTGCAAATTCTAGGCGCTGGTCCATCGTGTGTGCTCACCAAGATGTAGTGTAAGTTGTTCCTCAGTTGCATCCTTTGCTCTGCTACTGCTTGTGAAGGTGCTGCCGTCTCAAGTTGCCCGTTTGCAACTGACAGAGTTGCTCTGACTCTCAGCAGTCTGTTGCATGAAGCGTCTTGTAGCCCAAGAATTGCTGTCATCTCGCGTTTCCGTTCTTCGAGCGTGCTGTACTCTCCTGTGAATCGTGGCGGCGCTATCTTGTGCTTGTATATTCCTTCCAGCTGATGCTGTTGCTCTTGTTGTTGTCGAGCCGCCATTCCTTGTGTGTTGTTTGGAAAGGCCGCCAGATCTTTTCCAAGTGTGCAACTGTGTTCACTGCTCCGCTACCATGTTAAACTTGGAGCAACTGTATACCAGTTTGCCTGAAGCGTAAACCTGGGAGTGTATCAATGTTGCACTCCTTTTGTACTGGGGCGATGCTGTAGACTCACAGCTTTGATCACATAGCGAGTGCCACATGTACTGCAAGCTGTACAAGGGTTGTCAAGGCATGTTGTACTCTTACAATGTGGCGTATCGCAATATAGTGGGTATACATACACAAAGCATCCATGACGTGTTCAAGAGGGCGGTAAAATTAGGGTGAACAAACTAGAGTGAACACATTAACGTCCCTCCGAGTTGAACCACAGACTACTGGACATGTCTTGCGAACCTCACGCAGGTGTGTCGCCAAATCCAGAAACCCAAAACTGGGTCTTGGGTTCTCGTTTCAGCTTGTGAACAACCACAAAAAGGGCACGCAAAGAAACACCTACGTGAGGTGCCAAGGTCAACACTGCCATGGGCCATGGTCCGCTGGTTTCGGTGGGCGACGGTCCGGTGATTTGAGCCGTCGCTCCGTTGACACCGAACTCGGTGGCTCGGAAGGACTTGGCGAATAGGGAAGCCTCTCCAAAATGGTGGACACAAATCCAAGTAAATGGTTGAGTGGGCCCCGGGGGCATCAACCCTTTCGTCCGCCTTGGGTCCCACTGAATTTCCTGCCTCAGGAAGAGTGAAGCGCAGAGTCATATTCGCTTTCTCCGGGGCCGCCTCAAAGCCGAACACACCCCAGCTCTAGTCTGCCTTTCTGGAAATGTTGTCTTTTTTTGTATCCCCCTTTTGGTGGTTTTAGGAGTGAATCGAACTCTGATGTACCTCTAAAACAAAAGGGTGCCGCCACATGGGCTTCCCAATCTTTTCGGTGTCCATTTTCATCTGGAAAATCCCTTCATTTCGGTGGGGGGCCGCCCGAAATGGCCTCGGTTTTCCTTTTGGTGTCCCTTTAAAAACCACAAACAAAATTGGGTTCCCCCCCAAAAACACGACACATCCACAGCTCCCGCAGCCCATCCCATCCCCCCCTTTGCCGGGTGGCAAGGGAGTGCACGTCGCTGGACTTCTTGCTGGACACCCGGAAGTCGATGAGCACCGGGCGGGTGAGATCGTAGGACCTGGTGCGCGAGCGAAGCTGACTTGAGTCAGAATCAAAACCTAGTGGTAAAATGGTCTACCCAGAACCATGTAACGAATTAAGAAGGCGTCCGCAACTATTTCTGGTAGGTTGGGATCGTCCCTTGCTAACCTTCATCTACCCGAATCGGTTTTGAGCAAGTGACTCAGGTCTCCTTCGGAAAGCATCAAATGATCTTCCAGGCAGCCAGCGGGATCCCTGCAGCAATTGCCTGCGCGGGATCCGATGCAAAGAAGTCAAGTGAGTCAGAATCAAAAGCTACCAAGGGCCTGTTCCCAGAATAAAGAATCGACACGGAGATATCCGCACCTCATCGTTTTTTACCTGTCCTTAACCTTCCCATACCGTGTTTTGATTCTGGCTGTGTTGCCCCTGCCTCTGTGAAAGACCACACGGGGTCGCTGATGGATAAGCGCCAGCTGTTGGAGTGCGGCCTCCAGTCATCCACAAACATCGTTCCCGCGCGAGCGGGGGAAAAAAAACCAAACGGAGAAAAAAGGGAAAGGAAAAATGGGGGGGAAAGAAGAAAAAGAAGAAAAAAATGGAAAACAAAGAGGAAGAAAGGGGACCAAAAAAAACAAGTCCGCTGAGGCTGCGGACTCCAGGCCAGAGATGTAGGGCCTGTTGGTCACCTCCGAAACAGCGGTGCAGCCTCAAGCGGCCCAAAACACCGCGGCGCGGCCGTCCGCCTCGAAGGTCAGGGCATAGACCTGGCACAGCGGCGAGGCGTCAGCCAAGGCTGCTTAAGGCATTCTGTGATAGTTTTTGTTAGGCCTCTCTAGCATCCACCTGAACAGTGGCACCCCCTTCTGAACTGCGGAACCTGATTTTTCTTGGGCCGCTGACTCATGAGTCACTGAGTCATGAGTGTGAGACGTCAGGTGTTTGCCTCGCCCACCACTAAGCCGCCGTAGCCATCGTACTGGAACGACAGCCTGCGGGCGTTGGGTCTGGTACCGCCTTTGGGAAGCCAAAACCGAAGTTTGGTCTGAAAATAGGACAGACAGAAAGGCCAACCACCGAAGCTTGGTCTGAAAAGACAAAAACAAAAACAGAAACAGACCCATGTCTGAGCTTCCAAAGCTGCAAGGTCCAACAAGGTTCCTTTGGTTTCTCAACGTGTCTTGGGTCCTGGGCGTCAGATGTCGAATTGAAAAACGCGGGCGCTTGGGCCGCGGCATGGCATCCGCGCGATCGGGATCTCCGCCGCCCCCCACGCCTGGAGGCTCCAGAAGGGGGAAATAATAACAGGGCGCCTATGGGAAGAAAACGGGGGCGAGGTTGTCTGCGGTGAAAAGAACGACCGACCAATATGGGAAGAAAAGACTGAGAAGGGGGGGGGGGGGCGAGGTTTTTCCGTTGGGTCTGCGGTGAAAAAGAAAAACACCAACCAATAAGGGAATGCCCTTCCAGCAAGAAGCATGGAACGTGTAGAAAGACCCCCTGCGGAAGAAAAAGGCCATGGTTCCAAAAAGGGAAACTGGCCTCTGAACTTCCATGTTTGTTCAAGAGGGTGCCTGCCAAAAAAACAGGCGCACCCAAGATGTGCATCACCATCAAAACCCGATACTACAAAGGTCAAGGGCTATCAGCACCCCACCGGCTGGCACTGTCCCTTAACCTTCCTCCAATTTCTCTGCTGAGACCGCCGCAGCCCGTGAGGATCCCAGCAAGTGCAGCCTCCGGATCTGGGTTTGGTTGCCAAAAAATTGCCCACCGGTCCCATCGCCCCGGAGGAAACAAACGAAAAGCAAGAAGGAAAAGTCGACCGACCCCCCGTCCAATGAGGCGGATGGTCCCATCGCCCAGGGAACAAAAGGAAAGAACAAAAAAGAAGGAAGAGTCGACCGACCACCGACCCCGTCCAATGAAAAGAAGGAACGATCCTCAGAGCCGTGCAGAGGCCAGCGAGACCACCCGGTCCAGCAAACTGCCGGTGCAGTCCCGGGGGAAGAACGCGCCCACCTCCAGGCGGGGGTTCATCGAACATACCATGGGTATCTGTCAAATAGCTGGGGTTTTCCCTCAAAAAGGCACGCACCCCAATATGGGATCATTTTGGGAAGCAAACCCTTTTGCTACCGTTTTTGATTTTTAAAGGGAAACCAACGGCAAATTTTGGGGTTCGTATAGTGGCACTGGATTTCGCCACTGTAGTGCAATCTGACACTTCCATCTCTTGAAGCAAGCAACTAACTTCCGCTGCACAGTCGTGCCTCAGTCAAATGGAACTTTTGTACGCAAGCGCGTGGGCCAGCAATTTGATGAGTGCGCCAAATGGCTATGCATCAAAAATTGGTACCCAAAATGGAACCCTGGTGAATGGAAACAAGGACTAAAAGCTGCGGTCACCTGGTGGTTCAATTTTGACCGATACCCAATGTTGTCGCCTTTACTATCTTACTGCAAACAATCGTGAATACAACCGCATCGCTTTAGCGCTTGGACGGCTGAGGGCTGAGCTGGACCCTGGATTGCAATGCTGTAGTCGCCAACTGTAGGCTCAGGCCTCAACGTGTGCAACTCGCTCGATTTCAGCTGCCCAAGGGCTGAGTGCGGCTGCGTTCCGAAGACAAGGGTCACCTCAGAGCTGCCGGGACTGATCTAGACCATGTTTTTGAAAGGGAACCCCCCCTCTTCATTATCTCAAATCCCAGATGACCACGGCTCTGCCTCAAAAATAGGAATATGCGGAACCCTAAAAATGGCGAAGTGTCTGTTTGTCCCTTGGAAACACCCAAAAACAGTTTTGGGTCGCGTTCGGGAATGACCCCCTTTTTCAAGCCATCCAACTTCTGGCTTCCTTTGAGGGCATCAAACGGTTCATTCCTTCCACACCGTTGCTCAGCCTCCGAAGTGGTTTGGAGCCTTCCCCATTCGAAGGAACCCGGGTTCACACCAAATCCAAAACCAATCCAAACCAATTCAGGGCTTCCCTGAGCTAATTCCCGAGCCAGCCAGAAAAGCTGCGCAAACCAGAAATCGGGGAAGCGGAACGCCCGAGCCGCCCGCCTGCGATAGTGCCAACGGCCGGAAGGAAGCAAAGCCAAACTGCGCGAAAGAAGCCACCAAAGGCCTGCCATGGGGAGCTTTTCGTCGGTTTTCTGCTTGGAGGTTTGTACCTTTGTACCCCGTTCGTGTGCTTTCAAAGCTAAATCGCAGGAGTTGGTACCCCTTTCTTGGAGTTGGTACCCTTTTTGAGGTTAGTTTACGAGGAAACCGAGCGAAGAACCGATTAGGTTTGTTTATGTACTTTTCTTGGTAAATTAATAGCCCGTCTCCGGGAAGAAAAAAACAGATTAAAAAAACAAAAATTTAGGGAAAAAAAAGGAAAACAACAAGAGTTGGTTAAAACGGAAACCAAACGCAGAAGCAACCAGTTTTTGGGTAGCCCTATTTTGACACATAGACAGTTGGGCACTGGCAAACATGCCCGGATGGCAATGCTAGACCGAAACCTTGAACGCCATCACACTCGGCAGTCTGGGCAGAAGCGATTGCTGCTGAAATTGTGTCAACCAGTTCCGCCTCCTGGTTGACCGACAAGGTTTGATCGCTCAAGTCCTGCTTTCTCTGCAAGTGCAACGTCCAGGTGTTGCCAATCCTTACAGCAGGCAGAACCTGACCCACAGCGAAAAAAATGGTGCCCTGTTTCGAGTCGATTCAAGTGAAACCCAAGGGAAAGGGAAGGGATGTTGGGGGGGATCCTGTATCTCAAGGCACACCCATACTGCGCATGGACCTCATGACACGAGCAAAAATCTGAGGCTTGCGCACCATGAGCTGAGTCGGCATCTGCAGCACGTTGGTTTGTCGCGTTTTTTAAAGGGTGCGCCTGTTTTTCGGGAACTGAAGTTCATCCCTCGCTTCATCTCTTGGAAGGCTCTCCTGGAAGGGAAACCAACAGAAGATGTCCCAGGGACGGAAAAAAAATGAGAGAGTTGGCTTCCCATCCGATGCTTCCTCTACATTCCTCGCCTCAAGGCTCCAGATCTCCACCACGTAAGGCACGAAGGAGGCGATGGCCTCGCCCAGTTCCAGCCTCGGACGTCAAGAAAGGATGCCGTCAGGATAGCTTCGTCACTGCCCTTGAAGGGGCATCCGCTCCAACATGCCGGGACCTTTCGGTACAAAAAGGAACCCTGGAGAGGTGCGAGCCTGCGAAAATCACATGTGTGTTTTTTCTTGTTGAGGGTGCCTTACCTTTTCTTGGGGGGGTCGGCATGGCCAAGCAAAAGAAAAAGCACCGGAAGCCGCCATATGGCTGTTGGTCAAAACCAATGGTACCATGTTGGGGTAGGTGCACCACCCATTTTAGAACCTATTTTAGTGGGGATTGGGATGTTTACTGGGGGTACGGGCTTTTGACCCATGTGTGTGTGGTTTTTGTGAGGCTCTGTGTCTTCTTTGGAATGGCTTTTGACACCACACATTTGGACAAGAGATCCACTTTGCACCAGTTGAAATGGATGGACCAATTACTATGGATGCTTGTCCATCTTCAATACGTGTCCTTTTTTGGTCGGTTTGGTTGAACGTTGGTGGCTTCTGCTTCTAATTGTCAACCGGTGCCATCTTTGCAAAAGAACTGCCCTCATTAAACTAGGCGGATGGGCCACGGCCAAAATGTTACTTCTTTCCCCAACAGGAAGGGACGGATCATGTCCCTCCCAGATGAACTCGCGTCTCAAATGAGCAGTGCCTGAGCACCAAGATGGTAGGCTTGTCTACGTTGCTGTTAACCCCTCTGCAAGGTCCAAATAAAATCCACCGTTTCCCAAAAAGTTGAAATCCAAAGATCCAACCAAATAGCCATAAAGCAATAGGCCTTACTTCACCGCCATAAGACCGTGGCACCAGAGCCGAACCTAACATGGCCCGCTTTCGGGAACCGGTCCTGGGACGCTTGCTGGAGGCTTCCGGCAGGTTGAAACTCGTCCTTGACCACCGCCAAGAGGCCACTCTGCTGAAACTCGTCCAAGTGATCTTCAAATTGGCCCAAGGTGCGTTTTTTTGGGGGGGACAAACATTCAAATCGCTCACCTGGCCGTGGGTCAACACCAATGGTACCGTTTTGGGGTAGGTGCACCACCCATTTTAGAACCTATTTTCGTGGTTGGATTGGGATGTTCACTGGGGAGTACGATTTGGCTTTTGACCCATAGCCACCTGGAGGGACAAACCTTCCAGTCGCTCACCTCTTTCCTGCGGTTTCTGAGGCCCCCGGCCACACCTTGGTGTTGCCCGGGTTGTTCTTGCACTCCCCGCCCAGCGTCCGCCGCGCCAGGGCGCCCTCTTCCAGGGGCGGCCGGGGGGGGATGGCCTGGCAGGGCCGGGTGAAGCGGAAGGCATCCGGCGGGTGGACCACCAGCACCGGAGTGGCCTGGAGACGCCCGTTGGGCCCAAGCCGGGCCCTTGCTGCGATAGCTAGGGAATGATTGGAACGAACCCAGGCTTTGGTCTTTCTTAAAGGAAACCACCAGTTGGATGGTTTGTAAGGGTCATTCCAACTCATTCCCTACTGAACACCAGCAAGCCTTCGGCTTCCTTGTTGAAAAAGCATACTTTGATTTTTTTGTTGGGAGAAACCTAAATTTAAAGCTTGGGGCAGAAACAAGTCTTGTTGAAACAACCTTTGGGAGAAATCCCTTTGAAGGTTGGCCTATGTTGAAACAACCTTTGAAACAACATGCCTCGGGGTTTTCCAAAAGGCGACAAGCGGTGGATTGTTGAAGCAGGGCTCAAACAAAGGATTACTCGAAATACACCCGGGTGATTCGTTTCCAGTTGGGTTTCCTTACAAGCTTGCGCAAATTTGCTTCAACCACCATGGTTTGGACAACTTCCTTGAGTGGGCTTCCTTGAATGGCCGTGGTGGTTTACATAGTGCTCCAATAAACGCTCCTCAAAATGGCGGGAAAGTTTTTTGGGGTGGTATTTAATGGGAAACCAAGAGGAAACCAAGCATGGAGGGCCACTATTTGGAGCAACATCCACCAAACTGATTCCCACAAAAAGGCTTGGTGTGGGAACAGTACGCTTCCGAAAAGTCCTATTTGAAACTGAACACCTACAAAGTTCAACTGTCTGCCACTTTTTGTGGCGACCTTGGTTGCTCAAACCACCCCCGCTTCAAAAAGTCTAGTCGGGGAGGCTTTGTCCAAAGAGATTGCAACAGTCTGATGCTGAACTGTTTCAAGGTATTAGTGTTTGAAGGCCAAACCGAGTGCAACCAAGTTGCCACCACGGCATCCATGGCCGAAGTGGTCATGAACCGCAGCAATACGGGCGTGGACTCTCCGATGCGATTGTCCCAGGGCACAACTTCACAGTCCCGCATCCGCCTCAGGCTGTAGCCAGGCACAGTGCCGGCCGCTATGCGCTGCTCGAAGGGAATGGTGCCGGGGGTCTCGCGGTAGCCTTTGCTGGGGACGCCGGTGAAGATCTCCAGACTCCACCACCTGGGGTCTTCGGCGCTTGCGTCCACCAGCTCCACACTTGGATGCAGCACGGAGGCCACAAACCCGTAAGTGGTCAAGGACTGCAGGGTCGAAGACACCTGCAACAGAAGCTCAGTGGCATGTTCAGTGAGAGCTTGGGAGTCTAGGGTCCAGGAAGCTGCGCTGGTTGCGGAAGAGGAGGTCTCCACGTTCTCCGACAACCAGGGGTACGGCGCGGACACCACTAGGCTGGCACCGCTCTGCACCGCCACGGGCAGCACGAAGTAGAAGGTGACGCTGGCCTCGCTGCTGAGCATCAGGCTGCTGGCGCTGAGCCGCGTGATCTGCAGAGGCAAAGGATACAGCGCCTGGGGCCAAGGCCCAAAGGTAGAGGTCTGCCCCAGCCGCTGGCCGTGCAGCCGCCCGCAGTCCCCGTGCCTGGACTCGATGGCCCAGGTGGCGGCGTGCTGGTCCAAGGCCAGGCGTGACGGGGGATTCCAAAGGCCCAGGGAGAAGGCCAGAGGCTCCGCCGGCAGCGCCGTGGGCAGTTTCAGCGTGGCCACGCGCGACCGGATTTCGCAGGTGGTGGCCAAGGGCAGACCCAGCAGCACCTGGAAGCTGTCGCACCAAACTCCGAAACTGAAGCCCTCAGGTGGCGTCAAGCGAACGCACAAGGCGGGACCATCAGGTCCCACTTGATCTGGCTCTCCAGCCACCTGAAAATCTATGCGCGCCAGGCCTTTCTGGTCCACTGTCATGAGCTCTGAGACCGCCAGCCGGGACAGTCTCAATTGGAAGAGGGGGAAGGCACTCACGACATCAAAGGGTGCTGCGATGGAAAACGTCAGCGCCGAACTTGCTGGAGAGTGCAATTCCAGCTGCCAAGCATGTTCCTCGCCCCGGAATGCAATGGGAGCATTGTAGAACGTCAGCGCGATGACGTAAGACGTCTGCGCAAAAAAGCTGAGCCCAGGCGAGCTGGCCACAATCATGCAGGTCTTCTGCGCCGAGCTCTGCTGCGCCAGGAATCTGTCAAAGTATGACGCAAATCCTCCCCACACCGCCACTGGCTCCAAATTGCATGACACGATCTCGCCCATGACCATTGGCAGATACACTTTCATGTATGACTCCAGCCCAGCTTGCCCGTAAATCGTGGCCCTCGGCGTGACCTGGAGGGTTTTTTGTTGATGCTCGCTACCCTTTTAGGCTTAGGGAACCGAAAAGAAATCCAGTTTGGGTGTGTTCTTGTAATCCTTGGTTGCTGTCGAACCCCCCGCAAAAAGTTTTGGACTTTTGGGGGTTCAGTAGATAACACCTTTATTTCCCAAAAAGTCAAAGTCTACAGATGCAACCCAATGGCAGTCAGGAATCCCTTTGCAACAACATGGCGACCTTTTGGAGACCGAAAAAAAACCCGAAATCCATGTTCTGACTTGGTTTCCCTTTGAGACCAAACCACCCCACCTGCAGTCTCACCTCATTCAGCATGGACACCGCGCTGGAGCTGAAGTTCAGGATCTCGATGTCTGGCACTGGCTGCACCAGGATGCGATGCAGACTCTCTGCCATGGCACGGCCGGGCCTCGCGGGCTTTTGACCACCGATCCATCGGCTCTCAAAGTGGTTGAAATCTCAAACTTGGAGATACTTTTTGTTCCAACCACCTGGTGTCTTGTGATTTCGTTGGGTTACTCAGCTTGCCATTTGGATTGGTTTGGATTGGTCTGGTTGCGTCCCAGTGAATTGGCAAGAGCCACGAAATATCATCAATCTGCCTAGTCGGTGGTTTGGGGGGGTTGAACCCCTGGTTCTTGTAGAGTCATGGGAAACCACCCCCAGAAGGCCCCCACCACTCTGAACCACCAATCACAGGAAGCTGATTTCAGGCTTCTTTGAAGGGCCGAAACGGAAAGCCACCCAGTTGTTGATTTAAAACAAAAACAAAAAAAAAGAAGATCCGAATGGCGGACACCTGGGGGGGGGGGGGGGGAAAACAAAAAAAAAAACGGCCTCGGCTCACTGGCATTCCCCGCTCGGCCATCGCCCTCCAGTGCCACCACCAGCCACTGGTCGAAGGAGCCCTGCGCTGGGGATCGGATCGAGGACACCTGATCAAGACCGGCCCCCCGCAAAGCGTTTGCTTTTGGCTTTGCAAATTGGACAAACTGGCCGGCAGAGGAGACATGAACCGATGGGACTCAAGAAAGGAAACCAGTGGGGATGGCTTATAGGGATCATTCCCTCCAGAAACCCTGCGAAGCACCAGCAAGAAAAACATACGGCCGGCTCCTTTTCTCTCATTTGTCGGTGCCGAGACCCATTTACGACTCCCAAGTTCGACCAAACCCCAGGTTTGCAGAATTGAAACCGGCAAAAAAAGCCGCACCCACTGGTCCCTTCGAATCGGAGTTGCTCGGCGCCTGAAGTTTCACGGAGTCCAGTGGCAGCTCATCAAAGACCAGCTTCATGCCGTTGGCCCTCCCGTTGGATCCGAAGGAGATCCAATAGCAGCGGTATGGCACCTAGCGCCGAATTGTTTTTTGTGGTTGGACGATTTTTCCGGTTTGAGAAGGGACCCAAAGGAAAGCCCGACCACAGACTTTGGGGCAGGTCTGGACCCCACCTGTTGGGATATGGAGACGGAGGAGTTGCAGGACGCGTTCTCGTCCTCTAGGCCTGGGGGAATGCCAAAGGACGTCAAGGCCCAGGCGGTGAACGGCCGTGCCAGAATGAGGAAGCTGGCAGGTGAAGTCATGGCCGGGACTTGGAGCAACATCTCCAGGTCAAAGGTCACCTCCGGCAGAAGGAAGGTGCGAGGCGACACAATCTCCAGCCCAGTGGTCAAGTTGAGAAAGGGCCCGGGCCAGTGCCAGGCATTCAGCGGACCCGCCTCAATGGCGCCGAAGGAGGAGTCAAAAAACTCCACCTCAGCCAAGCTGAGTGGCACAGACGTCTGCCTGCCCACCTTCAAATGAAGCGGCAAACTGCTCACGGACGCGGCTGAGCTGGACATCTTCACCTTCACCACCAGCTCGTACCAGGTAAAGGCTTTCAATCGGCCATCAAACTGAAAGAACCCCTCACCACAGGTGACACTCCCTGGCCATCCGCCCGAGAGCTCCAGCAAAGCGCCGCAATCCGCAGAGAACACCAGGCTCTTCTCTGTGGACTCCTCGTCGATCAGCAACGAATGGAAGGGGAAATCTGAGGAGTCATAGGAATAGGATCTGCTGGTGCGAAAGCCAATCCAAAGGAAGCTTTCCTGCTCCGCCGCCGGTGCCAGCACCTCTACCGCAACATCAAAGAGGTAGGCCGCCTCTGCCACGCTCACAAAGAGGCTTAGCCAGGATACATGGCGCATGCCATCAGATATGAGCTCAACTTCTGCGTGGATCGGAGCCTGCCATAACTTTGCCTATGGACGCTCCCGGCGGACTGGCCTAGCCCTAGCCAAAACGCCGCGAACGAGCGAACGAAGTTAAGCCTTCGAGCTCCAACGACCCAAGCCAACAAGTCACATCACACGAGAGCGGAGGCCACCTCTTGTTGTCACCTAGAGATGCTGAAGAGGACTTGGAAGGTGTGAAGCCAGCTTCTCCTGCGCGATTTGGCAGAATTGAACCAGCCCGCCAAACGAATGAATAAGTCTCTTTCCCCCAACAACCTCAAAGGTGACTTAATCCATATCTTCCCGCCCTAAGGTTCCCTTCAAATATGGCTGTTCCCTTTTTTGAAGGAAACCCCGCAAAATAGTGGCGTTCTCTTGATTTCCCTTTAAAGCTAAAGGGTACCTTTCGCCTCAAAGAAAAGACGAGCCACGCTAATCCAAATCGACTCCTTCAGGAATCCAAGTCCAGCTGCTGCCCGTGTCGAGCGATGCCCAAAGCCTCGCCCGATGGCTTATGGGAGTCAACAGGTCTGGCCTTTTTGTGGCTACCCTTTTCAGGGTTGCTTTCAAGGTGAACCAAAGGGAAACCCTCCAATGGGAGCCCCTAGTTTAAGACACCCCCATTCACTCAAAGAGCTGTGCAGAACGGCGATTTGCTACGCACGCGGAAGCGCGCCTCTGTGGCGGAGTGCCAATCAAGACAGCTGCATAATACAGCCCTCCGGAACCCGGCTTCACCTCCACCTGCAACGGAAAGAGATGGCATTGCCGTCATTCCCATTCGGCATGCTTTTGTTTTGAGAGTACCGTTGTGGATCGTTTTCAGGGATTGCAAAAGAAACCCACCTATCATTTTGGACACAACCATGTGTTGTGTCGACACTTCCCAGCTGCTTTTTGCGACGCCCCAAGGTTCCTGTTCGTTAACGTGCTCCGCCATTCGGCGAAAATTGGCTGGCACGGCACCCTTTGGGTTGCCCAGCGACTATGTACACAGCCCTGAAGGCGTCTAAAATATTCTTGCGTCGTCTTCGATGTTGTTGGCATCTCAGCCTCGGAAAGAAACACCGTTATTCAGACAAGCCCTACTGGAGCATGCCAAAAAGGCTTTCTCAACAACTGCCCCGACCTCTTGAGGCCAATGGAAATGGCATTCATTCTGACAAATGCTGGGGGTCTTTACAATGCCGCGAACGACATCATTGGTGCAAGGCACATCTAAGACATGGATTAGTGAAAGCTTTGCATCACAGGGCTGAAGACAGTGGCTGAGTTGACATAGCCTCCCAAAATGCTGGACCCCTTCTGTGCTTAAAGAAAATGATCAACCTTCTTAGGGTATCCCAAAAGAAGCAGCTTTTACGGTGAAGGCTTGACACAGGAAGGCGGTTGCCAACACACGGCAATGGAACAACCGTAAGCTGAGTGTGCCACCTTTGGCCTCGTCCGCAGCTGCATTCTTCGAGCCTCCGCTTCCTCTGGAGCCTGCGATCGAGTTGCACTTCACGAGGACGTGCTTGAAGTCTCGAGCTCGTTCCCCCACCCAAGAGGACCGTACAAGGAAATACGTTCACATGCATGTGCTTTGCAAACCGAGATACAAACACAAAAAAAGTAGATCGTTGTTGGTAATTTCGACCGAACCTGAGAAGAAGAAGAAGAAAAAAAAACGCCGGCCGCTGGGCATGGTGACTGCCGAGGTGCGTGTGTGTGTGTGTGGCTTGCAAACAGCTGGCTGCGGGTCTGCGAGGCTTCCCTCGAAACTTGGCACGCCATCGAGCTGTATGGAGGGTCATGGCTCCCTCAAGGCTCACGGTAGACTTGCGAGCTGATCACGTGACCAAAATTTGTCGAAGTTCGGACAATGTGTTTGCCAAGAGGACTCAGCGCTTGAGCTGTCCCTTCTCATCCTCCCAATTTCTTCCACCAGCCACGCAGGTTGCTGCCTTGCCGCCTCTCGCGCTTGCGCTTCTCCTGCGTCAGGTTGCCATCTCCGCTGAGAAGAGAAAACCAAAGGCTTTTTGGGGTTCATCACAGAAACCCCGGCACCATCTTCCAGACAACTTGCCTCCGAGTTTTGGGAAGCGACCGCTTCAGACCTGGCTTCCGACCTAGGCGAATTGGGCTTCAAACACTGGGAACCGGAGAAACCATGAAGCTGCATTCAATCAGACCCAAATTCATCTTTCTTCAGCTTTACACCAGGATTCATGAACTTCTTTTTTCTGCAATCAGATGCATTCCGTCACGGAATGCTGGGCACGCCATCCACAACCGACGATTCCCCTCTTTCGAAACCGAAACCGAAACGGGGCGCGGCAAGCGCTTGTCATCGGCCTGACTGGTGCACACTGACTGCATTGACTGGCCCAGAACTACCAGCGGAGAGGTCAATTGTGAAATGGCTGTGAGTCAAGTAGTCTGGTGGTCTAATGGATTGATTTTGACAACCATGCCCAAATGGGTTTGAAAAAACCTGGGATCGATTTCCAACTGGTTCTTCTTCGTCCTTCTTCCCTGAACACCAACACACACACACACACACAAAGCCCTCAGATCCCTGAGACTCCAACTTGGGAATCCTGGATAGCATCTTCAGCACCTTCAGCCTGGTACATCAGACTGCATTGATGATCCGTGCATTTTTCTGGATACGAGTAGGGGACCGCTGGCTGGTCTTCTGTCTCAGCTGGCTGATCTTCTGTCTCAGCCTCAGAGAAGGCTCGCGATGAAGCATCCAGTTGAGTGGTTGCCTGTTTGGTGGGAACCCCCTTTTGTTTGGCTTTAGGGAAACCACGAGGAAACCTATAAAAAGGCCGACAATTGGGCATGGGTCAAAATCAAAGCACCAGCAAACCGCAGGTTTTAGTCCTTGGTTCCATTTACTAGGGTTCCAAAATCAGGGATCCTTACATTATACACCTGAACATTGCCTTGTAAATGGTGGTTTCCCTTTATTTTGGTGTTGAAAAAGCCATGTTTCAAATGGTTGCAGGATGTATCTTTTAAGGAGCCCTGAAAATGGATACCCTTTTTTTGACCCACAGCCAACTGACACGAAGCCAAGGCGCTTTGGGCGCGTCTTGCTCATTGATCTGCACGTATGGCTCTTCCGGCTCCTAACGGCTCCGCTGGAGCTGACGCAACAACCCTCAAGTTGCGGCAGGCCGGATCTATGCTGCACGCCCATTTCTAGGGCTTGATTCCTTATCCATTCTTTTAAACCATCGTGAAAAAGAACCGGCTGTTTTTTCTTTTGGGTGTTTTGATGGAGTCCTGAAAAGATTCGGATCCCTGGAAAGAATGAGGAAGCTACCCCAAGATCATTGCTCCTTTGGGTGACCGGTTGAATGAGCATCAACAGATCGGCCTTCTCGAAGCTGAAACGCTGAAACCCCATTTCCCTTCGGGCCCGGCTCCTGCGTCGCAGTGTTCTCATCGGTGTTGGCGATGTCCTCGATCACTTCCTTAGGACAAAACTGGGGCCTGGCCGCGGCGGATCCTTTGACAACCAGACCTCCAAACGTCCAGCTTGAGGCCAAGGCCAACTCTGTTTCCATCACAAGACTTCCTTGGTGTCTAAACATGGTCAACTGGTTTGAGAAATGTGTCAAGGGGAATGCAAATGAAAACCAGCCAGTCTTCTTTAGGGGGGTCGCGCTTCTGTTAAGAAGCTGGTCCTCCTACCATCTGAGCATTAGGCCGACGTTTGGATCTTTTGCCTGAAACGCAATGAGTGCCATGGCTTCTGCAGTCAGTCTTCCCAGCCTTCCGCTTTCCGCTATTTCCCTTCATCATGCCCAGGAACTCGGCAAAGCTGATCTTTTTGTCACCATCCTGATGACTTCTGGTGGTGACCGCCTGTGTGGACTGGGTCTGGAGTGAAGCCAAAGCAAAAAGACCCCACAATGGGGGCCCTCCAATATCCGGAGGTAAAAGTTACATCAGCGTACATCCCGGCGAGTGTGGAAGATCTGACCGTCATGTGCGTTGCTCTGTAGCGAATCAACTCCGCCATTCAGGAAGCGTGATTACCACTGCCACAAACCACCATGCGTTTTTTTACAGGCACAAACAGCACCCCAAAGATTCAGCGGCATCATGATAATTTGGGCAGTATTCATGATGATACCACAGCCCCAGACCATTATGCGCTATATATATAAGCACAGCACCGCCAGCAATCACCACAACCAGCACCCCGAACAGCAAGCCCAAACAGCACCCCACCTAGCACCCTGAGTCAATCTCAATAACATGCGCCCGATAAAATGCGCCCGCACCGTCACCAGAACCCCAACCAGCACCCCAGACAACACCCCAAAGCAGCGCCTACACCAGCACCCCGAAGTGCATGCCCCCTAGCAACCAGCCAATCACGCAAATCAACTTCCCCTCTCTTAAAGGTTAGAACCCCTACAGCTTTCAGCCATCTGGGAAAAAACAGGATTTGCCTAGGGGCGACAAACTCAATTCATAGGGTACCAGCTTCCATTTGGGCTCAAGCCTAAAGCCACAATTCCTACAGTATCTGAAGTTGTGCATTCATTTTTGCTAGCATGTTTTTCTTCGCGCGGTTCGCGTTCTTGTGGCACCATAATCGGCAGCTGCCCGAAGGTGGCTCTTAACTTGAATCATGTTCTTGCCTCCATTTCGATTTCAGTACCTGCCACAACCAAAGCGCATCGATGAGCAGTCCTCATCTGCTTCCTTGATGAAGTCTCGGCATTTGTGAGCACTCACCGCCTCGGCTGCTCAAGTCGCTCACAGTATTCTTGGGCAATTCGGGCCTCTCCATCAGCTTGCCCATTGTTCAAGATATCATAGATGTCAGTATTCCCAATCCTTGGGAATTAAAAGACTTGCACGAGCAAAACGGAACTTTACCTCAATCGCTGAGGTCTCAGCATGCCATCCCCATCTTGATCAAAGATGCGAAATACTGCCCAGCAGACTTCCTCGCGGGCGTAGACCTGATGGCACAAATGCCTGGGTCTGGCAAAAGAAAAAGAGCAAGATCGGCCTGCAAGTCCATGACCGAGGCTACGAACCTCAAATCGATGGCGAAATAGGGTACCTCCCTGGAAAAACAAAAGACTACAACACCCGACTTTTCTGGAGCCTTCATTTGAGCCACGCCCAATTTGGAATTGGTATGCGTCAAAACTGGCCAATCTGCACTCAGCGTCCCTCTCATCGGTGGCTTGGATTGGTGTGGATAATCCAAATCCAAACCACCGGGCTTACCTGAGGGCTCAAATTTCAGCCGGGGCAGCGCAGCTTTTAGCCCGGGTGCTTAGTTCTGACCCACACCCACCTGGGTCACAATCAAGACCTGCGTATTAAAACGGTCTAGCCCAGACCAATGTAAACAACCACCTTTCGGCGGATGTCCGCACCCAATTCTCGTTGGGGCTGTGCCTAACCTTCACTTACCCGAATCGGTTTTGAGCAAGTGGTTCACCTGAAAAGTCCTATGGGTCCCTGGAAGATGAGGTTCCTCTTGGAGGGACCTCTTGTCAGCTGCCATGTTTGTCGGGGGAGGCTACTTAATTACTTTTGACCCACACCCATTTAGAATCCTAGTTTACAACCTGCCTTCGCAGCTTGAACATAGGCGTCTGGATCCGCTGCTGCAGGCAGAGTGCACGAAAGTTTTGGACCCGCATCATCTGTTCAATCGTGTCACTGTCAATTGTCTTTGATCTGATGATGCTCTGGGCAGTTTTCACACAAACAACAAACACCAAACTAAGCATGAGATATGGCTATGGGTCGAAACCCCGTACCCCCAGTGAACATCCCAATCCCCACTAAACTAAAATGGGTGGTGAATTCACCTACCCCAAAATGGTACCATTGGTGTTGACCCACGGCCATATACAGGGCTCCCTATATTTCCCCTTAAAACATCACCCCCACCAACGGCTCACCTTTCATGGACCAAAAAGTGATGTTTAAAACCACCAAAAAGGGGGAAATATAGGGATCCCTGATATAGGTAACATCCCAATCCAACCACTAAAATAGGTTCTAACATGGGTGGTGAATTCACCAATCCCAACCAAAATGGGATCCCACAACGGTTTTGACCACCACGGCCATATAGGTCATGAAGATGAAAAGCGATCCCCGAGCAAAACCCCACGGCCCTTGGGGGCGCCGCTCTCCCAGCCCGATCTCGCCGCTGCCGTCCGCGTCCAGTCCGCTCACCTGGGGGGAAAATGGGTGCTTAAGGCGGGGTGTTGTGCAGCTCCCCTTTTCACGCGGCATCGTTTAGAGCATAAATGGGTTGTTTACAGGGTCTTCTTTGTGTGTGTGTGTGTGTTGTTTTTAATGCGGTGTTTAAAGTAGAAATCAAAGGAAACGGCCATTTTCAGGGTCCGGCATGACTTGACACATAGGCAAAATCGACATCAAGGTGCTTGCAAAATGAATTTGCCCCCTACAAGTGGGCGGATGTGCCATGAGCACAACTCATGCCAGGGCCCCTACCATTTCTTCAAGGTCATCAGGCATTTCCACCTCCGACCAACCAGCTCTCTTCATGCCTGGCCAAAACCAGTTGCATGCCCGCTGGCTCTCTCTCTCTCTCTCTCTTTCTCTCTTTCTCTCTTTCTCTCCTTCTCTCTCTTTCTCTTTTGCAGGTCCACTGTGAGAAGCTGAGAAGCTGTAAGAAGCGGCAATGGAGCTGGCAGACTGACCCCGCCTGCTGCGATTTCGTCTGCGTCGATATGCCCTTCCCCTGATGTGTCCAGCCTGCAGAAGCTCTGTAGTCGTTGCTTGCGTCAAGGTTGAAAGAAGTCACATCTTAGAGATGAATCAAACCAACAAGCTACTGGGCCTACTTACCTCTCAGTGGGAAAAGCGTAAGCTTCTATGAAGCGCGTAAAATACTTAGTTTCCGGCCACATGAAGGTGTCAACCAGGGGCTTGAGGATCTCGGGTTCTAGCCTGGCCAAAGACGTGTGCCTGTCTCGGGTTCTAGCTTGGCAGCTGCCATAAACTTTCGACATGGAAACATGGCGGCGTACTGCGACACGATGATCTGTAGGCTTGCCTGCTTGAACTGGTTGAACCTGGCAGAGAGCCTCTTACTGGGCAGCCAAATTCAGACAACATTCGTACCTCAAATACCTCTATTCTTGTGGCTATTTGAGGGGTAATACCTGTCGGAACATCCAAAAAAGAATGCCAGAATCCATCATACTGGTTCGGCGAAGGTTTGCAAAAGTTGTGAAATGATTGCGATACCCACCAAACACATTCCAAATGCAACCCATTGATTCATACCGACTTCCTTATACACCGAATGCTGGTCAAAACACATGTGCATTGGAACATGGGACATGGGCAACAATTGGCAAAAAGCAGGCAAGCCGCGCCCAGTGTACTTTCGCATGTTCTCGAAATACCTGGCACGTCCAGACTTACTAAAAGCGTGCAATTCGCTCAATCAGCCCCCGACTTCTGCTTGAGTGGAGCCCGAAGCACCGGAGCCTTAGCCACTCCCCAAGTGGGGACCCCTTCATTTTTCCAAGCTCTGACTTTACAATCCAAACTGGACATAGCCATGGTATACCCAAATCCACGGCTTAGGAAACACCTGCAGGTGGCCACACCTTAGTTCTGGTTGGGACCGTCCCCTAAGCTTCGATGGGCTTCGTTTGACTCTCCAGCTACCTCTTGGTCGGGTCCAAAAACAGGGGTGGCCCTAAGCGCCGAGCCGTCTGGATGATCCACTGATCGAACAGCGCCTAACAGAATTTGCACATGCAAACAGCGCAATCCGGACCGCGTGAGCCTGCTTTGCTGTGACTCTTTCCACTTCACTCATCCGAAGCAGACCACGTATAAGGTCCTGCCAGCAGCTCGCTCAGCAAGTTGCTGCATGTGTTTCTGCTTTGAGACCAAAGCGATCTGTCAGATTGAACTGTCCTTGGCCAAATCAGAGACGTGCCTCCAATCCGCATCATTGAAGCTGAAGCTTCCAGCGCGCACGCGCGTGAGGATCTCCGCCTCCCGAAAATTTCAACCCCTCGGCGAATCGCCGGTGCTCGTTTCCGGGTCCCGGGGCCCCGGGCATCGGAGTCTCCGAAGAAGGGCGGATAGCCACAAAGCAGGATGTACATGATCGTCTGGCATGCACCAATTTCTTGATCTGCAAGGCCGGCAAGATCCAATCGTGTCAGACACGCCCCGCACGTCCACAGGTCAGTTGCCTGTACGCAAGTATTGGCATCAAGGGCATACGCTAAGGCACGTCTGCGTAGCAGCTCGAACCTTTTTTGCGGCCGTCTCAAGATTCTTCGTAGAAGTTGAAGCCAACGATCTCAGCCTGCGCACCTCAGGGACACAACCCTTGCACCCCTAGTGCCCTTCACACCATCCAAAGTAGGGGGAGGTCCGGTGCATGAGACCCACAAGACAAAGCCATGAACAGCTGCTTTGATTGGAAGCGCGCAGAAATGGGAGTGTCTTGAGACAGGGGATCCCAAATTCAACGACGTGTGTGTTGTCCCCTTTGGTTTCCCTTTACAACCACCCCAAACGGAGTATTCTGCAAAAAACACACGGGCAAAGTTCCAGCGGGGACCAATCGAGGTTGTCTGTTCCATGCAAAAGGGGAGTAAGTTATGAGTAATTGCTCATATGTGTGGCAATATAAACATGTTTCACCATGTATCCATCTAACCCTGAATCATATGCTATGACCCAAAAAAAACATCTAGCCGTTTCACGAGTCAATGAGCTTGCAGGCGGCCCACGCCCAAAAGATCCGACCAAATTTCCGCTGAGCGGCCTACCGCATAGCTCCGCGGCTGCCAGGTGTCCAAGGAGATCTTGGCTCCAAGCTCCAAGTCCCGGCCGTGGCCACTCCAAACTCCCAGCCTGTGTCAGGAAGGGGGGGCTTGGTGCACGTTGGAAGGGAAGCAACAATCTAAGTTTTAGTGGTTCAGTGGGGATTTCAACCACTAAACCACAATAAGCGAGGTGGGCCACAGTGTTAAAATGGTCGACCCAAAACCATGTAAAGAATTAAGAAGGCGGCCGCAGCTATTTATGGCAAGGGAATTGGCCCTTACTAACCTTCACTTGCCCGGGTTTTGATTGTGGCTCATGTTAGCTGCGGTAGTTGGGAAGGAAGGGAAGGGGGGTGGACGAAGGAAGGGGGGGGAGGGGGAGGGGCAAAACGGTCCGTTTTGGTCTCCGATAAAACGGCGGCAGTCAAAGAGGGGCCACAATCTTTTTGACAACCTAGCATCGGGTTTGGAGCGGGTGGTGGCTTGCGAGTTACCCTCTGCAAATCCCCAAACGGTCCAAGCCACCAATGAAGTGTTGTTGCCGTCCCGTTCTAGAAGGACCCTTCATCAGCTTAAGGCACCACATTCACAATGATCTATCTCCTGTCGACGCAAAACGTGTTGATGACAAACACAAACGACTTTCTCTGGGTGCGTTGTTCCTTTGACAACCCCTTTTTTTCTGATGGTTCCATTATTTTGGGTCCGTTTCAAGGGAATCCCACAGAAAACCCGTCGTTCTGGGTCCGTTTCAAGGGAACCCACGGAAAACCCGCCATTCGCGGGTCCACATCCCTGCGTAGCCTCTCTGGAACTCCACTTGCCGTGAGCTCGGCGAAGGTGAGGTCACAGCGATGCCTGCAGCGCCAGCCCAAGCAGTCTCCGGTCTGCAGCTGCATTCGAAAGACCTCGGAGTTTCCCTCAAAATGGGCGTGTCTCGTGTTAGGAAAACCCCACAAAATTCTAGGGGAAGCCTCCCCATTCTTTCCAGGGATCCTTCCTTTCAGGGAAACATCAATAACGAGGGAATCAGCAGTTTGTTTTTTTCCCCCAGATAGCTGAAAGCTATAGGGGTTCTAGCTTCTAATAAAGATGGGAGAGTGGTTTGCGAGATTGATGGCAGGGTGCTAGGTGGCATGCAGTTTGGGGTGCTTGCGCAGGTGCTGTTGGAGCTGGTGGTGACGGTGTGGGCACGTTTTTGCGAGATCGACGGCTGGGTGCTAGGGGGCATGCAGTTTGGGGTGGTGGCGCAAATGCTGTTTAAGGTGCTGGTGCAGGTGCTTTTTGAGATGCTGGTGACGGTGTGGGCGCATGTTTTGCAAGATTGAGGGCAGGGTGCTAGGTGGCATGCAGTTTCGGGTGCTGGTGCAGTGCTGCGCATGTTTATTAGGTGCTGTTTTTGGGGGTGCTGGGCAGGTGCTGTCAGACGCTGGTGACAGTGGGCGCATTTTTGCGAGATTGGCGGGGGGCGCATTTTTGCGAGAGTGACGGCCGGGCTAGGCGTGGGGGTGCTGATGCAGGTGCTGCTTTGGGTGCTGTTTGGGGCAGGAAGCCCCTCCATCAAATCCTGACCCTTTCAACCCCGCAACCGGTGCCACTTCAAGCAGCCATGTTGCCCACACAAATGGAGCAAACAAAAACACTTTAGGTTTTTGTTCTTTCAATTCCACACCAGGAAGCCTCTCAATTCTACACAGAAGTGTCCCTGAATTTGATATGATTTGGCCAACGAGCAGTATGCAATCCTCGACCTGTTTTCTGCTATCTGGGGTCTATGCTGGTGTAATTTGTTTTTTTGTTGTTTTTTCCCCCGAAAAGAACGATGGTTGAAAAGAATGGGGAATCAACCCCTAGGAAAATGGGTTTCGGCGTTCCGTTTCACTTAAAGCCTGCCGAAGGAGGGGAACCCCCGAAACAAGAAACACCCAAAGGGACCCTAAGCTTGGTGGACGATTTTTGTTGAATTTCCCTCGCCAATTTCACACAACCTGGGTTCCATCATGGGAACAATGGCTTTTCTATCTACATGGAGCGCGGAAAAAACACCCTTGGTTACCCTAGAGATTCCCTTAAAGGAAACCACCAGGGATGGTTTATGGGGCTGATTCCCTCATTCCCTGCTGCGCACCAGCCACAACAAAAATCCAAACAACGGGGCCCAAAAAAAACGCGGAAAAAGTCCCGTGCCGCCTGCGTGTCGAATCGATTCCTGCCCTCGAAGTCGTGGGTGCCGTTCGGGGGCTTTGCTCTTCCAGTCTCTCGTCGTGTTTGCACAAGGCCAAGCTGCAGTGCGACAATCTCGAACCTGGGCTGCGCTTCAGTGGCAAATTCGTGTCCAAAATACAACAACCCTTCTATAAACAAAAGGCCAGCATCAAGCCCCGCCAGAAAAACGGTCACCCAGAGCCCTGGGATTGTCCCTAGCCTTCATCTACCAGGGGTAGATTTTGTGACTCATTTGTGTCCAGAAAGGCCTTCGGGGCCTTGTCACATCAAAGACCAGCCATGGAACAAGGGCTGCTCCACTTTGAGCGGGCGCGCAATGAAGAACTGCAAGCCGTCAAAAGTGGCAGCATTGTACGGCGTCACCAAATAGATAAAGGTAAGAACTCCGTGCCACAGTGGGACCAAACTGAAGCGCCCAAAGCAAAGGGAACGATCCACAACCACGCGATCCTGTCGCAGCTTGTCTGCCTGTAGCCCTTTCCTTGACACCTCATCCAGCTGATCCGGAAACCGATAGCCCGCCCATCCAGTGGAGTCTGCCTGCATCAAATGCGCGGTCCGCAGCAAGTGGAAAGTCATGTCCGCATAGCCGCCGGCGTTGGCATGGATGAAGCAAACCGGCTTCTGAAAAAGCACCGACCGCATCTGCCCACCTCGCAGAAATAAAAACAAACAAACAAACAAAACCTGTAAAAAAACAAACAAAAAACCAAAACCTTGATGTTGGGCTAGCAACCTGGTCAAAACGCTACACAGGAAGCCAGGTCATGGAATCACTGAAGTACCCCCACGACCCTAACCTCGCAAAAAGGGAGCCGCTTCACCTCCGTGTTGGCTGGGAGTGTAGGCTGTTCTTTTCAAAACCTTGCGAACCCTTTGGGCGCCCCACATGAAACGCAAAACCGACCCCCAAAGAGGCCACGTGAGACATCCAAACTTGGTCCTAAATCCATGCACGAAACCAATTGCCTGTCCGCACAAATCGTGGACCGTCCTTACTAACCTTCACTCGGAATTTGGGCTGGGGAAAGAACCGTGGACAACCCTTGTCACCGTAGGCACTGGTATCAGGTACAAGGTATCATCGTCGTCTTCCTCTGTATCGAATTTTTTTAGCACGCTTGGATGCGAAGTACACTTTGGCAGCTCCGGCTCGAAAGTCACAACTGGTCTGTACACATGTAGTGCACAAAGTGCATTTCGAGGGCAACTGGCGGGATTCGGCATGATGGCCAATGAGTCGGCTATCGGTTGGGCATCGGTTTGGACGCTGCAATTGTCTGACTCCGCACTCTCGGTTTGCGACAACAACTTGGGCCTGTTGTGTCTTCATGGCTTCTATGGGGTATCAAGGCCAATGAAAGTCAAGGGACGGGCCCTCTAAACAAAAAGCCGGGTCCAAATCCCACCTTCGTCCATGCCGAACTGCCGGGCCGCGATGGACCGACGTGCCAAGTTCACTACAAAGGACCCCCCGTAGTCCAGCGCGACCTGCGCAGTCGAAGGAGTACATTGACGAGGAACCCAAACAGCCGAGGGATCTTCTTTTGGGTATTTGGGGGACTCCCTTCCCCTTTTGTATAATTTGCGGGGAGTCTCTCATGTATATGATAAGGCTCCGCCCAAGAACATGTTTTCACGATTTCGCTTTGCCGTCTTGAATAATACATTGGAAAGAAAAGCAAACGCAGCCCCCAGCCTGTTGCGGATGCTCTATCAGGTACTGATTCCACAGGTACTGGTGGGTTTTGCCATGGTTGCGGAAGGGTTCCCCACGCGCGTTGGCTTCAGGCAAGCGATCTTGAAGATCGAGCAGCTTCCTTCAGGGAAGCCAAGACTCCGACTCCGGCCACATGGGAGCCGCGCTAGAGCCCCTGTGCGGGATGGTCAAGGGCCCAGCACAAGGGATCGTTGTGTCTCTTTGAAATCCATGCACAAGGGTTGATGTGCATTTGTCATCGAGTCACTACTAAATAACCCCCCAAGTAAGCCGGAATGCTGATGTGTCACACATAGCTCGGCAGAAGTGAAAGAAGCACTCTGGCCAAGCGTTCCTTTTTTCTGGGGGATGCCAAGCCCCAGCCAAGCCTGAGGGCAAGTTCAAGATCTGCCGCTCTACCACCATAGAAGCCGCCGTTGAGGTATTCGCCAGCCACCGGCTGCTGAGATGGATGGGCGGGTGGCGAGGGGTTTGGCAAAAAAAATGCATGCAAAGGCTCATAGATTTGTGAGTCCCTCTGGTTTTTCTGCTTGTATCTACTTTTTGCGGACCTTTCGATTCCCCTCAGGACGCCTGGCACAGCCAGGCGCGGCCAAGTCACTGGCGACTCGTTGCCGCTGCTGGCCAACCCCCCCACTTCCGACATTGCCAGGCAGGGCTCGTGCTCATCTTGCGGCCTCACGAATCCCGCCAAACCACCCAGTGGCATGGCTGTACCCCCCCCCCTCTTCCCTTGGGTTATTGGTTTAGGGCTAGAGAAACTCATCTTAGAATTTCTTTTTTGCCACACAGCCGATCTGGCCGCCTGGGCTCCCAGATCAGCGGCAGCGGATACACTTCGCGGCAGTTGGCGATTGGCTTCTTCCGGGCCTTGCAAGGCTTTTTGCTGCAGTTGCCACTTCCGGAAGCTCAAGGCTTGACCCAAGGCCGCCCACCAAACCCAGCACTTTGAACCGAGGATTCCTTTCAGCCCGGCCTGGTTCATGTGGAGTCGTGCGTTTTCATGGCTCCCGGCCGCTGCGGCAGGATAACCATACAGCCCGGCCGGGTAGAGATCAAACCTGGGAGGCCACCAAGTGCTCAGGCCAAAAACATCGCCGGATCGCCCAGCCAAGGCGCTCAACCCCGAAGAACATAGGGCGTCCCAAGCGCTCAAGAGCCTGAAGGGTCCATGCTCAAAAAAGCGAACTTCAAGCCACTTGTTTGCCCACTTTTGGCATCTGCCTTGTTGAGATCGCGGTGACAGTGAAGGAAGGCCACATCAAACGCGTCCGCATAGAGCACAAGCCGCTGGCCCAATCCCGCTTTTCGAAGATGGGTCACATAGGCCCTAGGCTCCCAGCATTCACGCTCGACTCAAAGATTCACGGCATAGTTTGGTTGACGTTGGGTTTGGGGAGCAACAATTTTCAGATTTTAGCAGTTAAGTGGATTTGGATTTCAACCACTAAACCACAATAAGCAAAAATGGGAAACATGTTTCCCAACGACAACCATGATAGAGTCTCAATCTTTGACCGAGGCTCAGAAGATAACGCTCCGAGTCGAACCATTTGTATCTCCACGGCCGTTGCTCTTTCGGGGGTTGGAGCAATCGCAAACGCAGCGGCCATGTCAGGGAGGAAATCAGGGCATGGGCACGCTCGGGCTTGTCGGTGACAGCCACCACATCGTAAGGTCCTTGACCCAAGCCCTCCAGGGTTGATCAGCGCTTACTGCCTTGTCGGATCATGTGTTTCATGGGCAGTGGCTTCTAACCTTGGTGCCGATGCCTTGTGAAAGTAACATCTGTGATAGAGGCCATCCCTCTGATTACTTCGTCACTTTTTTCGGGCGCGGGGGGGTTCTTGATATCCCAGAAAGTGACAACCCGAAACCATCCAGAGCAAAAGGTCAAAAGGTGGCCCTAAAACCATCTATTCCACAATCGATTCCACATGTCCAGAACTCTTCCCCACCAGACTCCAGCCTCCAACACATCTGGATCCAACTGCTTGAGACTCCGCTGCTTCGGCGCCACATTCGAAAAAAGTCGCACCACGCGGAGCTCCAGCGACATCGCCTGACCGTCGCGCTCGTCCGCCTGGCAAAAGCGGCCGAATGCCAAGCGCGTCAACACAGCGATCAAAACCCATTGACTCGTCTTCCCCGGATGCAAAGGTTGTTGCTGTTGTGTGTTTTTTTTTTTTTTTTTTTTTTTTTTTTTTTTCTGGGGGTTGATCAAAAGGTCCTTTACATGGGATGACCATTGGGGGAAATCACTGAACAGATGATATGTGTTAGATGGGAAAAGCTACCAATGGTCGTTTGGGTTCCAAAGGGAGCATTGATCAACCCCCGACTAGAATTCCCATAGAAGCCTCTGCTAACCTGGAGAAAGGTGTGCACTGTGCCTCGCGTCCTGAGAGTTCGCGGCCCAGCCGGTGCCAGAAGAGCGCCCACAGAAGCCGACGCAACTCCTGGTCGTGTCCCAAGCAAGACAGCGGCACGCATCCCACGAACCAGTCCCCAGAGGTCTCCGAAGCGGCTGCGACACGTCTCTCGGATGCCGCAGCGCCCGCGTTGCGATCCACCACCGTTGCCACCCGCTCAAGCTCTCTCTGCCGCTCCTTCTGCTTGCTTGTTGCATAGAAAGCAGCATGGGGACAGAAGCGTCGGCGGCAGAGACGCTGAGCACGCAGCTCGGCCCATTTCGGTATACGCATCGCCACTGACATGACGTTGACCAGGTCGCTCGCAGCACATCGCTGCCCGGCACGTTGTGCTAACAACCCTTTGGCAGAAGGCGAGAGGCCTCGTGCACTGAGCGCACTGAGCGCAGTGAGTTCGCGTCGGAGCGGCTGGCTACATTCGAGCTCCTCGCAGCCTTTGGCCATGCAGTGGGGCACATTGGCAGCATTCAGCGTGTGCAACGACAGCACAAGCTCCAAACTCAGCCATGGCACCATCCACGGGCAGAGTCGAAATGGGCTCTGTCACTGCCGTTCTGCTACATTGATCAGGCAGTCCAATACTTCTCTCCCCCCCACTCAAAAATCGGGACAGCGCAACCCTGCTCTTCCGTAGTCTGAAGTTTGAGGCTTCAAATGTTGCGGAGGGATGAAGTCGTGTCTCGTTTGCAGGGCTTCTTCGTGATTCCGTTGCCGCCAAAGCAGTTGCGCCTCTGTGTATTTGCCAGCAAGAATCTGTGGCGACACAAAATATGGCCTTGGCACATCGCTTCGAAGACGCAGCTAGACGGCTGTGTCTCAAAATAGGGGACCCCCTTTTGGGTGGGTCCTAAAGGAACACTAGAGGAAACCGGCCATTTTGGGGGTCACCTATTTTGAGACACACCCAGATCTGTTGTCCGCAAAGAGGCGGCACACCGAGCATCCGGCGCGCCAACTTTGGTCTTCATCGCCTGCACCCCCAGCTGCCGCCCACTCTTTCCAGACCCCGGGTCCGGCCTCTCCCTCCTCAAAGGACCGCGCGAAGCCGAAGTCGATGATCTGCACGCAGGGCTCCGCGCAACTCGCGGGCGTCAGAACCCGAGCCCGCCTTGATCAAGTTGCTCTCCACAGGCCCTCAGCACTCACTCAATGCGCATGCGCCGGCGCCTGACGCGGCCTTAGGAAGTAAGTGCAACGCCTTCACCCGCAAACATGAAGTTCTCGATCTTGAGATCGCGATGCACCACCTGCCCACAGCTTTCAGAAAAGCTGTAAGAGGAAGAAAACCGCTGCTCGGGCATCAAGCTTGAGAAAAGAAGCAAAGGTCGTCCAGCCCTCCGAAGAAAACCAAAAAAAACACGACTCGGCAAGTGTCGCACCTTCATGGTGTGAAGGTAGTAAATCCCGCCTTAGACGGAACCAAAGCGCATGGCCCCATGAGCTCCGCCGGGGGAAAACAAAACCCCCTCTGGATGGGCAAAATCCATTTCGCACCACCGTTCAGAAACCCCGGAAGGAGTCGATTCAACGGAAATACCAACAAACCCTGGTTTCCCTTAGTTTCAAAGTGGTGCGAATTTTTGTCCATCCGCAGTATGGATGGGCGAGAATATCTTCATCTAAATTTGAAGATGGCGTGCTGACCCACAAAAAAAGAAAAAAAAACGAGCAGCACAGCGCAATGTAATTTGTCCATGGTATTTCGACAGCTGAGCGCCTCACGAAAGACTTGCTGCATGATGACTGCCGCTTGGTTCTCCGTGAAGTGCCCGACTTCCAGCAGTCGGTCGAACAGCTCTCCGCCGCGGCAATACTCCATCACCTAAAATGGTCGTAATCCCAGAACCATGCTTCAGGAATGAAGGCGGATCTCCGCAGCTATGGCAAGGGGATTGATTGTCACTAACCTTCATCTACCCGGGTTTCAGTTTTGAGCGAGTGGCTCTCGCCACGGCTTTGATGTCTCCCCAAGTTCAGGAACATCACAGGACTCCCCCAAGCACGAGCGCCAGTTGCCCCGCTTTTTTTTCCGAAGACTAGGCCCATCGCCATGTACATATACTTCTTGTCCTCAGTTCAGCAGGCGTGCCATGGATATTCCCGTGCAAATGAGGATCGTTTTTTTTTTTTTTGCGTGTGTGTCAAAGGTTCCACTTGTTGACTACCCCAAGATAGACTCAAACCCAGGGTGGTTCATTCCCCCCAAAAGGAGAACCCCTGGGTTTAAGTCTATCTTGGGGTAGTCCAAAAAGTGAAACCCTGTGTGTCGGTGTATGGCCTCAAAGTGCTCGTACAGCTTCACAATATGAGGATGATCAAGCCTGAATCCCCAAGTGTGGCTGCCCTGGCAAAACGTCACACTCTCCAGAATCTCAGACACATACATCTTCAGAGTGGTGAGCTCGTTGCGAAACCTCACGAGACGATCCGATTCTGGTGTTTCAGCCGGGTTGCGGGGATTGCCTACTAACATCTGTGATCCTACTGGGAAAAGAGCCTTCCCAACTTCCCAACGACTAGTTCTTCACATAAAGCTCTCACAGAGGAGTGGTTGAATCAATAACATTCCTAATCCCGTTGGTCTCTAAGAGACGTAGCAAAAGGGGAATTCAAAATCAAGACTCGTCCTACAGGCGGAAAAAGGCTCCAAAAGTCACAAAAGTGGGAGAAACAACTCGATTCTACGTGCACAAAAAACATGTCTTAGCACAGGTATTCTAGGAACTTTTTGGATGCGCCTTTTGTGGATTTCACCTGTTCTTCCCACTGTTGGTCCTTTTTTAGTACTCTTTTAGTACTCTTTTCACCTTCTACAGGGGTGGAACCACAGATTCGCCACATCCAGACCGTTTTCTAGAGGTATATATCAGAGAGGAGGAAAAGAAGTTCGCCAAGATCCCCTCCTTCAAGGCTCCACTGCCAACACTTGGACGTCTCCAATTTGGATCTGGCAGCGGATGGTGTCGTTTCCCTAAGCAAGCTCCAAAAGGGCTACTTGTCTCTTTGTTTTTCAAGAAACCTCAAAAAGGCGCAGTACATATCAAGAAACCAAGTGCCCACCAAAACAAAAACGAGTTGATGTCTTGCAGACCTGTTTTTCTTTCCCAGAAAATGCACCAAGACTCCGGCATAATGAGTTGGCTCTTCCGCCGCACTTTCCGCAGGATCTTCACGGCTCTTTCCGCACCGGTGGATCGATTGGCACACCTGGGCACACGCAAACATGGGCTGATCTGAACATACTTTAGATGACACCACCTAAGAAACCCTGGGATGATGATTCCGTGCAAATGCCAACAAGCAATGGTTTCAACCATGGTTTCGAAGTGGTGCAACATGAGATTCGCAACCAGCCTCAGGACTGCTTACCCTTGGGTTTCCTTTTGATTCCCTGCGAAAGGGAACCTACGAAACGGCTTCGGATTCCCTTTGATTCGCCTTTTTCCTTTACTGAAAGGGGCACCAGCTCAGAAACGAGCATATGGGGGTCCCAAAAAGGGATGCCTCCGAGCCCCTTCCCCAACAGCAAGGGTTGAATCTCAAAACTATTTGAGTCCTTTGGGTGTGCCTTTCAAACCATCCGAGATTTATAAGGAAGTCACTTGTTTGGAGAAGCCCTATGTGACTCATGCTCCTGTCGCAGAACTACGCTAAAAATGCAGCACATTGGTCACGTTTTCCTCACTCAGCCTCGTGCTTACACACTCGTCCAAATGACCCCTCGCCAATCTTCTCGTCCTCCACGTCGTAGAAGTCATTTATATCTCGGTCCTTGTTGTCAATGATGTAGATCGCAAAGCCTGCAAGTCTTTTCGGCATACGTTCGCCCTTACGCCCTTGCCTGGCGAGCTCGCGCGGGCAAGGAAAACTGACTTGGCCATGGGTCAAAATCCAAGTTGTACCCCCATCCAACCACTAACATAGGTTCTAAAATGGGTGGTGAATTCACCTACCGACCAAAATGGTCCCAAAACGGTTTTGACAACCACAGCCACTTCAAGCCTAGAATGTCAATTGACATGCCAGGCTGACTGTGTGCTTCCCCGGCATCCTGCAAAAGGCTCTGGTCCTGCACACAAATTGGGCGTTTTTCAGTGCTCACAATCCTCAGAGGCTCCTCATCCTTGCCACCTTTTCGCCTAAACCGAAAAACAGATCTACGAACATGGCTATGGGTCAAAATTTAACCACCAGAAGTTGGACCGCTTATTTTTGTTCGTGCTCGGTTCTATTTTCCGATGGAGTAACCCATTTTGGGCTTAATTTTGACACACAGCCACATGGAAGTGCGAAACGTCTTCCCTGACAACGCGCTCGCCGAGGGCTCCGCCGGATGCGCGCCACCTGATGTCAAACTCCTACACGGGGCATGTGTGAAATTTGGGAGACACCCAAACTGGCTTGCTGGTCTGACTCACTTTCTTTGCGATGTTTGTCCGTGACAGTGTGATACAAAGTATTTGCGCGTGACCGCAAAACCGCCAACAAAGGCGGAGCCCTTGGTGCCGTCGGTTGCAGTCGGCCCCTCCGTCCACTGAGCATTGCACACAGCTGCCCATGAGACCATCACCGACACCCAAAGCCAGTCTGCCACAGGCAAAGATGATGTCGCAAGCTGTAATAGCTGTCAAAGGCAAGGGCTGCACTCAACAGGGATGGATGGATGGATCCAGAATCAGTGCCCGAAAAGTTTGGTCATTGGTGGTTTGGAGGGAGTGGTGTTCTTTCGGGCGACCAAGGCTGAAGATACAAAACGTATCTACGGCGTGTGCCAAGAAGCTGAGGCGGGCAACTGCGAAGACATGTTTGAGCCGGCAGCGCGGTTTGCACGGGCAAACATGAGACACAAGCAACTGCTCAATGAAGACCTGGCGCGCCGCCTGTCAAACATCACAACAAGCTGCGCAGCCTGAATGGGAGCACATCTGCTCTCCAGTATGATGGACGCAAGAAACAAGCTCCTCACCTTGGCAATTCGTTGCCGCTGCAACTCAACGGGCTGTATGCACAATTGGACGCTTGCAGGTAAGCCTGGAGCAAACAAGCGCAGCCCCATTGCTAGCCAAGGTCCATGTTCAAGCAGGGATCCTTACATTATACACCTGAACATTGCCTTGTAAATGGTGGTTTCCCTTTATTTTGGTGTTGAAATAGCAACATGTTTCAAATGGTTGCAAAATGGAGATCTTTTAAGGAGCCCTGTCAAGCCACACATCTTCCCATTGAATTGAAAAATGGCTGGTGCTTGAACCCCCCTCGGTGGAGAACCGCAACCAAATGCCAAACACGGCATCTGCCTTCTTGGAGCCAGCGCTGCGGCAAATGATCCATGCGCACAGCATGGGCCTTGCCTTGCTGCGATAGGTAAGGAAGGGCATGAACCCAAAAGTGCCCTTAAAGGAAACCACAAGGAATGTTTTTTGTTTGCCCTCAAAGACCCTGCTTAGCACCAGCAAGTGAGCACCAGCAAGTTGTTTTTCACGAGTGGAGGCAACTCCCGGGTGGCAATTGCAGCGCAATTGGCCGTCACACGTATTTGTGCTTGAACCATGAATTGCACGTCGCAAAGCTGTGTCCATGGATATAGCTGCTGACATCAGGATTGCCCAAAATGACCGCTGTATCCCCAACATGGCGAGCTGCGCGCGCGTACCCCGAGCCACGTTCTGACGCCGCCGCCCGAACTCTCAGGCTGCTTCATGTGGCCTCCGGTCGGCTTCCCTCACGGGGTGGGTTTTGAGCCGAGAGGGCTTGGTGAAGCGGAGGGGTTGAAACCCACGTAGCGTGCCTTCTACAAGCCGTTCAATGTTTGTGTCGGTCAAAATTTTCAGCCAGGGAACCCACAGGTTTTGGCCCGTGTTGCCACTTACGAGGATTCCATGTTGGGGTTACCCTATTTTGGACCCACAGCCAAATCCCAAACCACAATCCAAACCAAGAGGGAGGCTCCGCACAAAAAAAAAAAACGCAAAGCAAAACAAACCGCGTGTCAAGCATCGGCATCCAATCCATCAGCTCACTGGACTCGGTTCGAAAGGCAACCAGCCCAACCACGCCGATACCGTTGTTCAACAATTCCAACAGAGGATTAATTGCAGGCAACGATGGTCGCAAGAACCCAACTCTCCCCTTCCATTCGCACATCGCAACCAGAAAAAACCAGCAAACCAGCTCGACAGGACTTCCGAGCCAGATGCGAGGTCAACTTGGTGGACGTCTCAAAAGTGCAGTGCGGATGGCAAAACAATGTCTGAGCTTCCAACAAGACCCAACAAAACCCTTTCCCTTTGCCCCTTGCAGGCAGGATCATGTTTGTGAGCTTCACGGCAAAGCCAGAGTTCACGGCCTACCCTGTGCCTTGAGCCCCTAAACCTACTCAACCAAAAATGGTGCCATGACCAACACGATCTTGGCCTTGTTGCTCGTTCAGTTCGAGCAATTCACTGGAGTTTTAGAGGCACACGCATCTGAAACGCCTTAAGCCGTGTTTGCAAAAGAACAAAAATGACATGATTTTCCACAACATGTTATTGACCTCCCAGCTATGATCCAGGTATGACAGCTACATGCCACGCTGTGAACTGGAGCAAATACCCATCAATTCTATTCATCTTCTCTGGACTTCAGCAGATAGGGACCGAGTTCAATCAACAGCCCTTGAGTAGCCCCCCCACCCAAACAGCTTGCTCTGGATCCTATCCCTCTCCCCCATTCAATCAATAAATGCTGATTCTCATGTTACTGTCTAGATTTCAGCCGATCCATGATCGCTCCCTTGGCTTTCTAAAACAAACAGTAGCTGTCAAGCGTGCGACTGCGCGAGCCTCGTCGGTGGTTTGGAGCCTGAGCATTCAAGTACGAACTTACGGTTCAATACTTTCAGGATGGCGGTATTGAACGCGTGCACACCAGCAACTACTCCTGACTTGTTGCCTGAGCGCAATGACAAGCAAGGACGACTGAGCTTTGGGCATACCAAGAACTTGCAGCACAAGGGCGGATTGCACTTCAGGAGAAGAGAGATGGTATGAGATGCTTCAATCTGGAAAGGCTATAAGTAGGCTTGTGAACCTGCTGACATTGATTTCCGACTCATGCCTGTTCTGCTCTCGGGCACATGTTGCCAGGGCAACTCATCTTCGGACAACGGCCTGTGAAATATCAGCCGGGGATTGGCATGCTCCTTTGGTTGTCCTATTCCTGAGTTGTGTCTTGAGCAAAAAGAGTCAACACGCAGAGTATGAGCTCATCCCCTCGCAACCCCCCTTTCCACATAGACACAAAACCGAAGCAACGCACAGGCTTTGTTCAGCACAGGATTTCCGTCAAGGCCAGAAGGTCGTAGAATACACACAAGCGCCAAGCACCGGGCCATCCGCCACGCCGGAATTGCGCTGATCCAGGTTGAAAGCACAGCAAGCTCCTGGCACAGCAAGTTCTGCACAGCTGGGGATTCCATCGCGTAAAGAGCTTCCGCCAGCTGCCGGCGTGGGCCTAAGGCCGCCGGTAACGCGAAGCGGAGGTTTCACCGCACCCAAGGGGGGTCTGCTCACTCCCCTGGCCGGTTGGCCATCTTGGGTCAGCTTTCGCGAGGGCATGGCGCATTGTACACGGCAGAATCATATTAGACTGCCTGACGTCTAAAAGTCCGATGCATGGCTTCTCCGGCTGCCCAGCCTGCACAGGGAGTGCGGGTGAGGTCACAAACCACGGGCACTCAGCCGAATTCAGCGGAGACCTGCTGCCCGCTGTCATGAATTGCCGACTCGACTACACATTAGCTGAACACAGAGTGATGCAGAGATCCACAGTTGCTCCCCGACGCCCATGACCTGATTGGTACCTGTAGTGAGTTTGTATCTGAAAAAGTACTCTGTTGCAACCGTGGCCTTCGGCGAGAAAAAAACAAGCAGAAACGTGAGTCGCATTGCGTGTGGCTTCTTGAACCTGTGCTCCGCATGTTTGTAAAACACACAAAAGCTGCATGTTTGTAAAACACACAAAAACTGGGAACCTTCATTTCAACCCTCACAAGTGACAATAAGACAAGCTCAGAAACAGTGTCCACGTTCCGATGGCTCCAGCAATGAGCATTGCTGGCGGATTCCTCCTTTCGGTGAATTTAACCTGCTCATCCGAAAAACTTCGCACACTCCTCAGAGTGTGAAATGAAGTACGGCGACTCCTGGAACAAGAGTCCATTCGGCGGGTCCTGCGCATGCATTAAATGACCAGGCTGGAATATCCGGAGTCGGGTACCACTTCCAAGCGGAGCGTCTCCGACTTTTTTGCTCCGTGGACGTCCCATCTCCGGCGCAAATATTTCGGCTCACACTTTTCAAATATTTGCCTTGCCCGGCTTGCAGTGCAATCGAATTTTCAAACATTCTCTGTACCAGCAAGGAAAAAAGGCTAGGTTTTGGAACACCCAGCCCTGACAGCCTTGCATCGGGTTGCTACAAACACGGCAGCACAGCGTTAAGGGGCCGCTCTCTTCCACAGAACTGGCCGCTGTCCGCTAGAATCACCCAAGTGGTAGGCTGCTTGGGTTGGCGTTTGTCCGAATAGTGGGAACAGACTGAGGCCAACTATCGAAGAGATTCTGCCGATGAAACTTGTTGTAGCACGCAAAGAGCTTGACTCAGCACCTAGCCAGCTAGAAATCAGAGACTTGACTCAGCGCCTAGCTAGAACACATCCGTCCAGGGTCTATGATTGCCCCAGCCGAGTGGACATTTAGGCGCGTCTCTTCAGGTGGCATACGAGAAAAAATATGATCGTCTTCAATGTTACAGCGCATGGTCGTGCCACATTTTGGCGGAAAGTTCAGTAACTGAGTGTGCCTCCAAATAGGGGAATTTTGGATGGTTTTGAAAGGACACCAAAAACACCATCTACCTGGAGGGGTCACCAATTGTTCGAAACACCCAACTAGTGGCAGAATCGAGACGGAGATTCAATCAACTGTCCCCTTTGCAAATGTGACACGACTCTGCATGTTGGACGTCGCCGCCGCAGCAAAGGAAATCAGAAGAACAAACGCATGCTCTACATGCAACCTCATATGTCTGGGCTCCATACACCTTCTCCACTGAAGTATCGTTTGCCAAGCCGTTGAATGACTGATTTCGCTGAAATGTGCCATGTGTTCAGCAATCAGGCTTTCCCAAATCACCATGCCTTCTCAGCGTTGGCCAAAAGAGGCAACGAGTGGGCACCGGCTGTTGGGAAGCATGCCATACTTCGAGGATGTGTATTCAAAGCACTATCTACATCTCCCCTTGATCTATGCTGAGCAATGAGAGCATGATGTGCCCACTGCCTCATGAGGGCAAACACTAGCTGAGCCACCAAGAAGCCAAAGAAAACTTTACAAGAAGGAACACGGACACCCACGGAAGCAAACCAATCTGGAAGGATTTCCTGTGCTCGGACGCTCAGGAGCTTCTGTGCTGCCTGGCGATTCAAACAAGAGGAAGGCGCGTGCAGACCGTATGCTTCTCGTGGTCATGGGTATGGCCCCATGGATTTAGTCGGTGTCAAAGTCCCCCCCTCAGTTGGTTGAAGGGGATTGGTTCCCCGAGTTTCTGACTTTGATAGCCCCAACTCTTCTAAGTCATGACACCTGCAGTATTCTGACTTTGAGACCTAAGTCTTCAAAATCATGACCCCTTCTGTTCCAACTCGACATCTTGCAATTGTCTGATGCCTCTTTTGGGGGTCACTGGCTGTTAAAAAGACCTGGAGGCGAAAGCATTGCATGTAAGCCACGCCCCAGAAGCGCAGAGAGAGAGAGAGAGGGTCCTGAACCCTAAAAGGAAACAGGAAGGTAAAAAACCTAGTACTTTTTGTGCTTTTCTTGCTGTTTGCTGCTAGGCTGTGATGCGTCGAGAGCAGTTGTGAGCAGGGCTGGGGAGGAGGGGGGGGGAGGGCAGCTACTAGCAGGGGTGGGGGAGGGGGGTGTGGTATGAACACACATGAGTGCACACAGGTTGGTGCACGGCCAATGTTGGTTGCAACGGCCAAGAGCATCTGGAGAGCCACCATGTCCATCCCAGCAAACATCAATTTGCTAGAAGAGTCTCTGTGACGAGGGGAGCACGCACACCACCCGCTTGCTTCATAGTGGGGACTCAATGTATAGACAAATGGCATCATTGCAAGACGATATACCAACTCAGCAGGGAAACAAAGGGGAACTGAAAGGGACATGACAGGGACAGAAACGAAAACAAGGGGAGTGCAGGGGGAATGACAGGGAAACAAAGCACAATGAAACCAATCGGCACGATGGGAGATGTAGGGGAATGACTCGCATACATGGAAAATGACGCGGACATACCGAGAAAATGTCAGGGACATGAAGGGGGAGTTGAAAGGAATGGAAGGGACATGACCAGGACATCATGGGAAACGTGAAAAGGACATGAAGGGAAATCAAGGGGAAAGCCAGTAGTGAGATGACAGTTCAGGGTCATGAAGGGGCAGTGCCCGGATATCGAGGCAACTCAGGGGGGACGTGACGCTAGATAGAGAGACTGAGGAGAGAGAGGCTTGGGGGGATGGGGAGGATGGGGAGCAGAGGGAGGGAGAGAGGACGACAGAACACACGAGGGAGACAAGGGAGAGAGGAAGAAGGAGAAAAGGGAGAGGACAATGTCGGCGGACTGAGCTGGAGGCTCTAAAGTTTAGGGTGGGTTTGTGCGGGGCTTGGGTTTCTTTAGGGTGGTTGATTTAGGCTCAGTGCTGATTACATAAAGATGGGTTTCGTGTGGGTTTAGGGCTGATTTAGAGCTGGTTTCAGGGATGGTTTAGGGGTGGTTTAGGGTGGGCTTAGGGTTGGTTTCGGGGTGGGTTTAGGATTGTTATATGGGGTTGCTAAGGGTTTGTGTAGGGTTGAGTGTTGGTGGTTTGGGGATTCTTTAGTGCAGGTCTAGGGTAGGTTACAAACACTATCCTGGGCTGGTATTGCTGAGGATGTGGAAAGCCAAAGCTACAAAACCGCAAAAACAAATGACCGACCAACGACTGGGACCCGGCCCGCCAAGCCTGCAGAAAAGAAAACTAGGGGCTCCAGCAAGGCGATACATCACAAAACGATCCAGGCATATGTGTGGCATCATGCTTAGTTGACCATTCAGACCTCACCATGTCCACTATTTGTTTGGAGGATATTCAAAATGTCTTGGACAAAATCCTGCACCAGCTTGAAACCATGAATAACCATTGTTTGTTGGTATGAGTTTAGAATCCAATCATTCCAGGCTTCTCTTCTTTGCTGCGAAATGGAATGCGATTTCAACCATCCCATCCACAGAATCGAGTTGAAACAGCCCTGCCATGGCCCTCCGGCCCTCCGGCCCTCCGGCCCTCTCGCCCTCCGGCCCTCCGGCCCTGGCCACTAGTCAATGTAATGCAAGAAGCTCCAGTAGGCACCTGGGAGTCAAGTGGCCAGTCATCCAAAAAAAGTACCCCGGTGAACATCGGCCAATCCACGAAAATGAGCTCTAAAATGGGTGGCGAATTCACCTACCAACCAAAATGGTACCATTGGCTTTGACCCACAGCCAAGGTCACAGCCAGATGAGCTGCTACAGATACGGCTTCACAGCCCTTCACCTGTTTTGATGAAGGAATTCCCGGGAGATTTCAAGCACCGGGTGTCCAGAATCGGAACTCATTTGGCCAAGCTGGTGCTTCCGGCTTGAAGAACAGACGCATGTAGGGTCACTCAACAAGCAAATTGGACCCTTTTGTCAGCCCTTAGAACAGAAGCATCAAGAGAACCTGCTAAAAAAGGGGTACTTTCCTTTGAGACAACCCTCAAGACCATAGGAAGATCAGTCGTGGCTGTTGCAAGTTCCGTCTCTGTGAGCACCTGCACCGGCAATTGCTTTTGTACCTTCAGCTATGCCCATGTTGCTCAAGGGAAAGAGGTGAGCCTTCTGACACCTTTGCTCAACCTGCCTTGCACGCAACAAACACGTGCCAGACATCAATTCATACCCAGCACATCCAAATCGCGAAGTCGTGTCTCTAGTGGCCTATGCCCGCGCCAGAAAACAAAACATATCTGCCCTGACATGTGTGCGCAACCAGCTCGCACTCCGCAAGCCCTGTCAGGGGTGCTCACACAAACATCTGCGGCATCGTAGAACGCACCCTCATAACCGCACATGTGACTAGCGCAACGTCAACTCACATAGATACTTCAGCTCAGTCTTGCGGTTCATATATGCAGTGGTTGCATTCTCCTCTCCTTCCCTAGCGTTCTTGAGTGGGTGAATAGCCTGAATAGCCCCGCGATTCCTGGAAATGCTATTTCCCACCAAACAAACCATGAAATCCTGGGAATTGATCTTCACCCTATGGAAAACACAGCGGGTAGTCCCAATCCAGGTTACATATTTTCCCGAACAGTGCGGCAGTTGCGGCCAAGGCGCTTCCCTCTGGTGCCAACCATGCGCAAACCTGGGGGGCTCCGTGCCCAGTGCTCCCTTGGAAACTGCCAAAAGCACTCGGGAATGTCACTTTTTGAAAGTACCCATTGAGTGGTTTTAAAGGGAAACCAAAAGGATAACCACCAATTTGGGACTTACTCGGCTCCTAGGATCGTTCTAAAAGCACCAGCAGGTGGTGCCTCGTTTTCGGCACTATCTGAATCCGAGCAAAGGCTTGGCTTGTACCTTTGGGGTAGGTAGAAGTACTGCTCTTTCCCTGGTGTCCAAACAATCCCGAGACTGGCACCAGGTGAGAGCAAACCAGGTTCCAGGGCTGGAAATCACTGAAAAAGAGTGCGAGACCTAGATTCAGGAGAAAGTAGAGCATGGCGACCTAAAAAAGTGCGGTGTCACCCAAGATGCTGCTCGCAAAATGCTGCACGCATGTGTGTGTGTGTGTGTGTGTGTGTGTGTGTGTGTGTGTGTGTGTGTGTGTGTGTGTGTGTGTGTGTGTGTGTGTGTGTGTGTGTGTGTGTGTGTGTGTGTGTGTGTGTGTGTGTGTGTGTGTGTGTGTGTGTGTGTGTGTGTGTGTGTGTGTGTGTGTGTGTGTGTGTGTGTGTGTGTGTGTGTGTGTGTGTGTGTGTGTGTGTGTGTGTGTGTGTGTGTGTGTGTGTGTGTGTGTGTGTGTGTGTGTGTGTGTGTGTGTGTGTGTGTGTGTGTGTGTGTGTGTGTGTGTGTGTGTGTGTGTGTGTGTGTGTGTGTGTGTGTGTGTGTGTGTGTGTGTGTGTGTGTGTGTGTGTGTGTGTGTGTGTGTGTGTGTGTGTGTGTGTGTGTGTGTGTGTGTGTGTGTGTGTGTGTGTGTGTGTGTGTGTGTGTGTGTGTGTGTGTGTGTGTGTGTGTGTGTGTGTGTGTGTGTGTGTGTGTGTGTGTGTGTGTGTGTGTGTGTGTGTGTGTGTGTGTGTGTGTGTGTGTGTGTGTGTGTGTGTGTGTGTGTGTGTGTGTGTGTGTGTGTGTGTGTGTGTGTGTGTGTGTGTGTGTGTGTGTGTGTGTGTGTGTGTGTGTGTGTGTGTGTGTGTGTGTGTGTGTGTGTGTGTGTGTGTGTGTGTGTGTGTGTGTGTGTGTGTGTGTGTGTGTGTGTGTGTGTGTGTGTGTGTGTGTGTGTGTGTGTGTGTGTGTGTGTGTGTGTGTGTGTGTGTGTGTGTGTGTGTGTGTGTGTGTGTGTGTGTGTGTGTGTGTGTGTGTGTGTGTGTGTGTGTGTGTGTGTGTGTGTGTGTGTGTGTGTGTGTGCTTGTGTCATTGTGTCTCTGTGTTTGTGTGTTTGTGTGTTTGTGTATTTCTGTCCTTGTGTGATTGTGTGTTTGTGTGTTTGTGTGTTTGTGCGTGTGTTTGTGTGTTTGTGTGCTTGTGTGATTGTGTGTTTGTGTGTTTGTGTGTTTGTGTGTTTGTGTGTTTGTGTGTTTGTGTGTTTGTGTGTTTGTGTGTTTGTGCTTGTGTGATTGTGTGATTGTGTGTGTTTTTGGTGTTTGTGGCTATTTTTGTGTGTTTGTGTGTTTGTGTGTTTCTGAATTTGTGTGTTTGTGTGTTTGTGTGCTTGTGTGATTGTGTGTTTGTGTGTTTGTGTGCTTGTGTGTTTGTGTGATTGTGTGTTTTTTGTGTGTGTTTTTTGTGTGCTTGTGTGCTTGTGTGCGTGTGTGTTTGGGGGTTTGTGTGTTTGTGTGTTTGTGTGTTTGTGTAGTTGTGTAGTTGTGTGTAGTTGTGTGTTTGTGTGTTTGTGTGTTTGTGTGTTTGTGTGTTTGTGTTTTTTGTGTTTTTTTTTGGTGTTTGTGTTTTTGTGTGTTTGTGTGTTTGTGTGTTTGTGTGGTTGTGTGTTTGTGTGTTTGTGTGTTTGTGTGCTTGTGTGTGTTTGTGTGTTTGTGGGCTTGTGTGATTGTGTGTTTGTCCGTTTGTGTGCTTGTGTCTTTTTGTGTTTGTGTGTTTGTGTGTTTGTGTGATTGTGTGCTTGTGTGCTTGTGTGTTTGTGTAGTTGTGTGTGTTTTTGTTGTTTGTGTGATTGTGTGTGTGTGTTTTTTGTGTGTGTTTCTTGTGTGCTTGTGTGCTTGTGTGATTTTGTGTTTGTGGGTTTGTGTGTTTGTGTGTTTGTGTGTTTGTGTAGTTGTGTGTATTTGTGTGTTTGTGTGTTTGTGTGTTTGTGTGTTTGTGTTTTGTTGTTCTTTTTTGTGTGTTTGTGTGTTTGTGTGCTTGTGTGCTTGTGTGATTGTGTGTTTGCGCGTTTGTGTGCTTGTGTGTATTTGTGTGTTTGTGTGTTTGTGTGTTTGTGTGCTTGTGTATATTTGTGTGTTTGTGGGCTTGTGTGATTGTGTGTTTGTGTGCGCTTGTGTGATTGTGTGTTTGTGCGTTTGTGTGTTTGTGTGCTTGTGTGCTTGTGTGCTTGTGTGTTTGTGTGTTTGTGTGTTTGTGTGTTTGTGTGCTTGTGTGATTGTGTGTTTGTGTGCTTGTGTGCGTGTGTGTCTTTTTGTGTTTGTGTGTTTGTGTGTTTGTGTTGTTTTGTGTGTTTGTGTGTTTGTGTGTTTGCGTGTTTGTGTGTTTGTGTATTGTGTATTTGTGTGTTTGTGTGTGTGTGTTTGTGTGTTTGTGCGCTTGTGTGCTTGTGTGTTTGTGTGTTTGTGTGTTTGTGTGCTTGTGTGCTTGTGTGATTGTGTGTTTGGGTGATTGTGTGATTGTGTGCTTGTGTTTGTGTGATTGTGTGTCTTTTTGTGTTTGTGTTTTTGTGTGTTTGTGTGTTTGTGTGTTTGTGTGTTTGTGTGTTTGTGTGTTTGTGTGTTTGTGTGATTGTGTGCTTGTGTGCTTGTGTGATTGTGTGTTTCTGTGCTTGTGTGTTTGTGTGCTTGTGTGTTTGTGTGCTTGTGTGTTTGTGTGTTTGTGTGTTTGTGTGTTTGTGTTGTTTTGTGTGTTTGTGTGTTTGTGTGTTTTTGTGTTTGTGTGTTTGTGTATTTGTGTATTTGTGTGCTTGTGTGTGTGTGTTTGTGTGTTTGTGTGCTTGTGTGCTTGTGTGCTTGTGTGTTTGTGTGAGTGTGTGTTTGTGTGCTTGTGTGTTTGTGTGCATGTGTGTTTGTGTGTTCGTGTGTTTGTGTGAGTGTGTGTTTGTGTGCTTGTGTGTTTGTGTGCATGTGTGTTTGTGTGTTTGTGTGTTTGTGTGTTTGTGTGTTTGTGTGTTTGTGTGTTTGTGTGTTTGTGTGTTTGTGTGTTTGTGTGTGTTTTGTGTTTGTGCTGTTTTTGTGTGTTTGTGTGTTTGTGTGTTTGTGTGCTTGTGTTTTTGTGCGCTTGTGTGTTTGTGCGCTGGTGTGCTTGTGTGCTTGTGTGTCTGTGTGTTTGTGTGTTTGTGTGCCTGTGTGTTTGTGTGTGTGTTTGTGTGTTTGTGTGCTTGTGTGATTGTGTGTTTGTGTGCTTCTGTGCTTGTGTGATTGTGTGTTTGTGTGCTTGTGTGCTTGTGTGATTGTGTGTTTGCGCGCTTGTGCGCTTGTGTGTCTTTTTGTGTTTGTGTGTTTGTGTTTGTGTCGTTTTGTGTGTTTGTGTGTTTGTGTATTTGTGTGTTTGTGTGTTTGTGTAGTTGTGTGATTGTGTGTTTGTGTGTGTGTGTGTGTTTGTGTGTTTGTGTGCTTGTGTGTTTGTGTGTTTGTGTGTTTGTGTGTTTGTGTGTTTGTGTGTTTGTGTGATTGTGTGCTTGTGTGCTTGTGTGATTGTGTGTTTCTGTGCTTGTGTGTTTGTGTGCTTGTGTGTTTGTGTGCTTGTGTGTTTGTGTTTGTGTGTTTGTGTGTTTGTGTTGTTTTGTGTGTTTGTGTGTTTGTGTGTTTTTGTGTTTGTGTGTTTGTGTATTTGTGTATTTGTGTGATTGTGTGTTTCTGTGCTTGTGTGTTTGTGTGCTTGTGTGTTTGTGTGATTGTGTGTTTGTGTGCTTGTGTGTTTGTGTGCTTGTGTGTTTGTGTGTTTGTGTGTTTGTGTGTTTGTGTGTTTTGGTGTTTGTGTTGTTTGGTGTTTTTTGGTGTTTATGCGCTTGTCTGTTTGTGTGTTTGTCTGTTTGTGTGTGCGTTTGTTTGTGCGCCGCCTGACAAGGCGGATCAGGGAACGTGCATGTACAGTTAGCAACATGGTCGGCTTTGTCTTGTTGAATTCAACCTGATGTTCCCGCAATCGAGGGATCTTTATGGGCGCAAGGGTACCTCCGAATTGAGTATCGCAACGTGTTTCTTGAATTTCGTTACCTGGATGGACTGATGCAACCACTGGCAATGTTCCTGTCCACCAGCTTTTGTCCCATTCAGCCAATTGTGTCCTCCGGCGGTTTTGAGCTTAGCCCGCATGTCCAAACTGTACTTTGAGTATGTCCCATGCCATCCCTATACTACACTAGACAATAAATATTGAGGTATGAACCATCGAGGCACGCGCAGCTGATTTATCATCTATCCTCTCACATCTTCTTCTGAATACTTGGCGCTGAATGAAGTGTTCTGGCACTGCAACACACAAGCAGTCAAGCAGTGTCCACAGCTCAAGTTGCCTCTAGATGCAAACTTGACCTCTCAAAGCATAAACAGGTACATGTTTCCGACAGTCTTCCAAACAACACGTCAAACCTCTTCTTTGTGCCCTTGTGGGCACTCGACGTTTTAAGGGCTATCACATTACACCTTGAGCATTCCTTGCGCGCACCAGCGTGGCAGACTCAGGCTATGTTCCGCCCGCCTCCTTTTGCAGCGCGCTATCAAGATGATGTACCTCACCTCTCAAAGCGCGCAACGCCGTGACTTGACCAACGACAAGGATGTTAGAGGCATGCCAGAGACACGCTTTTGCCCTTGGTGCGTCTGCTTTTGAGGGACCCCGTCTTTTCCCGGACTGTTTAAAGAGAAGCCAAACATAAAGCACCCCTTCCTGAACAGACCGAAGTGGCAAATATGCCCAAAACAAGATGCGATCACCAAGACCCCGAAGGTTCCACAGATTTTCCCCAGAGCATGGGCGTTGCGGCAGGGGTTCCCAAATCCAATTGCGTTTCAAGGAGCTGTAGCACATTCCCAAAACCCGAGCCTGCCTGCAAGGCCTCCTCTGGAAGACCTCTGGCAGGCCACGTAGGCCTGGCAAGGCAACACGAATCCGGGATGGACCGGCTCTGGTTTCGGTCTAACCCTGCGCCCGGCTTTGCTAGAAGTTGGGTTAAGGCCAATTTTGTCTTCAGTGAGGATATAGTGAGATTGCCGGGCTCCTCTCCTGCAATTCAATGTTCAAAGACGGCTGGTTCTTTGCTGGTTTGGAGGCTTGCTTTGTGGCCTAGCCTGCAACCCGCTTGCGCAATAGCTTTGCAATCGTTCACTCTTGGCGCAAGATGGTGCGAGCCAAATCTCCTCATCGCCTGCAAACATCTAGAGCCAACTGATGGTTGCCATTTAGAAAAGGGACCATTCCTGCCCTCAGGGGATCACGAATGTGTGCATGTGTGTGTGTGTGCGTGTGTGTGTGTGTGTTGTAAAGTTGGTGTAGATATTGTCCTGTAGGATGTCTGTGTACGTTTGTTTTGTGTCATGCCATGAGAGTAGTTTTTGCTCGTCTCCGTGTGTTTGTGTGTGTGTGTGCGGGTTCGGGCGTGCCCGCTTGCTTGTAAGCCTGAACGGGGCGGGCTTGAGAGCGGGCTTGCAAGCCTGCATGCGTGTTTGTGCATGCGCATGTGTGTGTGTGTGTGCACGTGTCTCTCTGCGCCTGTGTGTGATTATGCGTGCGTGCACGCGTGCTGGTGCGTGTGCGTGCACGTGCTCGCGTGCGCGCGTGCGCGTGCCTCTGCATGCGCTTGTTGGAGCGCATGCCTGCGCGCGCCTGTGCGCAAGCTGTGTGTGTGTGTGTGCGCTGCATGCCTCTGTGGCGTGTGTGTCTGCGTGCGCTTTTGCGTGTGTGCGTCTCTGTGCGCGCGTGTGCTTGTTTGCGCTCGCTTGCGCTTGCGTGCGTGTGTGCGTCTCTGTGCGCGCGTGTGCTTGTTTGCGCTCGCTTGCGCTTGCGTGCGTGTGTGTCTATGTGCGTGCGTGCTTGCGCGCGTGTGTGTGTGTGTGTGTGTGTGGGTGGGTGGGTGTGTGTGTGGGTGTGCGCGTGCGCGTGCGTGCGTGCGTGCGTGCGTGCGTGCGTGCGTGCGTGCTTGCGCGTGTGGGGGTGTGCGTGTGCGTGTGCGTGTGCGTGTGCGTGGGCGTGCGCGTGCGCGTGCGCGTGCGCGTGCGCGTGCGCGTGCGCGTGCGCGTGCGTGTGCGTGTGCGTGTGCGTGGGCGTGGGCGTGGGCGTGTGCGTGTGCGTGTGCGTGTGCGTGTGCGTGCGCGTGTGCGTGTGCGTGTGCGTGTGCGTGCGCAGGTGCGTGTGCGTGTGCGTGTGCGTGTGCGTGTGCGTGTGCGTGTGCGTGTGCGTGTGCTGCGAGATTGGTGGCGCCTTGCTGGCCTGGAGAACGTCACTAGGTCGGACCAAGGAAGGCCGCCCCGTATCCCAAAAGAAACAGAACATCAACCAGGATAATGGCCATGGGTCAAAAAAACGTACCCAAAATGGGTTGCCCTGGTAAATGGAACCAAAGAGTAAAACCTGCGGTCCCCTGGTGGTTTTATTTTGACCCGTACCCAAATGGGCAGAGGCAGGGAACTGAGTGGGTAACAAATGGTAACCCGCTTCGAGGATACTTATAACAGGAAATGGATGAGCTCAGCGCTGACCAAGTACCTATCTGCGCGAATGGGAAAAATCAGGAATTCTGCGTGTGCGTGTGCGTGTGCGTGTGGGTGTGGGTGTGGGTGTGGGTGTGGGTGTGTGTGTGTGTGTGTAGGTGTGGGAGTGTGGGTGTGCGGCGCGCTTGCGGGTAGTTGTGCGCTTGTGTGTGTCCGTGTGTTTGTGCGCGCCTGCGTGTGTGTTTGCGTAATTGTGTGTGTGTGTGTTTGTGTGTGTTTGTGTGTGTGTGTGTGTGTTTTGTGCGTGCGCGTGAGCGCGTGCATGCTCGTGTGTGCACGCGCGTGTTTTCATGTCTGTGTGTGTGTGTGTCTGTGTGTCTGGGTCCCGTTGTGTCTCTGCGTCTGTGTGTCTGTGCGCCTTTACTATGATTGAATATGTTGAAGTACACCAAACGTTGTTTGTGCTGCAAATTTCACATTGTGCGTTACAGAATCATTAGCGTCGTTTAGTTTATTAGTATGTTAATGGTTGATTTCATACTTCTGTATAATCACTTAGTTTCATTTGAAAGTAGATAAACAAAAAAAACTTCTGCAACACACGACTAGTCAAAGTGAATCGAACTCTCAAACTGTCAAATGTGTCTTACAAGTTTTGCCAGATCTCTCTCTCTCTCTCTCTCTCTCCGTCTCTCTGTTTCTGTGTCTCTCTGTCTGGGTGTCTCTGCGCCTCTGCGCCTCTGTGTCTCTGTGTCTCTGTGTCTCTGTGTCTCTGTGTCTCTGCGTTTCCTTGTCTCCGACCGTCTCCGACTGTCTCTGTGTCTCTGTGTGTCTCTGAGTGTCTCTGTGTGTCCTGTGTGTCTCTGTGTGTGTGTGTCTGTGTGTCTCTGTGTGTCTCTGCGGGACTCTCTGTGTGTCTGCGTCTCTGCGTCTCTGCGTCTCTGCGTGTCTGACTCTCTGCGTGTCTGCGTGTCTGCGTGTCTGCATGTCTGCGTGCCTGTGGGCCTGTGCGCCTGTGCGCCTGTGTGCCCGTGCGCCCGTGCTCCGGTGTGGGTGTGCGTGCGTGCGGTGCCGCGTGTGCGTGCCTGCCTGCGTGCGTGCGTGCGCGCGTGGGGGTGCTCGCGCGCCTGCGTGCGTGCCGGCAGGTGCGTGCTGGCAGGTGCGTGCCGGCAGGCACGCGCGGTCTCTTCTCTTTTTTTTTTTCTCTCTCTCTCTCTCTCTATCTCTCTCTATCTCTCTCTCTCTCTCTCTGTCTGTGTCTCGCTGGCTTGTTTGCGTGCGCGTGATTCAAGACAGCATTTGGCGCTGAGCATCATGTATTGCTTTGCATGGGCACCTAGCAAACAATCCTTGTCATACCTTATTTCTTTTTGGCACGACAAAGTACAGAGCAGTGGCAAAGCAATGATTTGCGGATGTTCTGAACTCAGCATGGTTTGTTTCGCATCAGCTCACAGTGCTATATAACGTACTCTTCACCTGGACCCCCAAATTAACCTCAAAATGAATTGCACCATACTTTTCATGTGACCGTGTACTGAGTAACCACCGTACTGAGTGCGCCAGCCGACATCCGGTGAAGTGCCGCTCCGGAGTCCCAGAAGCGAACTGTTGAACGCCAGTTCGAGCAACAACGCCACGCGAAGTGTTGCTCCCAAGATGAGATATGAACATCCTGTCTGTCCACCTTGAGTGCAGGATGCGGTCGCAGCACATTCTGCATGTTTGTTGTTTTTGAACATGTACATGTTCAGCAAGTCTGAATTCGCTGGGCCTCAGCAACCAGGCACAACGCTCCCTGCAAAAAAACTCACTGAGTATCCGAGCACTATCACACCAAAGTTATTGACATAACACACCTACTCCATTCAACATGAGAAGACGCTCACTCCAGTGCTAGTCTGTGGTCCCGAGCCTTATCGCTTGCAAGAACCTAATACACACAATTCCTAACATGGGGTGCCCCATTGTTGGACATGACCGGTGTGAAGGTGTGCAAACGCTAGATTCGAAGATCACAGGGGTAAGTTTGGTGTTCAGCTTGCTGGTTCTCAGCAGGGAATGAGAAATGCAATGACCCCTATAATCCATCCCTTATGGTTTCCTCTAGGAAATCCCTATGTCCATTCTCAACCCTCAGAGTCATTCCTTACCTATTGTGCCAGCAAGTCAGCCTATGATTGAAGGCTAGGTTTCAAGGCTTCGGCTTGGCTTCTCTAGCCGTGCTCGTTCAATGCATGACAAGGCGCAAGTCCTTTGGCTACAAAGCACTCGCCATCCAGGAGCAGTTGGCCCCTAAACTACACCTCAGACCTCCAAACAAATCATGTCCAGCAAAAACAATCCGACTTCAAATTTTCTTGCGAGAGCCCCTCGGTCGCACCACACATCTCTTACCAACTCCTGGTGAAAGCTGTCGAAGCAAACACCAGGCCTTGGCTGCTTGGAAGCACAGCACAAACTCCGCCAGCTTGGGAAGGTTCTTCGCAAGATCTGCTGGAGCACCTCCGGAGCTCGTGCCTCCAGATCCCTGGTAGAAAAAATGCTCAGCTGCCCGTTGGCTAAACGAGATTTCTCGGCCAAAAACAAAATGGCAGCTGACCGGAGGCGCCTAAAAACAACAAAGTCCTCTTCAAGTTACCTGTTGGTGGGTTCTGTGCTGGAAAGCAATTATATATTTGTAAAAAGATAAGAATTAACAAAAAAAAATGGTGTCAGCACCAACCCTCTTTTTCTAGACCCCGCTCTGGCGCTCGATCTGATCGACTTCGATCCCCAAAAGCAGCCCTTCGAGTCTTGAGCTTCCGGCACGCGATCCAACCAGGTCCCCATATGCTTCTATCATGTCAATTCTTCTTTGGCAAACCAAAAACCTAAAACCCAAATGCGGCAACATGTCTTCTCGCGAATGTTTGCTCCGGACCTCATTTCCGGACCCTGTTTTTTTTTATTATTATTTTTTTTTGGTTCTTCTCCTGACCCCAAGAACCAAAATGCGGCAACATGTCTTCTTTCCATCTTCCGGCCCTCGGCTCCAGGGCCTCGGTTCTTCTCCTTCGCTCAAAAAAACTGGTCGCGCGCCCCGGCCATGCGCCTCGGCGGGTCGCCTCTGTGCTGGCACCGGCATTGAGCAGCACCGCAGCGACGTCCAGGAGTTCCGCTCCCTGCAACTGGTTGGGGGCTGTCCCTTTTTCTTGCTGATCAGCAGGGAATGAGACATGGAATGAACAATGGGGGGATTCCCTTAAAGGAAATTTATAGGGGATGGTTGATAGGGGTCATTCCCTCTTTCTCTGGGGGTCCGTCCCTTTTCCTTGAGTTGGTACCCCTGTTTGGGGATGGTTTTGAGGGGAAACCAAGCGGAACCAACCGGTTTTGGGGGGGTAGGCCTAACAAAAGCCGAGCCACATGCAACCACTCCCAACGAGATGGAATCGGGATCTGTCAGGGTCCCTGGTTTCAGCTTGGCAAATGAAAACAATAGACCAAGCCTTGTTGTACTGACTAGTGGCGGCAAAACTAGTTGGTCAATATAACTTCCCTGCTTGTTGCTATGCTTGCGACCAGAGTCATTCAACCTGTCGAGTTGCCATGTTGCTGGAGACCCAGAAAAGCTACATCCCTCAAAAGCAAGATGCAGGAGTGGGCTGCAGGGACATCCAAGTTTCCTGAATGCAGGGGAGACGGGTTCTGCAGAGGCCCCGATTCGATTTGCAGAGGAACAAAGGGATAGCAATGATTGCACTCGAAGCGAAAACCACTTCCCACAACATTCAAAGGCCGCATTTGAACATACTTTGCCAGTCCAAGAGACTAGCGGGAGACTCATGCTGACATACGCTGCACGAAGAGAACGGCAGGACGGTTTAAATGTTTTAGCCTGCGTCTGTCTCACATCAGCCTCCGTGTTGGATGACCGCCCCGAACAGCTGCAATTGGTATGAGTAGTGCAAGTGACACAAGAGGCCAAATGATTGCACACAGTGCTATCCTATCATCATGTCGTGATTTGGTGTTAAAGTAGTTTCCACAACCCAATCCTAATTCTTTAGCCCCTTGTAATAGGGAGCGCGTAACAGCCTATACGTTACCCTTGTTTGTCAGATTCAGGCTTGAACATCCGGGGGACTCACCCCATTGGCGTCCTGTATGTTTGACCCGACAAAACATGTATGGTATAAGTTAAAGTAAAAAACCCTACCAAACCATGTTCCCCAAAATGGTCCACATCAACCAATGTTTGAGGCTATCGATGTCTCTTTGCTGAGCCCACAGCATCTTGCTCACCTTGCTTGCTGCCAAAGTCCTGCAGCCGTTCGCATCTGAGCCCAAACGCAAGTAAATTCAGCTGGTCAGTGAAGAAGCTGCCATCATCCAAAAAAGATCCAGCCAAGTAAAGTCAGGTAAGGAGCCAAGTAAGTCGAGCCAAGAAGTCGAGCCAAGAAGGTTTTCAAGTCGAGCCAGGTAAAGTGTGTTTGGACTCGCAATGCATGTGCGTGCATGACTCTGCCACCAGTTGATTGTCAGCATAGAACCCTGCTAAGTACAGCAATGCATCGCGCTTTCATGGCAAAAGGCTGCCACTATCCCCATTGCACACGTCCTAGCATCAGCAGATGCAGACAAGTCCAACTCAAACGAATCCACGAAAGAAAACTCAGTGATTGCCCAGTCACACACGAGTGCCAAACAGCCTCTTAGCTCCAAAGCACGATGTGGACACATACTTCGAAAACCCTAGCAACATAGCAAGATCGGGCTCCACTATGACTACTGGATGGGACAATGCAATTTATCCACCTTTGGACAAGTACTTCAATCAGCTTGCAGTAACTCGCCCGAGCCTTTGACAAAAGTACTCTCTTGGGGCTGCCTGCAGCCCCGAATCCAAGGGAGAATGCAATCCATGACGCCAAAAGTTCACTGCAAAGAGCCAACGACCTGTTGCGCCAAGATCTAGCCAACAGCTCAACACATATATCATATATCATATATTGAATTCCCCAAAGTACTCCAATACCAATGCAGCACACCCGGGCCTCGAACGAAGCACCCTCGGATCAACGCGGCGCTTGTACCCAACATCCATGCAATGCACTCGCGCTTGCAACTCACGCTTGAAGGCCTGCGCGAACCAATCCAATGAAATCTTGAGCTTGCTAATGACAGATGACTCCCCACGCAATCACCATCAAGCAGTTCTCCAAAAAATTGGGGAACCAGTTCAACTCCAATGTTTGCATGTGCAGTGCTCAAGAGCACGAGGCACTACAATGACGAGAGGAGGAACCGTAGGGACTCCATGCTCTTGAGAAAGCAGCTGCATCGATTGCATCCCACTGATATCTGCCAGGCAGCTGTCCCCAATGCGAAGCAGTCTTCAAAGTTGCTCTCAACCTGTGACTTTCTGCAAGCTTCCAGCGCAAAAATGCGTGTCAGCGGTGTCAAACAAAAAGCAAGCAGGCTGTGACAAGCCCAAGTCATCACACAAGCAAACACATGCAGAAACAAAACAGAAACACAAACACGGACGCGAGCGCAACCAACAAACACAAAAACACAAACAAACACGCAACACACACAAATACACAGCCACACAAACCACACACGCACACGCACACGAACCAAACACACAAAGAAGCAAACACATTGACAAACACACCAAAAAACGGGCCAACAAACTCAAACGGACAAGCAAAAAGATACGCCAGCGAACACACGAACACAAACCCTCACAAACACGCAATGGGATAACGGGATAACCGAAACATTCAAACACACAAACACGACATATGCAAAGACACAAACACACAGGCGCGCGCGCGCACGCACGCACGCACGCCGCACACACACGCACACACACACACACACACTTACACACACGCACACGCACACGCACACGCACACGCACACGCACACGCACACGCACACGCACACGCACACGCACACGCACACGCACACGCACACGCACGCGCACGCGCACATGCACACCCACACACTTACACTTACACTTACACTTACACTTACAGTTACACTTACACTTACACTTACACTTACACACACAAAAACACACACACACACACACACACACACACACACACACACACACGCACACAGGCGCGCACGCACGCACCCACGCATGCACCCATGCACGCACGCACGCACGCACGCACGCACGCACGCACGCACGCACGCACCCACCCACCCACCCACCCACCCACCCACTTACACACACACACCCACACACGCGCACACACGCACACACGAACACGAACACACACACACACACACACACACACAGACACACACATAGAGACACACAGACACACACAGACACACACAGACACACCCAGACACACACACACACACACACACACACACACCCACACACAGACACAGACACAGACACAGACACAGACACAGACACAGACACAGACACAAACACACAAACACACAAACACACACACACACACACACAAGCACACGCAAACATGTAAACACACAAACAGCTAGCATGCTAAAGCTCAAAGATCTCCATCTCCCCACGCGCAGTCTGAGGAGCGTACCAAGCAGGAAGGCCATGCGCACAGGAAGTCAAACCTTAGCGACAGCGAATCGCGGTTGTACGCCCTTGCGCTGAATGTCAACCGACGCATCCAATCGTGGACAAAAAACACGCAGTGCACGCTCTTTCCCGCGAGTTGACGGTCTTTCCCTGCAGCAAAAGATGCAGTCTGTGACAGGCTGTGATGTCATCTTGGATTCACATCTGCTATGCAAAGGAGAACATCTTGGAGCTCAGCATGACACCATGGAAGGAGAACATGGGGTTTCATGCGTGTCAGCGGCATCCATTCATGTGCTTCGGTAAGCATCCCCATGGAAATTTGTTGGTTCTATCCTAAACAGTCAACAAGATTCAAAGCAACCCCAAGGCAACAAGTTGCTGCTAACCCAAAACAGTCAAGCAGATGCATCTGGGCTCAAAAACGCGTAATCTTTTCGGGCCGTTTCTGTGGGGCCCGCCTTAAGGGCTCCAAGCAGGCACATCTTTGACCCAACCCATCGCCAAGGCACGGCAGCGGAAGGGGTGCTGCCTGGCCTGCGCACAGCAGTGACCTGAGTCGACTGTCGGTTTTGCCGAGAAAGCTTCGGCCTTCAGACCAAGACCGGCCACGGCGTCCGATGGTATGGGCAAAATCCAAAACGTTGCGGGTCATGCAGGTTTCCGGCGGTGCTCTTTCGTTTCCAAGCTGCAATTTCCGGTACCTTTTTCTTTGAGCAGCCCAATCTCCGAATCCCAGAGATCGAAATCTTCAACGTCGGTCGGTCCCTCTGTTCTGCCGCGTCGAAGCTGGAACAAAAAGTCTAGGCCGCCGCACAGCGCCGTATGGCCAGTTCTGTCTCTGTCATCAACTTGGGCACCGTGGCGAAGCAGCAATCGTAGAACCTGCACCGCGGATGCGAAAGCCGGGGAACGAGCGGATACTCAAAGCTGTCAAAGCAAACAACCACCGTGCTGCATACGTCCAACTTTCACACTACGGGGAACCTTTGAATTGGATGCCGAAACACGTGATTCAGAACTCCCTCCATGAAGCATTGATGTGGATGCCGCCTTCTTTTCCCACCAAATTGATTCAGCATTGCTCCTAATAGCAGCCAAGAAAGGCTGTGCCCCCTGTGAAAAACTGTGTACTCCAACATCTGATTCCTTTCAGGCTTGCACTATTGGAAATCAACCCAAAGTGCCCGTATGTTGAGGAAAAAAACGCGGCTTCTCTTCTTGCTGACTTCTTTTGGCCTGCCCAAATTTGGGGTAATTGGCAAACAAGCAGTAATTGTCACTCCCGTGAAGGAGTAGAACAATTGCTTGCTTCACTCTCCGGGCATCTCTGATGGCCAGTCAACATGTCTTACATGGATGGACATCATTCTTCATGGAAATGAACACTTGCAGCGGGCAGGGGGGTCATGAACTCCCAAAGTGAAAAGCCATATGAAAAGGGTAATGACAGGAGACTGGACCACTCACGTGGGTGTGTCCTTTTGTGGAGGGTACCTTTGTTGTCGTCTCTTGATGTAGGAAACCAAAAGGAAAGGCGTACGTAGGTATTCCGGGGGGGCTCTAAGGCAAAGATGCGCAAGGAGCAAACTCCGTGTCACAAGCCTTCAGTTGATGCATGGTTTCCCTCAAAAGCGCTACACACGGCAGGGCTGTGGGAAATGACCGCTTCTGTGATACAACAAAAAAGGGCCCAAAGACGAACCCACCCCATATTGAGAGGGGATTCCTTTGTATCACAGAAGTGGGAATAAACCTTGTAGCACACACAACTTGTTGATGAACTGAAGCGTCTCGCCTCACAGTTCTGGGTCAACTGGCAAATTGGCTGATCAGCCTCGCGGCCGGCTCAAAGGGCCGATCTTAGATCAAGAAAATGAGAACCCAAGGAGAAATGATCAATACCAAAAGATCCCAAATGGAACTTGGACAATGCCAACACATCAAGACAAACGAGGGAATATGCATCAACCTTAAGGAGAAAACGACTATTCAAACAACTTCGAATTCAAGTCAGTCTGTAGTAAGACAGCTAAACAATTCGAACTGGCCATGTTTTAAAGAACTCCAAGCAAACGCCCTTCGATTTTCCGGTAAGGCACTCTCAGGGTTGATGTAAGGTGGTAGGTTTTGGGCGCGTCGGTTGGCTTAGGTTAGTGACCGTCATCCAGGACGTCCTCAATGCATGAGTTGCGACCTTCACGAAGATCTTTGGAGGGTGCCCTTGTAGTGAAACAGGATAGGAGCATGAAAGCAGGCGGAGCTGAGTGCATCTATGTTTAGGGGGGTTGGGGTGCGTTGAAAGTTGGTTTGGGGCGGCCTTAGGAGTGTGCTCAGGGTTGTTCAGGGTTTGGGGTGGGTGTAGCGGTTTAGGGGCGTATGGTGGGCTTCAGGGTGTGGGGTGTCTTTGCGGTTGCTTTAGGGTGGGTTTGGGGCAGGATTGGCTTGGGGTGCGTTTAGGATGAGGCCTGGGTGGGTTGAAGGGTTTTTTGACGTGGGCTGGGCCAGGATTCGGGTGGGCTTAGGGTGGTTTGGTGTTTAAGGTGTACGGGGGACTTAAGGGGCTGCCTGCCTGCCTGTCCTCTCCTGTCCTGTCCTGTCCTGTTCTTCCTTCCTTGCTTGCTTCCTTCGTTCCTTGCTTTCTTCCTTCCTTCGTTCCGTCCTTCCTTCCTTCCTTCCTTCCTTCCTTCCTTCCTTCCTTCCTTCCTTCTTCCTTCCTTCCTTCCTTCCTTCCTTCCTTCCTTCCTTCCTTCCTTCCTTCCATCCTTCCTTCCTTCCTTCCTTCCTTCCTTCCTTCCTTCCTTCCTTCCTTCCTTCCTTCCTTCCTTCCTTCCTTCCTTCCTTCCTTCCTTCCCTTCCTTTCCTTCCTTCCTTCCTTCCTTCCTTCCTTCCTTCCTTCCTTCCTTCCTTCCTTCCTTCCTTCCTTCCTTCCTTCCTTCCTTCCTTCCTTCCTTCCTTCCTTCCTTCCCTTCCTTCCTTCCTTCCTTCCTTCCTTCCTTCCCTTCCTTCCTTCCTTCCTTCCTTCCCTTCCTTCCTAGCTTTCTTTCCTCCTTCTTTCTTCCTTCCTTCCTTCCTTCCTTCCTTCCTTCCTTCCTTGCTTCCTTCCTTCCTTCCTTCCTTCCTTCCTTCCTTCCTTCCTTCCTTCCTTCCTTCCTTCCTTCCGTCCTTCCTTCCTTCCTTCCTTCCTTCCTTCCTTCCTTCCTTCCTTCCTTCCTTCCTTCCTTCCTTCCTTCCTTCCTTCCTTCCTTCCTTCCTTCCTTCCTTCCTTCCTTCCTTCCTTCCTTCCTTCCTTCCGTCCTTTCCTTCCTTCCTTCCTTCCTTCCTTCCTTCCTTCCTTCCTTCCTTCCTTCCTTCCTTCCTTCCTTCCTTCCTTCCTTCCTTCCTTCCTTCCTTCCTTCCTTCCTTCCTTCCTTCCTTCCTTCCTTCCTTCCTTCCTTCCTTCCGTTCCTCCTTCCTGGCTTCCTTCCATGCTTCCTTCCTTCCTTCCTTCCTTCCTTCCTTCCTTGCTTCCTTCCTTCCTTCCTTCCTTCCTTGCTTGCTTGCTTGCTTGCCTTCCTTCCTTCCTTCCTTCCTTGCTTCCTTCCTTCCTTCCTTCCTTCCTTGCTTGCTTGCTTGCTTACTTGCTTGCTTGCTTGTTTGCTTGTTTGCTTCCTTGCTTGCTTGCTTGCTTGCGTGCTTGCTTGCTTGCGCGCTTGCTTGCTTGCTTGCGTGCCTGCCTTTCTGCCTGCCGCTTGCTCGCTGGCTTGGCTGCCGAAGGGACAGGAAAAAGATCCCCAATCCAGCGGAGAAAAGACCTTAAATGATATGGCACCCTCCAAGAAACCTGGAAGCACCTGCCAAGCCCTCACGACAAACGCTGCCAGTCAACTGCTGCAGGGTTTAGGCCGCCTATGTGCTCAAACCGAGATGTGGGCGGTGTAAGAAACAATCGACGCGGGCGGGTAGAAATATTGTCGGCTTCACTCTTGAAAGCCAATAGCAACCAGAAACACCCGGAAGCCAAACACCATCTCCTTCAAGACCACGCTTGTTTTCAAACAACAACCCAGTCAGTTTGAGTATGGCCGTTTGATCTTAGCGCAACATGTCCACACCATTCCTGAATGCTGATGAGCCAACACATGGAGAACAGTCAAGATGCCCCCATCTTTGCGCCTTGGGTTTGCTGTTGGCCCACAATAAAAAAAAAAAAAAAAGCTGCTGGTAATAGCAACCTCCATAGCAAGCTTGCCAAATCCCTTTGCATGTCTGTCCCAGCTTCTGGGGACAGCCCAAATCCCCTGCTTCTCCTGCCGGGATAAAACCTGATAGGATGGCCGGGAAGGCAAGAGTCAGCACCTTCGCTACTCAACAAACGCCCTCCAGCCGCGTCTCCGGCCAAGTGCCAGGCTGTCTCCAGAATGGCGGCTGGATCTAGCTCAAGAACTGCTTGAACCTGGGCAAGCCATTTTTGAATGTTATGGGAGGGTGATCAGAAGGCAACCCAATGGCTTCGTGGCACATCATGCTTACCAGTTGCTGCATTCAAGGGGAGATATGCTCAAATCATAGCACCTTTCTTTGTTGTGCAGTCCAAACATCTGGGGATTGGCCATGTCAGCATGCAGCCCGACTGGGCTTAGTCCATGTCCCTTTTTGCGAGCAATTACCAAAAAAAGTACAAAGATTACAATATATATATATATATGCTATCCCCCCAAAAAAACAACTAGGTTTCATCACTTTTCAAGTGGATTTGTGCCAGCAAGGGTTGCCACACAAGGTTCATTCTGATAGCGGGCCAGGTTGGTTTCGTCACTCTTCAAATGGATTTGTGCCAGAGTGGATTGAGGAAGTGTCATTTTACTTGATTGAACAGCCCCGGCTGAACAGAAGTGAAGACAGACAGTGCCCTGATAGATGACTTACAACATGGAGGCACCACAGGTCTTTGTTTTCTGCCATCTGGTTTAATCACTCTTCAAATGGATTTGTGCCAGAGTGGATTGAGGAAGTGTCATTTTTGGTTGATTGAACAGATGAGGCTGAACAGAAGTGAAGACAGACAGTGCCCTGATAGATGACGAAGAGATGAGGAATGAAGCGGTGGTGAGTGACATGTCCTTTCACCCAACCACCATTCTATGCTGTAGGTGAAAGACCATGAGATTACAGTAAAGGAAAAGAGATGGAAAGAGATGAATGATGGTGAGATTTCTTTGTCACCATCTGGTCATTACATTTGGTGTCTCTCTAAGACTCATCCAAATGTAACCCAAATAATCTTAAGATGTCTTTATTAATAGCCGCTGTGTCTTTTCTATCTCTTGGACACAGTTATTTTCACATTGTATTATTTCCCTTTCATTTGTATTCCTGACATTCTATAAGATACGAAAGGTAAATAATAATAGAAAAGAAAGGGAGATGATGATGGGTGACGAAGGAACAGGAAAGTGAGTGAGGAGACAGTGAGATGACACGGGAATGAAATGGTGGGTGAAAAGATTCTAATCCTTTCGGTAGTTCCTAGAGACACAAATATAAAATATCAATGTATACAAATAACCTGATAAAGAGATAGAAATATAAAATATGAAGATTAAATAGAAAAGCAGTCAATAATTAATAGATCTTAAGATGAGACGGTGAGGGATAAAGAAGTCTCATCATAAAACCATTATATTTCTCTATCTCTTTCTCACATCACATCCCTTTCACCTCTGTATCTAGGATGTGATTAAGAGGTGAGAAAGGGAGAGACCAAATGATTTCCAAGATGAAGGAAGAGGAAATCATTGTGGATGAAGAGGAGAGAAATATAAGATAGTAAAATATGTGTAAATGCTATTAAACTAGAGATTTATTATTTGGCTCCAAGCCTTTCTAATCCTCATCCAGGTTCTAATGCTGGATGAGGTCATATCTCCCTTTATCACATGCCATTCCTGCCTTCTGTGCCTCTCCTAACCATCTGGATCCGGAGATGAAGGGAAACGACAAGGAAGAGAAGCCAAATGATGAATCCAGGCTGTTTCCTTTCTCCTCTCCAGCCTGTCAATCACCGGCCACACGAAGGAATGGGCCGGGTGAGTGGGTTTGTAGGTGACATCTCTTCATTTGTCACCTAATACTAGAATATTGGATTTTATGAATAAAAATCCATTCTAATTCTCTTCATCAAGGATTCTACAGATAAATCCAAGATGAAGGTAAAGAGAAAGCAATTAGGAGACAGATGAATGGGATCTCTTTCACCCATTCATATCTTCTCTTTATTTTACTATCTTATATTTCTCTCCTCTTCATCCACAATGATTTCCAAGATGAAGGAAGAGGAAATCATTTGTGTGTCTTTTCAACAGACTCTTGTCTGCAGATGTACCTGATGCCCTTTTGTTTAGCAGATATTTTCATGTGGTAAACTCAGCACGCTGGGAAATTCTGCATAACATGTTGCAAAAACCTTGCAAAAATGCACGTGTTTCCATTTATGCAGTGAGCACACAACTTCAAACACACGCATCTTAGCAGCACCAAATGCATGTTTTTGTAGACACTAGAGCAAACACCCTGGACACATGATGATTTTCTATGTTGGTAGTAAAAGTGAACAAATACAAAATAACAGAAACCAAGCAAAGTGAAACAGTAAAAATAGTAAACAAGTAAAAAGGTAAAATATATGGACCCATGAAAAGTAAAAGTAAAAAAGTATTACTTAAAAAAAAAAAAAAAAAAAAAAAAAAATGGCAAAAAACAGTACTAATAATTAAAAAAACAAAGTAAAATAGCTGGACTCATGAAAAGTAAAAAAATAAAACCGCCAAAAGTTAAAAAAAAAAAAAAAAAAAAAGACTAGGGGTTGTTTACTTTTATTGGGAAAAAGTTAAACACCCCTAATCGTTTTTACTTGTTCCCCCCCAAAAAAAAAAGTGTTCCCAATAAAAGTAAACTCCCTAGTTTTTTTCTTTTTTCGCAATAAAAGCTTTAAGAAAAAAGGGGGAAAAAACTAGTCTTTTTACTTTTGGCGGTTTTACTTTTTTACTTTTCATGAGTCCAGCTATTTTACTTTGTTTTTTACTTTTTTACTTTTGTTTACTTTTTTACTGTTTTCCTTTTTTTTCTTTTTACTTTCATGGGCTCATATATTTTATCTTTTTACTTGTTTACTATTTTTACTGTTTCACTTTGCTTGGTTTCTGTTATTTTGTATTTGTTCACTTTTACTACCAACATAGAAAATCACCATGTTTCCAGGGTTTTTGCTCTAGCTTCTACAGAAACATGCATTTGGTGCAGGTAAAATGCATGTTTCTGGAGTTGTGTGCTCACTGCATAAATGGAAAAACGTACATGTTTGAAGGGTTTTTACAATTTGTTATGCAGCATTTACCAGTGTGCTGACCTCCCCCCCCCCCCCACAAAACCTAGGTTTTGGGGGGTGGTTACCATATATATATATAAATATCAGTTGCGTTTCTTGGCAAGGAAGCAACACGGTCGCAACCCCAGCGGATCTTTCGGAAAGCCAACCGAGGGTGCTTTTGATCAACCCCCGCATCTGAAACCCTTCGAGGGGCGAGAGGTTCAGCATTGGCACGTAGGACGGTTTGGTGAAAAGAACACGTGTGGCCTAATTTAATTGATCACCAATTATGCTAGATCTGTGTTACGTCGCGGAAGGCAGCCCATGAGCTAATAGAATTGCGATCGCATCAGAAGCAAACATGTGCTCCAAAAAACACGTCTTCTAGCAGGAGGCACCCGCTAGGGGTCATAACAAAATACATGGATGTAAACCACATGAACGTCACAAACCCTTTTCGTAAACTATGCGTACAAAACAGAACAAAGTCAAACCTACGCTGCATGCGTAGATGGGATAACTTGGGCTCAGTCAGGAACCAGGAAAATATATATATATATATATATATACATGGGGAGCTACCCCCCAGCCAAGCCATTTGGACGCGCAATTTGGATGCGCTTTGTGTGGATTGATTTAGTACTTCCCCCTGTTGGTCCTTGCTTAGTAATCCTTTAGTACTCTTTGTATGTACTATTCTACAGGGGTGGATCCACAGATTTGCCACCTCCAAACTCTTTCCAGACTTTTGAGACCCATCCATCATATCTGCTCTGGAATGTCGCGTGAGCCCTGGGCCGCTGGCCTGCTGAACAGAGCCTGATTGGACCGCCGTCTGCAGCGCAGAGGCCACTGCTCGTTTTCGAGCGGACGGCGCCTCGGTCTTGCCGCCTTCAAACGTTTGAAGGGGCGACATGGCTCAGATGTCCAAGTATCACTGGAAGGTCAAAATTCCGCCTTTCAGTTGACTCAAACGGTATTGTTTCATCCAAGGGAAACAATTTGGGGCACACTGGAGGACTACATCCTTGCGCCGTGGAATGACAGCAGCATCGAATTAGCATAGTTCTGCTCTCAAAGTATCTTGCATGTTTGGTGTGCTTCTCACTTCTTCACCCAGCCCATCAGATGTAAGCCAACTCTGGGTGCCCAGCTTCAAGTCTGCCTGAAGCTCACACATGGCACTCACTGACCCGACTTACCCCATACAAATCACTGCCTGCACTTCCTGGCAATATTAAAGCACTTGTGTGGACAAAAATGTATGGCTATGATTTTTCATCAGGGACCCGAACTGGTGGACATCGAACTTTGGGGATTTATGTCCACCAACCACTTTTCAGGGGCTTCCAACTAGTTCGAACCAGAAAAAAATCATCGCCAAATCCGTGCGCCAAAAGCGGCGCCGTGGCATGGCCGAAGTCAACCACTTGATCACAGGCGATAAGCTCCAGGCAAGGGCTGTCGAGCTGGCGCATGCCTCGCAAAGCGGCGCAACGGATGTGCCAAGCAGCTCCAATCACACGCGCAACGTGTGACTTCCATTTGCGTCTTTGCGGCCTGGAAAAAAGGGCACAAATGCCAGTAGTGAAAAAAAACAAAAAACGATTCCCTTGCAAAACAAGAGAGGGAAACTGAGCTGAGACCTCAAGTGCCGCAAATCTGACGGACTAGCAGAGAGCCCAAGAGTCAGAGATAAAAGAAGCGAGCAGAAGAGAGAAAGAGAGAGAGAGAGAGAAAGAGAGAGAGAGAGAGAGCGAGAGAGCGAGAGAGCGAGAGAGAATACAAAGAGCAAAGAGCAGAGAGCGACATGAAAGAAGCAAGCACGTTGCTTTGAATTGTGCCAATGCTGCAGCGTGGCTCCAGCATGTAAATGGTGCTTGTTTGCATGCTGCATTCACTTCCGTGATAGCTGTGGCAAACAACACAACTCGTTGCAAAATACATCTAGCCACTATGCAGGCAAACCTGCCATCATTCCTTTCCCATACTTCAAATAGATTGTGAGGGGCATAACAACTTGTCTGCAGGTAGCACGGTAGCACAAGCTTTCCGCATTTCGTATCAACACATCCAGCGGCGAGCAGGGGTAGCGGAGGTTAACCCTGGCAATATCTGAAACGCTGGACTTCAAGTCCCAGAGTGATGCTAAAAATGTCCTGCCCTCACAAAATAGAGCTGTAAACACAAACAGTCTCTGCATTCTGAATGTCTTTTCCTCAGAATAAACTGCCACATCAGAAGTGCAAAGAGCCCATCACATCTAGGCTGGTTTTGACCCCTGTAACAAGCCACCGTGTTGCTAGTCAGCGGGGCTGGACTTGTTGGCAAGCACACACTCTTCACGCTCTGAATTTCCGTTTTCCCAGCGTCTTCCAAGTCTCAAAAATGAGCACCTGGTCTTGGGCCAAGGTTTATATGCGCTCTTGTGCGGTCTCGGACTTCGCGTCAGCATCCACATCTTTGAAACCCCAGCCGATCGGAAGACCGCCTGACGGGCTGGCGGGAGGCGATGGCCAGAACAAGCCTTGGGAGCGCCGCGGGAAACGCGTCGATGTTGGAAACAAAAAAAATAAACGGGTCCCAGAACACGAACGGGCCAACAAAAATATAAGAACATGAAAAGTACTTTGAGAACTCCTGCTTTCAGCTTCCCAACTAATCGGTGGATACTATCGACAAAAAGCAAAGCCACCATACCTATGCGCACCGGGCCAGGCTTGCTTCTTGCAGTGTGCCGCAACTTCAAGACGTGAAGTTCCATGCGACATGTTGAAATCTCAAAACAGATCACACTGAAAACTGACTTCGTCACTTTGGATCTTGGATCCAACTAAGGACCCACATGCCATGGCAACAAGCCTCTGCCAGAGCTGGACATTCTTTGAGGAAGGGGTCCTGTGGGTCCAGAAATCCTTTTCTTGACAGGAGTTGCGAAGCTACACCGTGCATCCGTGCAATGCATTCGAACGATTTTTTCTAACCTGCGAAAGCAAGCTACGCATGTGTCACATAATATTGTGCACCAGCCAGCAATGGTATTTGGGTGTGTTTGTTTAAGTTTGGTTTTCCTCTTCCGCCAACAAGAGGGTAGCCCCAAGAAACGACGAGCCACGCATTACGGTGAACAGTGTTTTGGACACTCGCCATCTACTTCACCTTGCCTGGTCAGGGAACCAATGCCATCGGCGCAACCTTTAGGTTGGAGAAACGGCCCTGGTAAATGGAACAAAACCCATCTATTTGCAACTAAACCAACCGAAAAAGGACACCTAAGCAAACATGTCTGCTTACCCGCGGCCTGACGATGGGCGAGCTGAATCAATTCAGAGCCCTGTGGTTTAATAGAATCAACTGGACGGTTTCGGGGAAAAAACGGTTTTACGAGAAGCGAGTTGCCGGGACCCACCCTGAAATCTGAGTTCCGAACTCTCCTTTCCAGTGCTCATCTCTCGGCTGGCCTTCATGTGCGACAGAAACAAAAAGTTTTGCGGGCCAAGAGATTCAGCAATAGACATGTGTGATCTTCGCGCAAAACGTGCGCATTGCCGAGTGAACTCTTTACCCTCTCCCAAAACCGCAACCGCACGGAGCTCTTTGCTTATCATATTGAAGCCAAGAGCCAAACTGATGAGCTGCGATGCCAGTTTTTTTCAATGCGATTCAACCTCGGGAGCATGCGGCATCACAACGTCCACCTCTCAAAAGTGGACAACGCACCACTGCGTGAATATGCAACTGCGGAACAGTAGGAAGCCAGGCGGTGGGGTCTCGAAACTAATTGGAACCTTCCCACATGGTTAGTTGTTCTTGTTTCTCTCTTAAAACCTTCCCCAAAAAGCTTTTGCGTCAAAGTCGCACTTCCGTCGCGAGTGAGCTGCCAACTCGCTCCCGGATGTAAGGCCAGGGGTAAAAATTCTTGAGCCAGGTAGCATAGAAGCGTCCTGGGGGCAACTGTCAAGTTCATGCCTTTTTCTGTTTGCAATGCAAACCAAAAGCCGTCATCATTCTCCCACCATATTCTCCTTCAGCCAATCACCCTGCCGGCAATATGATTTCTTTATTTGGTGCATGAATTTTTAGGATATGCGTCACGGTACAGTATGAAATACAACATACAGTCTGCGCAGCATATGTGGCATAATCTGTCGAGCATACCTGACAAAAACCAAACGTTGCACATAACACAGCAAACAACATCTAGCATGCCATTCAGAATGTAACAATCAGAATTTGCCACGGTAAATATGTTGTTTGCACCTTCACCGCGGCAACAACGCTATTCAGAAATACATGTCGAAAAGTGCGAACTTGTTGACTTCTCTTGCTTGATCCGAATTGATTGACTTTTCGTTTTGGTTCGATTGTTCAATTTGTCAACTTTGCGCTCCTGCTCCACAATCCACCTTTGAATACTGCGCAAGCCCATTTTTGCACCTTGCAGCCACTGTCGTTAACGACGGTCTGCTAAACCAGAACAAACAAGCACAACGCAACATAGCAACAGAACTAAAAAGGAGAGGGAAGTCAGCCACTGGGGGAGCAGAACATTTCAGTTAGAATCTTGATCACTGCTTCAAGCCGTAAGGGATCATGCATCAAAAGACAAAAGAGTACGACCGACAAAAGGTGCGCTTTGCTCTTTTCCTTGTGAAGAGCTGCTTGGAAGTCCAGGCTCGGGGGTGCAGAAGGAAAGACAAAGCGTGTCCTTTCCCTGTGCCCGCACCCCCATGCGGAGCCTGCTCAAATGCCCCCCAGGTTAACAATGCGTGCTCAACCTTTCACAGGGTGTGTTACCCTTGGGGTGTGAAATTCAAAAGGGTGACATTGAAATGCAACAAGATGCAACGCGTGCAACTTGTAGGTGATGATGATGAGGCAAGCGTCCTCGATCATCTGACCGAAAAAACGGTCTTACACCTGAGCGAGATCCGAGTTATTAAGGCAATGCAGGGTGCCAGGCGGGCAGCTGTGTTGTGTCCTGAGCAGTGCCAGATGCAATGAGGGCATCATGCCGGGCAAGGCCTGCGAGCCTTGTGCTGGATGCTTCCACCTCAGATATGCAAGGGTGGGTGGGTGAACGCAAAGAAGGGGTAGAACCCTCAAGGCATGACCCTTAAGAAACTTGAAGCAGAAAACGGCAACGCGTCCGAAGATTCAATCAAGATTAAGACATAGGGGAAAAGGAAAAACCCCAAACGTTAGAATCTTGATCACTGCTTCAAGCCGTAAGGGATCATGCATCAAAAGACAAAAGAGTACGACCGACACAAGGTGCGCTCTGCTCTTTTTCTTATGAGGACTGCTTGGAAGTCCAGGCTCGGGGGTTCAGGAGGAAAGACAAAGCGTGTCCTTTCCCTGTGCCTGCACCCCCATGCGGAGCCTGCTCAAATGCCCCCACTTCAGGGTTCCAAGCAAACGGCTAATCTATCGCCCCTTCTTCAGTGCGTTTGCAAAGCACGCCTATGCTCAGTAGTAGTAAGGAACTAAGCCTTATAGGGACCAATTAATTTTCGTTTTTTGGCCAAAAAACCCTCCAAAACAGCCAAATTCTCCATCCGGCTGACGTTTTTCCGATGTCACCGGTCGATGTCACCGCTCCCTTTTGGGCCGAAAAAATGCTAAAAACGGCCAACTTCCCAAATTCTCGAAAAGCTCGTTTTTGCCTGTCAGACGGCAAGTGAGGTGCCTGATTTGCTTGGTTTCGGCCGAAAGCCTCCAGACCCGGAAAGCTGGCAAGTTCCATCCCGCTGAGCTTGTCACCGCTTGTCACCGCTACGTCACCGCTCTCTTTTGAGTCGAAAAAGTGCGCAAAAACGGCCAACTTCCCGACTTCCCGAAGACTTCGTTCTTCACACGATTTTTCCGTTTTTTGCCCAAGCACGGCAGCCTGCCGAGGTCCTTGCTCATGACCCGACAACCTGCCGAACTTGTCACCGCCTTTTGTCACCGGGTCTAACACGCCAACCTGCCGAACGTCCGGAGGGCTCGAAATCTTGGCAAGTTTGAGTCAACATTGAATCGGCTTGAAACAATATTGGTTCATTAATGGGCAAAGGTTGCCCGGTCAGGCGGGATTCGAGCCCCAGACCAGGGTGGTGCAGAGACTGCGCTTAACCACTGAGACAAGGGAGCTTCTTTTGTTGGAAAAAGCAGCCCGCCGAGCTTGTCACCGCTTGTCACTGCTTGTCACCGCTTGTCACCGGGGCGCTTTTGGGTGGAAAAAGCAGCCCGCCGAACCGACCGCGATTTGAGGTGTCCCACGGTCCGTGTCAACCCGTGACACAAGCTTTCGTAATCTTCCAAGCTGCAAAGCGAGGCCGGCTCCGCGGCTTCGGTCTAAAAGCGAGGCCGGAATTCTTTCCACCAAGGTCGGAATTCCGACTTCGCTTTCCCACCAAGGTCGGAATTCCAACTTTGCTCTCTGTCCTATATCATACTATGCATACAACGCATAGTTGGATATGGCAAGGACCCTCCTCTTCTGCAAACCTGGACAAAATTTTCGGCGATTTGTCCCGAAATTTTCGATGCCCAACAACGCCACGCTGGCCACGGTGGCAGCCAACTACGGCCTCAAGACGGTGGTGGACCAGCACTCCCTCGACAAGAATCACGCCGCTGGAGGTCGACCAAGGTGGACTTGAAGATAGCTTCTTCTCGACGCCGCCTGCCGGAAGGCGGACGCAAGCGCGCTGGCCGCCCTGCACGCCAAGATAGCAAATGCCCCTGCTGGGTCCTTTGTCGCCAGCTAGCCGGGGCGCCAGCTCCAGGCCAAGGCTCGACGCAATCCTTGCGGAGCTCGCCGCCCTGCAGCTTTCCGGCAGCGGCGGAGTTGTTAACGCGCCGGCCTGGGCGGGAATTCACGACTTGGGAGCTCGTTCGCGGAAGCAATGTCGTTCGCAACCTGCATCTGGAATCTGGAGGCTCCTCTCTCTGCTGCGCTGGCCAACGGCGACGACATGCTGAGCATCACGGCCGACTGCTACTCCGTCGCAGCGGCGGACGCGGCCTTCGCGGCTGCGCTGCTGGCCTACTACACCTCGGCGCAAGTGGACGCGCTGCTAGCAACGCTGTTGGTCGACTACCAAACGGGCATGGCGCAGGACGCCGAGACGACCAGCGCGCTCTCGGCTGCGCTGCTGGCCTACTACACCTCGGCGCAGGTGGACGCGCTGTTGGCCGACTACCGCACGGCAAGCGCGCAGGACACACAGACGCAGGCCGCCATCCATCACGGGCGCGCTGCTGGCCTACCGGACGGGCCCGGACCAGGACGTCTTCACGACCAACCAAATCACCTCGGCGCTGGCGGCGTACCGCTCAGCCGCCGACCAGGACACGGCAACGGCCTCGAGCATTGCAGCCGCACTGCTCAGCTACTACACCGTCGCGCAAACAAACGGCCTCCTAGCCGGCAAGCTCGGAGTCACGGAGGCAGCCTCGGCCCTACAAATAGCCGTGCGCTTTCCGACGAGGTGGTGGCCGCCATCGGCGAGCAGATCCTGGGCCCCACGGACGTCTCCCTGTCAAACTGGACGGTTCGTCCCAGCAGCGGCTGCAGCGTGGTCCTGGCCACGCACACCGCGGGCGCAGCGAGCGTGGACGGCTACACCCTGACCCTGGCGGTGAACCCGTGGAACATCTTCGCCTGCCGGTACCACGGCCTCCAACTTCGTGGTGCACAAGTCCGAGGCCGACAACGTCTACGACCCCCTGTACGGCAGCTTCGTGGGTGACCAGGGCGCCTGGAGCACGGCCAAGATGTACTTCACCGTGCCTCCGAACGGAATTGCAAAGCTGCACTTTGCGGCGCACTTCCAGGCGCCGGGCCTGCCCAACCAGACGGCAGGAACGGTGAACGTCTACGGCCTCCAGATCCTGGGCGCAACCTTGGAGGCCGGCAACACGACGCAGGTCGAGGAGGACACGGCTACCTCGGCCCTGCTAGAAGCACGAGTCCTCGACGGAGGGGCCGACGACGTCACGCTGGCCACCCTGGGCGAGGTGCTGCTGGAGCCCACGCTCACCACGCTGGGAGGAGGGCTACGCCATGACCCTAAGCGCCTTCCTGGAACATTGTGCGCACCTACACCCTGGCGCTGGGGAGACGCTACTCCTTCGACTGCCGGTACCGGCTGGGCACGGCCTCCAACTTGGTGATGTACGTCAGCGCGGCCGACAACGACTACGTGGGCGTCACCGGCACCTTCCTCGGCACAGCCGCGCAGGGTGTCTGGAGCGGCGCGCCTGGACTTCTCGGTGCCGCCGAGCGGAGTCGCGAAGCTGCACTTCGGCGCCTTCGGCGGGTCGATCTCCGGGCTGGTGCAGCAGTCGGCGGGCACGCTGGACCTGCACAGCATCCAGCCCGCCCAGTTCTTCGTCAAGAAGAGATCGTCCGAGAAGTCGGAGGTGTTGGTCACGGTGAGCGTGTTGGGCGCGAAGAGCTGCGGCGCGGAGACCGTGCCCGAGCTCGTCACGTCGCCGCACACCACGCTGCCCGTCGACACTCCGCCGCTCGTGGCCGTGAAGGTGCAGTCCAGGCTCTCGCAGTCCAGCGGGCCCGCGGACGCCGCCCCGGTGATGGTCAGCGTGGCGCCCGCGACCGCCCCGTGGCTGCGAAGCTTGCCGCGGTGGCTGGGCCGGAGGCCGCCGACCGTGAAGTTCCCGGCGTTGGCCGTGTTGTTGATGGTGAGAGTGCTGCCGGTGATTCTGGTGGCCGAGCTCAGCAGGCCCACGCTGGCCGCCCCGGTGATGCTCAGCGAGCTGCCCGACACGGCGCCAGCGTGGCTCCGGCGACGGTGCCGGTTGCTGTGAGGCGTCCACGCCTGTCGTGAACACGTCGGTGCAGTTCACGTCGTTGAACAGCAGCTGGTCGCAGCCCACGTTGCCCTGCGCGGTGAGTCCGTCCAGCGTGGCCGAGCCCG